TAAAATGAAATGTGAAAGTTCCTACTTGTTAAGATGTGTTATATATTGTATGGCGTATGCATATGTTAATTTCTATATAGTGGAAAAATTATTTTACAGTAAAAATGTTCGAATGCCAGTAAGTGTTTACGTATGCTTTATTACGGATTCGGTGCTTATATTTACTATTAAACTATATATCATTTATTAAATGTACTCTAACTGAGTATATTAATTATGTTTTTCGATTCTTATAAAGAAATGTCTCACCTCTATTTGTTTTGTGTTAAAAGGAGCACACAACACAAAAAATAAGTTTTATTATTTTAAAGAATGTTCAATTCTAAGGATAATGGTGTAGGTTTTACGTTTCTACTCACATTATTCAATAAGTTATGAGCAGTTGAAAAAAGACGTGTGGCGTCACTCTGCCGGAATCATCGTAATTACCTATCTTATGCGTATAAAAGTTCCTCGGTTCACACAACGATTTATCAACCTAAACATTTTATTTTTGCAATTTAATTTGCATGTAAATATGTGGTTTTATGTGTTTAAGACGATGCAAGTATCAGAATTTCAATACGATATTTAGTTTTTTAAATATTAAAAATCTTAAAACAGACATTTTGGTTAAACGGCGGACCCGTTGTTCGAACGCCACGCGCCGCTCGCCATGAAAACCACAAATTTATACGTCAATTAAATTTTAAAAAGAAAAAGTTTAGGTGGATAAATCGTTGAATGAAGCAAGGAACTTTTACACGTTTAAGATAGGCAATTACGATGACTCCGGCCCAGTGACGTCATTAGGCTATTCTAAATCTTTTAATATCTCTTAAAGTAATATTTATTTTTACATCGTTTCTTCACAAAATCATTTCATATAACCATAACTACAATACTTTAACATTTAAAAAAAATTTAAAGAATTTTTTTATTTGTGTTGTGTGCTCCTTTAAGAAAAGCTATCATCACTTATTATTAAGTCTAAGTGCAGACCTCAGTGCATAACACATAGACTGACAGAATGTCTTGGCTCAGAATCGTTTTTAGTAAACAATGATTTTATGTCATTTAATTCAAATTTAACACATCAATTAAATGGCTTCTAGTCTCTAGACAGCATTGATAATAATCATTTCTGAAACATTTAATTTAAAGTTTTCGACAAGTACGAATTATCTCTAGGTAGTCATGGCGATTCTGCCGGTAAGATAATTAGTTACATTAAGTACAGTTATACAGATACACATTTTTACTCTTGGAATTAAAATGATTTAAAGAAATAACCAGGCTGTAATATTTTATAATGAAACGATAGATAATAATTTTTTAAATATAGTTTAGTTTTTATTTTAATCAAAATACATTTTTTTTTTTAAATTTGATAGGTGATGACGAAGATTTACCAACTAGTAAACTAAATGGCGGTGGATTTAAAGATCTAGATATAGAGTCGGGCTATTTTAAGATGTAAGTGGCCGATATTTAATTAATCTATATTTCAAGTATTATTTTTAAAAATATACCTAGGTATATTTAATTAGCAATTATATATTATTTTCTTAGACAAGTTAAATAAACTCAACTTTCAAATATATTTATCAAACTTAAAATTGATATCGTATACATAAAATTCTGCGGTCACAGGGTTTGTTATTAAACTCTTCTGAAACCACTTGACTGCTTTTCGTGAAATTGTTTGTGTATATTTGATGGGTCTAAAAATAGGTTATAGGCTATTTTTTAAACCCCGAGCTACTAAGGGTGGCCTTTCAAAAATATTTTTCTCTATTTTAATCAATATTTCCCTTGGTCACGGCATCACGACTGCTCTGATTTCACTTATTTTTTTTTTTATTCATTATTGCCAGGAAAAGGTTCTTAAGGAAGAAATTAAGAAAGATGAATGGAAAATTAATTATTAATTAAATAGTTGGCTTTTTTAACGGACAACGAAGTTCATGGGATCACCTAATTATATTATAAAGATTTCAGTCAATCAATTGGAAAAATAATCAAAGTATTCAAACGTAAAATGTTAATACACCAATTTTCAAATAACAAAACTCATTGTAGTTTTAAGATCTACAAATCATTATGTTTGTATTTGATTCAATACAACTTAAAAATCGTCTTTGTATCCTTAAGATCATAGAAGAATTGGGAAAGATTAATTAAATATGGGTTAGGGTATTTCATATTATCAAATTAATGTGATCTCAAAACAGGTTCAAAAACAAAATGGAAAGCCGAAGAACCCTATATATAGTTTTAATATTACTAATATTCATATTAGCAGTGCTCATTATAGCTGTTTTCGGATTATCATTTGCCTGTGAGTATTGATTTTTTATAAATAATGTACTTAATAAATGTTATAAACATAATAGTTTACAAAATACATATTTTTCAAATGGCCGATTGACATGCTTATACTGGGTTTCATGAACAATCACTTAACATTTAACGAATCAATAGTGAGCTAATAATCTTCTAAACACGACTTAGTGGCCCACGATTTTTCCTTTAAATTGTATTAGGCCTTTAAATTAATACATTTTTCATGCAACCCGGAATTAGTGTGCCAAGCCCATAACATTAAATTGTGGAAAAATGTGTACATACTTTATAATATACTTTTTACCTACTTAATTTATTCGTTGGGTATTAAACTAAAAGATTTGATATACAAAATACAATTTCTGTTTAATATTATTTTATAATTTCCTAGTAAGAATTAAAATACATAAATACATGTTTTTTCATTACATTAAGTGTCGTTTAAATGTTTTCTTTTGATTGTCGACATAGCATTGCGTAGTCATAAATTGTATTAACTGACAAAAAATGAATCACGCGCGGTCTTGTACCACAGGACATTCAAAACAAAAATATATATTTTATTTAAATACACAAATATTGATTTGAAGCAAAAAATTATAGCTTTGCCGACATGCAGGTATAATTTTCATTTTAGAATATCCCTTGGTTCGTACTATCAGTAATGATTACTTTTGTAAGTCTCTCTTCAAAGTAACCATTGGATCAACAATTTCAAAACAATATTTCTACAACAATTTTTCAATATTTTTGTTCTCTTGCTTAGATCAAAAGATGAAGAAAGACCAGACACGGACTTGTACAACAAAAAACTGTTTAAAATCTGGTTCGTTTATATTACAAGCATTGAAGCATAATTATTAATTAGGGGTGTATTAATGAAATATTATAAGTATTTTTAATATCTTACAATTAATGTTATATATTTTCTTATAATATAGCTACAGTATTAGTTGAGTCAATGAATAAATCTGTTGATCCATGTGAAGACTTTTATCAATTTGCTTGTGGAAATTTCGGAAAATTTCACAATATAACAGAAATGGCCTTTTCAAAAAATCGGTTTATCGAAGCACATATTACTACGTTAGAACATATTAGAGGTATGAAATCGATTGATGCTTTACATTTTGCTTTTTGTTCTTTATTGTTATAATTGCATATAAAATATGGGAGATAGTTTTGTGACCTTTAACTTTTAGGATACTAGTGTATAATATATATATATATTATACAGTTCTAGTATATGTTCGACGAGTTCTATTTTTACGTCGGTAGGTATGTTAAGATATTCCAGAATAACTGATTGTATAACGTTTGCAAGAAGTTACATGAAGTACAAAAATTACGATCTTTATGGAGTAAGTTACATTTACAGTTATACATTGAAGTAACGTAATTCCGGTCTAGCTCTTAACCTTGAAGGTCGACTATTGAACATTTTAACTAAATGTATTTTAGTTCAATTTTGCATACTGTATGCACATTATAACGCATTTCATTACCTACTTATAATGTTGAATGAATATTGTTTTTAGATTTTTTGAAAAGAGATTATACTGACAATGAACCTTCTTTCCTATCGAAATCCAGACTTTTGTATCGTTCTTGCATCATGGAATTTACTGGTGTGTTAGCTTATTGTGTAATAATAGCAGAATCTTATTAAATTAAATAGGTGGTATGCCTTTTTTAAATTTTATTTTCATGTTTAGATGGAACGAACACATACACACCTAAACCATTAGTTCAGGTTTTAGACAAAATTGGTTTGTCGTTCAAGGTTATTACTAATAGGCAAGAAGCTTCAAGTCTCTCGACAATTTTAGCTAGATTAAAAATGCAAATCAACTCAGACTATTTGTTCGTAACAAATGTTAACTCTGATACAAAAAATCAAACAGTTAATCGAATAAGTCTGGGTAAACCAAGTGATACAAATATATTTTCACTGTAAGAATTAAAACTTTTCCATTCTACATAAAAAATTTTTACTAAAATAATGTCTTAATTGTTTAGTCACAAAATAACAGAAAATATTAAGAAAATAAGTCCAAGGATAATGCATGAAACTCTAGATACAAAAATAAAAGGAGACATAAATAATGATATTAAAAACAAATATAATACATATAATACATTTATTAGTTTTGTAATGTGCAAAATTTATAAATTACAATCAAATCGTTGTAAAATGTATAAACCAATTCTTAAAACTAAAAAAATATCTCAAATATCAAGTTTCGAAGAAGAATATTCAAAAGTAATATTACAATTAACCATAACATGTTTTTTTGTGTAGTTTAATTATATAAGTGAATACTTTACTGTAGATAATAAATAAAATATATGATAGTGATGCTGACCTTCCATCAGTTATGACAGTTGATGAATTACAAAATTTTACAAATAATGTTACGCAGAATTTCACTAAGCCAAACGAGAAAATTGTGAGTAATTTATTATTATATCACCTATGTTTCCGATACAATATAATTTTATAACAATTAAAATAAATTCAACAGAAAAATAATTGCACTGTTTCATTCAGTTAAGGCTTCAAAATCGATGGTGGTTAGCCTGAATGTTATTTATATTAGGTTTTTAACTAGAGTCAGTTAGAACACTTGTATATGTTGCGAGGATTTATCACTAAAACCCGATAATTCATTTTAGTACCAACCTGTAGTGAAGAATAATAATTTAAAATAAATAATAATAAAATACATTTTAAATAAAAACGATGTAGATTGATTGGAAAGAATACCTTACAATTTTATTTGTGGACGCGGAGGATGTAAAATTGGATTTTGAAACTGATATAATTCAATTATCTAATATTGAATACTTTGAAGCTTTGTTCAAATTAATCAGTAAACATAAAGATCAGTTTAGTAAGTAAGAACATACCTTGTAATAATAGTTGGTTTTTATATTAATATACGAGTAGCTTAGAAATACTAATATATAAGGAATACAATTTTTCCCATTTACATTATCGCTAGGATCTATAGACTATAGGTATTTCATCTTGATGAGTGGCCCTTAATTTTTTTTAATATCATATTTAAGATTTTTTATAGAAGTATTAGAAATAGTAGTATAAAAAATTATATATGAAAAGTCATTGTGTGTATAAAAATAAAAATAAAAGTTTCAAGTACTCACGAATAATATTTTTAAATTATTACAAAATAACTTAAACCACTATTCTTGTTTATTTAATAATATGTAATTTTGACCAAATTTGAACATAAAAAAACTATAAAAAAATATGTTTGTACATACAATTTAAATTTTTTGGTTGCAGAATTAACAAGTTGTTAAATGAACTTTTTGATTCTCAGATATTTAAGTAGAATATTTCATAAATATTTAAGTATCATGTAATTTATACATTTTCAATTTGATAAATTTCGTAAACATTTAAACTTTAAATGCTTATAAGAAAAAAATCGTAAACATACATTTTTAATATTTTTCAACTGATATTGTATCAATATGTATTGCATTTTTAAACTTTTCACCGGACAAATATGATGTAATTGATATTTATTGAAAAATAAAATTTATTTCAAACAATTAAAAGTTAAAAATGTCCGTAAACCGTTCAAAGCAAGTCAAAATATTTTGAAAATTTTATCAAGTATATGAATTGATGAGATAAACATATCATGTAAGTCAGAATTACAACAAAATAAGAAAATCACTACATGGGACATCAAGTGAATATTCAATGTTGTATAAATTTCAACTTAAAACGGTCATAAAATGAATTTTGTCAAAATTGGTTCACCTGTACAAAGCTAAAAATGCGAGAAAATAAAAATTATTATAATTTAAAATAATTTTAGACTTATATTTCATATGACTGTGATAAAAAAAAACCTTAATGGAGATTAAGATTGGGTAAATCCACTGGAATTGGTCACCAGCAGTTTCGAACATCACCAAGCGCAGTACAAAATTACGAATTGAGTACAAATTTTGAATCATTTATACAATTAGGTCAGGTAAGGTAATTTTAATGGGAAAAGAAGTGAACGGGATCATCTAGTATGCTATTTATATTATATTATTCAAATTTGTTATGGTAAAATACTCAAATATTGTTGCCTCTGACTTATCTGCCAATTATTAATAATATAAATGTTGTAGATGTATAGATATTTGTATGATGTGTACGTATAATTTTAGTCATCAATATATGGTGGGAAGTGGTTGGCACTCTTTTTCCATTCACTACAAATGAAATGCGATTTATGCTAGATAAATTCTCCTCTGAAGCAACTGGATTAGAAAATGATGCTTTAAGATCACTTAGTTGTGCATATTTAGTAAACTCAATGATGGGGCTGGCTATTTCTCATGTTTTTCTAGCCATGAAACCAATATATAATAATATGAGCATGGTAATAAAAACAAAAATACCTACAGAACTCTTGTAAATACGAATAATAGAAATGTGTTTTTTAGGTGGCTGAAATGCTTAAAAATATTCATTGGGCTTTCAAAAAAATAGTTGAAGAGTTAAATTGGATGGACGATACGACAAAACAAAGGACACTATACAAAGCAGAGAAAATGAGAACGATAATTGGCTTTCCTGAATTCATAAATGACTCGAAAAAACTCGATGATTACTACTCTGAAGTAACTATTTCATTTAATGTTTCATTAATTTGTATTTATTTTTTATACTATTCGAATGATTATTTTGAATATTTGATTAGTTTGAAGTAGTAGAAGATGACTTCTTTGGCAACATTGAACGTTGTGCTACGAAAGACTTGAAAAACACTTTTTCAAAAAAGAAGCAATTAAATGATTACATAATAGACAAGTGAGTAAAAACTAATAATTTTGAATAATAAATAACTATACCATCCTTATTTGTTTATAAGGGCACCAAATTTTTTAGAAGTTAATGCGTACAACGCAATCAAGTTAAATGCAATAGGTAACTTATACAATTTTTAAAACTCAACTATATTATATATTTAAATTTAATAATTACTCAAACTAAAATATTATGTATATTATACTTTTAGTCGTTCCAGCTGGTATATTACAATTTCCTTTCATTGGACATGATTTACAGTATGTTGAAGTTTATTATTAAAGATAAATGAATGTATTGATTATCAATAATAATTATTTAAGAATGCTCAACTATGGTTTTTTTGGTTTCCTACTGGGTCATGAACTGACACATGGTTTTGACAATATTGGCCGAAAGTTCGATCAAGATGGAAATGAAAATATATCGTGGACTAATGAAACTATCGAGGAGTATGAAAAACGCACCGATTGTTTCATCCAGCACTATGATTCTTATTTAATACCTGGATTAAAAAAAAAGGTATTTTTTAAATAAGTTTTTAATTGTGTTGCTAAATTAAAACTAGTTATTTACAGTTAAATGCGTCTTTTTTACTAACATTTTTTGAAAGTAAGTATACTTTTTTATTTACACAAATATGGTTTTGGACTGACCACAACTTTTTTTTATGACCTATTTTTTCGAGATCATTTTTGTGACACTTTTAAGTTATAACATTTGTCATTGCTACCATGGTAACTCTCTTCCCTAAAACCATATTTATGTTTCATGGATTTTTCTTACATAAGAAAATTATCTAGTTGTTTATAAAATAATAAATGGTTTTACAACACAATAGCATTTTTTTTTATTGAACTTATGCCCGGCGACAATGGTCATTAGCTCTTGGGGAGTTTAAAAATTGCGCTTAAAATTACCTTCTCATATACCAATTGCGCTCTAAACGTTTTAGGGTCGATATACCAATCGCGCTCTAAAAATTTTAGGGTCGATAGACCAATTGCGCTCTATACATTTTACATTACCTTAGGAAAACTTATTATTTGATTAAATATATATATGTACATATTTTTGGTTTTTATTACATATTAACCAATTTTTTTGCGGGTATTAATGCATAATATATTGTGAGATGTATTATACAGTTTTACAAGGTTTAATTTTGAGTTTAAAGTAATCATAATGTTTGTATTTTGCATGCTTTGATAATAAATAATAATAATATTTTTTTAAATAATAATTTGAACATGGCATTACAATTTAGAATTATATAATTTGGTTAGTTTACAGAATAATATGTATGTTAAATAATAAATTTTTCGACTACGAGGAAAGGAGAATATAATCATAAGTATAACAGGGCAATTACATTAAATATTAAAATAATTCATTTAGTCACCACGAGGTATAATAATAACATGCTAATTAAAAAAAATATATAATACAAATAAATTAATAAATATACTAAGTTATCACAAGTTAGAACGTCAAAAAAATGTAATTATAAATATAAATAATATAAAAATAAATGAATAGGTACACTAATAATCAGTAACAATTTTGATGGTTTGGTTAGGATAATATGTAGGGATATGTGCGTGATAATAATAATGTTTTATAAAATTCCCGATACTGTTATAAAATATATTAAAACCAGTCACTTTAGCTAATAATCAATTGATCAATAAATATCAGGCAAATTTGAATACAAGTGCAATTGGTATATTGATTATTAGCTAAAGTGACTGGTAAAATATAAAGAGTGCAATTGGTACACTGACCCAAAACTATATGCAGCGCAATTGGTATATTGACCCTAAAATACAAATTTGGTTTTAGGCGCAATTGGTCCATAGCCAGCTCTTGTAGAGGTTATGAAGTATGGTAAGAGTAAGGGGTTGGTACGGTAGGTTGTTTTTTTTTACGATTGTTAGGATTATTGTTACGGTAGGTAGCAAACTAGCAAACACATGTATGTGTGGCAAGTATTTAACTACTATGAACCCCGGTGGTCACCCATCCGGGAGCTAGTACCTGTAGCCGTTACTTACTCCTGTCATATTTCGCGACTGGTAGCAACCTACACTCCACGCCAAGTACAACAGGATTTTATAATAATAAATTATCAACTAAAGTGATAAGAATAAATAGTTTTAAAATCCGAATTACGTTTTCCTGAGGCGTCAACATGTGGTTACCGTTCAGGCAAAGTACTAAACCTAGTGCCATCTAGCGGTGCAGAGAAAATGTACTGTCAGTCATTTCAAAGTGGACGTAATGCGAAAGCAGTCCCCACTCCGGTTCTCGATACCACACAAAAAAAAAAAAAAAAAAGTCATTTCAAATCAATCAAACATAAATAAAATTTTCAAAAATTATTTAAAAATCATCCATCTATTCAACCTATATTCAATTTTAATATTTCAGATGAGTGGGAAAAAAACATTAAATGAAAATATTGCTGATAATGGTGGATTGAGGGAAGCATTGTGGGCTTATAGAAAATTTGTAAATGATAATGGCAAAGAACCTAAACTACCAGGATTTGAACAGTACAGTAATGAACAAATGTATTATTTATCTTTTGCAAATGTAAGTAGTTAAAGTGCCAATTTATAAAACGTCAATAAATTTAGTATTAAATTATATTTTTATTGCGCTAGTTATTCATCGTGTAATATTTTTTACTAGAATTTTTGTGAAGAACCAACACCTGATTCGTTATCAAAGAGCAGATTAGATGTTCACAGTCCAAATAGCATACGAGTGATTGCAGGACTAACCAATTCAGATGAATTTAGCGAAGTATGGAATTGTAAAAAAGGTTCCAAAATGAATCCAGAAAATGAAAAATGTAAAATATGGTGATATTTATAGACATTTATTGTTTTAATTTAATAATATTATTCAGGGTATATTTAAGACTTTTAAAGTACCTATATTGTTATATTGTAGACACAATGTCATTTTAAAATGCTATTATGCTGTCAAAAAATAAATAAAGCTTTTGAATTATGAATAGTAAAATAAATCACTTTAATGATAATGATATCATAAAATATACTTTGTAAAATATAGGTTGACAGTCTAATCGTTATTGTAAGGAATCGTTTTTCTTATACAATGATTTTATTTCATTGAATTCAAATATATCACATCCAGTAAAGTGATTCTTTTTAAATATCTACTGTATAGCAGGGTGTTACCCACTTGCCCAGTGCCCACTGTTTTCTTTAGTCAACTACAATGGACATTTTCAATGAGATTGGTTTAAAAAATGGTCCATGCTTTCGAAACATAAGTTGTAGTGTTCTACAATCTAGTACAGTGTTTTTCAGCACCAGATGGGAGTAGGGAAGGTAATACCTAACACACAAACTATGTCTGAGTTCGAACAGCTTATAAAGCACCTGTTTCCTTCGCCAAGGTGGGTGAAGCACAACGAGTTCCGGATACCGGGTATCTGAATCCCTAACATCATTTTGTAATATCTATGTTATAAATATTACATTGTATAGCATGTTCCAATACAAAGTAACACCAACAGACAAAACGCAGCTATAAACATTGTGCAGATGTTGTCAACTTGAAAATGTAAACAGACTATATACATAATTGTAGGTATACCATTCAATTATTATTGGTGATGACTTTTATTTTTTTTTTATTTGTCTAGAAAGGTCGCAGAACAATGTCAATGATGTATGAATACGTTTCATATCACAAGAAAGCTATATTTTAAATATTTTTGCGGTAATTTAATATAAATTAATATTTGAGTATGTTTATTAGACAAATCGAGAGCATATAATATATATACTATATGTTGGTATGAATTTGGAAAATTGTATTACAAAAATCATATGAAAGTCTGTTTAAAAATATTATTTTCCGAAAGTCTAGGGCCAACCAATATAAAGTATTAATATTATCGGTTCACTATCTGGCCGATAACATTGCGACACGTGTATGATAGTAGGAAGTAAATATCAGTTGTCCTTCATAATTTATCGTATGCTGCGATATTGATTATCCTGTAATCATTTTTTTGACGTTTTAAAAATTAATTAACATTATAATTTTATATTTTTTTCACATAAATATTTTAATTTAGATTTCATATTTTATATGATATTACATTTTTTAGAGAATATTAAAGTGCATATGTTTTTTTTAATTGCATGTGTGCATACATATTTTGAGATTTTTGAGTACTAGAAGTCTTCATCCCTAGTTATTATTTATTAGGTACCTACAAAACCACTTAATCAAAATGTACTGAATATTGACGCAAGTAACATTTACTGTTTATACGATAGATTAAAACAATATTACTCCTTGGAATTAAATATAATTTTCAACTGTAAAATAATAATAAGTATACAGATTTTTAAATTAAACCTTAAAATCTAGTTAATTTTACAGCATATAAGGTTAGACTATAAAAGGAATTCCTCCAATCCATTAAAATCCAAGCAGCGGTGAACAGGGGCAACAGCTATTATAGGCCCTTTTAAAGCGAATATCAATTTAAATTTAATTTTAGAAATATTATAAAATAAATTATAAGATATTTACTAGGTAAGTAGGTTACCTACAGTCATTACAAGTACATCATTTGAAGAGCAGAATTTTGTGCTGTCTTCATCTTACAAATGTGTTTTCAGCTTCAATATTACAATGACACCTACCTATGATAATAATAATTGAAGTATAAGTTATACAATGTAGAATGTAGACAACCCAAGCGATAAGGTAAGACGTGCTTTTCATGAGTGTGCGCAGACCTGAAGTTTGGGATTTATCGACAATATTGTTGAGAGCTTTTCTTAAGTCAGGTCCTCTTACCAATGCATGTACATATTACTCGGTGGTATATAATAACTAGTACCAATAACTACCAATTTATATATTTCCTTGTATCTAATATCTCTTCCAAAATGATTATTATTTATTCATTATTACAAATTGCAATGGTTATTTATTATTTGTACTTGTCCAGCCAACGGAGCTTTTTTTATTTTATGTATTATTGTACTAATAAGATCTTCAGTTTCCGTTGACCTCGACGAAGTAAGCCAAAAGCGCAGCATGTGCCGAATATTGTATACTTATATTATTTTGAAATATGATTTATAATAAGAAAAATACAATACTATTACTTTCAAACAATTTGGTTATAATAACTAAACATTCTACAAGAAAAACAAGCAAATAATGTAAAAAACAATACAATATAATAATAATATATTCCCTCGTAAGTTGAGTACGATATTTTAATTTTTAAACGAATTGTGAGCATTTCATAATTTAAAATGTTTTCTAAATTTTCATAACATTCATAAAAATTAAAATATCGTAAGAAATCATAGAGCATAAATAATATAAAAATGCATATCTTAAAGTTTGATAATATGTAAATTCATATTAATATTTAAGCTAATAATAAAAATGTAAGCTACCAAATACACGTTTTCGTGTGATATGCGTTAGTCAGAAGCGGAAAACACATATACCATAATTTTTTTTTACGTCAACTAAAAGTTTGAAAACAATTTAAATAACTTTCTTTTATTAAAGTGACATAGTATAACATTTTAATATGATATTATGATGTATTCTTATTTTTCTTATTATTATTAAAGTTATTAATATTATAAATATTCAATAAAACTATTTTAAGATATAAATTTAAATTAGCTATTATATTTTTATTTTATATCTAATTATATAATACAATTTATGAAGTGGTTAAAATATAAGGTAACGATATTATCACTTCCGCCTATACAAGATTTGAAATTGTATCATAAATCATTCGCTATAACAATAGTTATAACTTTATCTAAGGTCGTGATAAAAAAAACATATTCGATGACAACACATTAAATTCTTATTTATACGTCTGTGAAACATTAAACATTCACTTACTGTACATAATAGCTAAACTAAAAACCTGTAATCACTGGATAATATAAAATATTAAGAATATTTCTATGGTCCGGTAATTTTGTAGTAGGATCGATTAATTCTATCTTTCGAATAAAATATGAACTAAAAATGCTTAAATGTAAAACAAATAAATAATATAGAATATAGATACAATTTATAACTCAGAGTAGACAATACTTACAATCAGGACATGGAACTTAATGCTTTTGTATATTTATTCGGGAACTAAATATAATAAATCTGATCTGGTACAAATTTGTGTTGCGGTGAGTGGAATTAAAATTTAAAAGTTTATTGTGCATTTGTGCATATGTTTGTATATTTTGGATTTATTTTCTGCACATTCATATTTTTAAGATTTATTGATTTTTATTGCATATTTAAATATTTCAAAAAAAATTTTTGATTATTTACTCTTAAATCAATTTTTTGGCAAATTAAAAATATTAATTTTTTTAAAACTAATTTTCCATAATTTTTTTTTCCATGATGCTTTTGAAAACTACTGAGAATTTTCAATTTGAACTTTTAGAATGCACCGACTAGATTCACTTTCCCACCAGAAAAGTTACTGAAGTTGAAAACTGGAGTATTATTTTGACTACTTTAAGTGTACATATCTGTCATAAAAAAGTCACACATATATCATTGTAAAATCACTGCATGTATCGGTTCACTCGTAATCCAAAATGTCAACTCCCCCACATATTTGACTTAATATACGGCTATGCATTTGCATAATTGTATTATTTGAAATTTTACCTCATATTTTATTTTATATAATTTGACTGTAACGAAATTTAAAAATGTTTGTGGTAATTTATAAAAACGGTTTTCTACATTTTTAAATTTTGATATTTTGTTCATGGGTTCATTTCGGCATATTTCTCATCACAGTTTGTAAAGATAATAAATAATAATTATGCTAGATGAAAGCTATACTACTGTACCTAGTTTGCATAAAAGTATTAGTTAATATAATTTAAAAAATCTGGAAAAATTGTATTCATATTACTATTATTACATGAAAAACATAAGTGCATAATTTTAGAAACCTCAATATTTAATCGAACTAACAGGGTAATAATACTGCAACAAGACAACTATAGCAAATATATCTACCATTATAGCAGTAGCTAATCAACAAAAATCAAGTCACTTTCTCTCTAGTAAAGAAGAGAAGTCTTTTCTATTATGAACCTACGCTTGTCATTTTGGATGATACCTAAATCATTTAATGTAAATACCTATTTTATTTAAATTATCTATATTCTGTGTATAGATTATAGGTTTAAGCCATAAGATTACTTAAACCAAATAATTTCACTTTTCTACCAGAAAATATGTTGAAGCAGAAAAGCAGTAAATCAAAGCATATTTACCATAGAAATTATTTCCTGGAACAGTTTTGTAGGCTCTCGAATAAATCAAAACATTTTTACTGCCAGAAAAGATGATGACAGCTTTAAAAATATAACAACACTAATAATTGTAAAATCAATATGCATTCATCGATCCACTCAGTATCTTTTACACTATTGAACATTGTGCTGACTATGACTTAATTCTTCACTGTATATTGTTCTTACTAAATCTAACTCCCTGCAAAATTGATTAAACTGTATAAGGGTGCAAAGAATATTTTGTACAATAACTATAAGTATAGATTAAATATTCAAATATCCCGGAAAACAGTACTCCAATCTTACTTTACATATTTTACATGGAATATGTTTTGCGATTAAGTCACGTTTCAGTTAGACAAAAACCAACAAGTAGTTAGCAAGTGATAGCGACGATCAGTATACCTAGATGTACCGCCTGCCGCAACAGTATATACCTCAACGATTTCTTTCAACAGTCTACGACTGGTTCATGCTCCAAGGGGTAGGGTCGCACAAAAGGACAAATATAATTAAACAACAAAAATGAGTAAGTGCATTGTGTATGATATATTTATCGAATAATAAAAAAAAAAAAAATTACACCTGCTAATAAAAACATATTACCTATATATATATATATTATTAAATAATTCAACTATTGGTTAGATTTTGAAACCAAATTATGTCCAACGACATCGCTATTCATATTTTATCCTTCAGCATCTTCTCTGGACCAATTCGTGTATGGTAGTGACTTGAATAGATCAAAATGCATTTGTTATATCTGACATAATTGACACTACCATTAACAAATACAATTAAATAAAACCCTATTTTAGGTAGGCACCTAAACCAGATTATAATAGCAAAAACTACAACAGGAGTATTTATAATACAAACAAATAATTAATTGTTTTTATTTTATTAATTTTCCTGAAAAAAAATAATTATAAATCATTTCATAAAATGGTGTAATTTTCTTAGTATTTTGCAATAAAAATACTTTCATTTATGCAAAATAACTAAAAATGCTATTCTTTGTAAAATATCATTAGAAAAACGGTGTTTCTACGCTTTTAGATATTTTGATTACAGTATGATATACTTCTGAGATACATTGATTTGAACTTAAATAATTATTTAAAAAATACAGAGCATATTATGTACCTATAATATTTTCAAACTGCTATTTTAACAACTTGTGAGTAACCTTTTATTGGTTTTATTAAAATTCCCAGCTTTTACGCCTAGCGAAAATGTTTTCATCTATATTCATAGAATATGTAACCCGAATAGTATTTCGGTCTACGGATGGCACGCCGGTAATGGAAAGGAAAGCCATGACACTTGCCGAACAAGAGGTGATCAAGTTAGAATCCGACGGTAATACTGAAATTGTGGATAGGGAACTCGCTTAAAACTGCATCTTACACGTATTTTCATTATTGGAGAAATCTTTCGGCAGTGTGGATCGATAAACGGGCGACTCCTTTGGGCTTCATTGGTCAGTGGCATCTTTTTTCACGCTCTTTTTCTCCAGCACTGACCGGTGATCTTTTTCAATAAGCTAGTCCGGCCATAGATTAAATATACTTGAATATTTAATCCATGGTCCGGCGTTGTAAGTTTTTGCCAGTTTGGGTGGGTGTGCTTTTCGAGCATATAGTATCTTCAGAGTATATTTTAAATTATTAGGTACACAAACATAATACAGTGTTATTGTTGGTTTGAAGAATGGAATCGGAGTGAATTGGGCCAATTATTATGACTAAGTTATAATAATAAACTTAACCAATTTTTAACTTAAATATTTTTAACCGTGAATTCGTACATCTAACCGATTATAATAAAACAATAGAGTTCTGTGAAACCGATTCTTCGTATCATGATACTGTAGAGTGTAGATCATTTAATAGTACTATACATAAATTATATCGTAGAGTGGTATAATATTCAATGAGTAGATACATGACACCAATAAACAAATCACTGTTATAAACATTGGGCATAGGTCGTCACCTCGAAAATGTAAACACACTATAAATTATACATTATGCTATGATGATTATAAAAATATATTATTACCTATACATAAGGTAAGTACTTACTAAACTACTTACTCAAAATGTGTTGAAGATAAACGCAAGTCACATTTACAATGTAGGTACGATAGAGGAAAACAATATGACGCCCTTTAGAATTAAGAATAGCTAACAACAAGTACATTTTTACAGATATAGATGTTTATTCTTGAAATTAATATAATCTCAAGAAATAACCAGACTGTAACATTCTATATACCTAACCGATTACGAAAAATGTAAAATAAAAAGTTAATGTCTTGTTATAACTTGAAATTTGTTTTTTTTATAATTCGACAGGTGATGACAAAGATTTAACGACGATTAAAATACAAGGTGTTGGAATTATTGATGCCGAATCAGGCTATTCAAAAATGTAAGTGGACAATATTTAATTAATCAATATTTAAACTATTATTTAAAAAACTGTATATTTGATTAGCAATTAGGTGTATAAGTGTATTAAATGAATTAAATAAGCCATCAAATATGACTATAAAACTTTAATCTTACATTTTAACATTAAGATTTCAATCGATAAATTGGAAAAATAATCAAATTATTCCAAGGTAGAATATTTATATACCTTTCCTCAAAGTATAAACCTCGTTATGTCTTCAAGATCAATAAGACTTAATTTACAATGCCAAAGAAAATATTGAATACTAACTAAGACATAGATATAACCTTAACGATTGCATTATGTTTATGTTTGAGTCAAGATAACGTAAAAATCATCCTTGTGTCATTCTCATTATAATGAAAAATGGAAATAGAATATTTTTTATTTAGAATATTTTATATCAATTTGATCTGAACTCAAAACAGGTTCAAAAACCAAATGGAAAGCCGGAGAACCTTCTACGTAGTCTTAGCATTACTAATATTCATAATATTAGTGCTCATAATAGCTGTTTTCGGATTATCGTTTACCTGTAAGTATTGAATTATCTATAAATAATGTACTTAATAAATGTTATATATATTATAGTCTACAATTACTTATTTTAAAAATGGTTGATTGACATGCTTAGTGGGCCAAGCCAATAACATTAATCTGTGAAAAAAATTAAATATACTTTATATATTTTATACTTAATTTATTCGTTGAGCAGTAAACTAAGAGATTTGATCTAGAAAATACAATGAGTGTAGAATATTACATATTGTCGATGAGCAACGTCTAATTTCGATTTTAGAAAATTTCCAAATCGTACAATTAGTAATAATTATATTTGTAAATTTCGATTCAAAGTAACCTTAGCATCCACAATTTAGAAATTACGTGATATGGTAATTCATGTATAAGAAAATACCTTTCAATATTTGTGTTCTTTTTAACAGACCTAAAGATGACGGAAGACCAAAGACAGATATGTACAACAGAAGACTGCTTAAGATCTGGTTTGTTAATATTACAAGCTTAATTAATTATTAGGAATTTGATAATGAAATAGTATAAGAATCTGTAATATCTAACAATTAATGTTTTATATTTGGTTATAATATAGCTATAGAATTTGTGGAGTCTATGAATAAGTCTGTTGATCCATGTGAAGACTTTTATCAATTTGCTTGTGGAAATTTCGCAAAATTTCACAATATAACAGAAAGGGCCTTTTCAAATGATCGGTTTGTCGCAGTGCATTCATCAATGTTAGTACTTATTAGAGGTATGAAATCGTTTGATGCTTTACATTTTGTTTTTTGTTATTTATCGTAATAACTAATTTCGTATAAAATATGGATAGGATAGTTTTGAGGTATGCTGGTATTGAATTGACGTAATATTAGTGTAGAATAACATAAATGATACGACTCTAGTATATGTTTGACGAGTATAATAAGACATTGCAGTATGATTGATTTATCAATCTTTTTTTAAGTACAAAAATCACAAACGTTATTTAGAACATTAGATTTACAGTTTAAACACTGCTATAACATAATTCTGGTCTAGTTCGTAACGTTTCAATATAATAACATCACATAATCATATCTTTAGTTATCACAGACTATTCAAAAATTGGACTACATTACAGTTAAATATGGTAGGTGTTCACTTTAGGGTACATTTCACTACCTACTTGTAATGTTATATGAACATTGTTTTTAGATTTTATGGAAAGAGATGATGTAGACAATGAACCGTCTTCCGTATCAAAGTCCAGACGTTTGTATCGTTCTTGCATGGCAACTACTGGTGTGTTAGCTTATTATAAGATCATAAAAGAATCTTATTCAATTAAATATGTAACATGTTTTATTTTGACATTATCTTTATGTTTAGATAAAACGAACACATACATAATTGGACAATTAGTTCAGATTTTGGATAAAATTGGTTTGTCGTTCAAAGTGATTACTAATAGGCAAGAAGCATCGAATCTCTCTTCAATTTTAGCTAAATTAAAAAAACAAATTAACTCAGACTATTTGTTTACAACAAATGTTATTCCAGATTCAAAAAATCGGACAGTTAATCGTATTAGTTTGTTTAAACCAATACCTACAAATAAACTTTCAGTGTAGGGATTTAAATTGTTTATTATACCTACACAAATTTTACTAACATAATGTTTTTAATTTTCTAGTCTCAAAATAACAGAAAATATAATGGCAATGAATTCAAAAAAAATGCGTGAAATTCTAGTATCAGAAAATGAACCATTCAACACAAATGATACTGAACAAAATACCGATAAAAATGATTATTTTAAATCGTATAAAAAATTTTTTATTGGTGTTTTGGAGGAAATTTATAAATTACATTCAAATGATTGTAAAATATATGTCCCATACCTTAAAAATGAAAATATATCACGACTATTAAGTTTCAGCAACGAACATTCAAAAGTAGTTTACCAATTTACAATTTTATTATATGTATGTGTATTTTTATTATATTAGTGAATAATTATTAACTGTAGATATTAAATGAAGTGCATGGCGAAGATGATACACGTTCATCAGTTTTTATGACTGTTGATCAACTACAAATGTATACAAATAATATTACACAGTACTTCACTAAAACAGACGAGCAAATCGTAAGTAATTTATTTTTATAATATTACCTATTTGCCTTACTCAACATAGACAATATGTTTCCTCTATCAGACAATTTTATAAGGATAGTAATAAGTTAACTTAATAGTTTGGAATTTGACAAAGATGTACACATGTTATTTGTGGACTTTAGAAAAGCCTATGACTCTATACACAGAGAAAGTCTTTTAAACATTCTCAAAGATTTCAAATTTCCCAGAAAAATTATTAATCTTATTGGAGCTAGTCTCAATCATACTGATATACAGGTCAAGATAGGTAACGTAACATCACAGCCAACTAGAGTAACGACTGGACTTCGGCAAGGGGATGCTTTGTCTCTAGTACTGTTTAACTTAGTACAGTAGAGAGTAATACGTGAGACGAACATTACGGAGGGAGTTATATTAGGACAAATCAGAATTGGAATACTAGCATATACGGATGATATCACTCTCCTTGGTGAAGATTTAGATATGATAAAGAGATTAGGAAGTAATCTAATAAATACGGCAAAAAAAGTGGGCCTAACCGTTCATGAGGAAAAAACAGAGTACCTTGTGGCTAGCCAAAGAAATAGAAATGGCGGTCAGGAACAATATATCAAAATTGAAGAACTGAAGTTCAAAAGAGTGTCTCAATTTAAGTATTTAGGGTCGATTATAACGGAGGATAACGACATCAAAATAGAGGTTTCAACAAGGGTACAACCAGCGAATAGAGGATATTATGGACTTGAAAAAGTCTTGAAATCGAAGTCCTTATCCAAAGCCCTAAAAATCAAAATGTACATCACTCTACTAAGACCACGTCTTGTTCTATATGGCTCAGAAACTTGGGCGATGAGAAAAACAAAAGAATCAAGATTAATGATATTCGGAGAAAAGTTCTAAGGAAAATATTTGGCCCCATATACGATAGACAAACGAATGAATGGAGAAAACTTCATAACGTGGAACTCCAAGGACTTTCCCAGAGGCCAAATATAGTTAGAGAGATCGCCAAGCGGAAACTAAGTTGAGCAGGACATGCTTGGCGCAAACAGGGTACTTTAGTAAAATGGGTGATCGAAGAAGAGCCTAATGGAAAAAGACCACTAGGTAGACCTAAGTTAAGATGGGAAGATGGTGTGAAGGGAGAAGTGGAAAAGATAGAGCATGGTGTCAAATTGAGAAAAGTAGCGGAGGACAGGGATAGGTGGCAAAGTTTAACGTTTACAGGATGGTCTCAAGGGCCGTAACTAAAGAAGAAGAAGAAGTAATAAATTCAACAGAAAAATAAGCATATTGTTTTATTGAGTTAAGGCTTCAAAATTAATGGTTGTTATTCTGAGGGTTATTTATAGTAGGTTTTTAACTACGGGGAAGATAGGGTCAGTTAAAAAAACGTGTATATTATGTGGTGAGGATTTGGCACTAAAACGCTGGTGGTCACTCATCGAGGAACTAGTGGCAGCAGCTGATACTTGACCTCCATAAACATTTGTGACTGATGCCAAACACCACACCAAACTATTTTATTCGATGTAAATACACTGTTAAGTAATGACTTTGAAATAGGTTAAATTACAATTTACAGAACTACATAGGTAGTACCAATACTTTACATTTCTACTTACCGATCAAACGGACACAACATATAATACTATGATTAATTTTTTACCTATATGTAGTGAATAAAATGATTATTTAAAATGAATAATAATAAAATACATTTTAAATACAAACGATATAGATTGATTGGAAAGAATACCTTACAATTTTATTTATGGACGTGAAAAATGTAACATTGGATTTCGAAACTGATTTAATTCAAATATATAATATTGAATATTTTAAAGCACTTTTCAAATTAATCAGTAAACATAAAGATCAGTTAAGTGAGTATGAACATATCTAGGAATAATAATTGGTTTTTTTTCATATACCTAACTTATGTAATGTGTAATACATTGTCCAAACTTGTTATGGTCAAATATTGAGAGCTTTGATTTATCTACAAATTAATTACTAGTAGTGCCTAAAACATATACATAATTAACATATTGTTAATTTTATATTTTTACATATAATTTCAGTCATCAATATATGGTGGGAAGCGGTTTGCACTCTATTGCCATACACTACAACTGAATTGCGATTTATAAGATATAGATTCCTACAGGAAACAAAAATACATGAAAATAATCCTCCAAGATCACTATATTGTGCACATGCTGTAAACTCAATGATGGAAATGGCCGTTTCACATTTATTCTTAGATATAGAACCAGTATATAATAATATGGAAATGGTATTAAAATTGAAATTATTAAAATCTCGCATAAAAAAAAAAATTATGATGTGTTTTTAGGCGGCTGATATGTTTAAAAATATTCATTGGGCGTTCGAAAAAATAGTTAAAGAGTTAGTTTGGATGGATGATACGACCAAACAAAGGACACTATACAAGGCACAGCAAATGAAAAAGTTCATTGGCTTTCCCAAAATCGTAAATGACTCGGTTCAACTCGATGAATACTACTATGATGAAGTACATATTTCATTAATTTGTATTTATTTTTTATACAATTTTGAACAATTATTTTGAATATTTGTTTAGTTTGAAGTAATAGAAAATGACTATTTTAGTAACGTTATACGTTATAATCAACGAAAATTAAACCAAAATTTGATATTACTTAGGAAATTTAATTCTAACACAATTACCTGGTGAGGAAAAATAAATCATTTTCAACAATATTTAACTCTAAAATGTACATTGTTTTAGGTGGGAACCAAATCTTTTAAATGTTAATGCATTCCACAACATAAAATATAATGCAATAAGTAATTAATATAATTTTTAAAATATCACCTTATTATAAATTTAAATTTAATAATTAATCTAACTAAAGTATTATGCATACATTTTTAGTCATTCCAGGCGTTATGTTACAATTTCCTTTCTTTGGACATGATTTGCAGTATGTTGAAGTTTAATTATTATTTATTAAAGATAAATAATGTACTATATACTTATTGTATAAATTTAAGAATGCTCAACTATGGTTCTCTTGGTAACATATTGGGCCATGAACTGACTCATGGTTTTGACAATACTGGCCGACAGTTCGATCATGATGGAAATGAAAATTTGTGGTGGACTAATCAAACTATCACGGAGTATGAAAAACGCACCAAATGTTTCATCCATCACTATGATTCTTATTTAATACCTGAATTTAAAAAAAAGGTAATTATTAAATAAGTTTTTAATTATGCTGCTAAATTAATACTAGTTATTTATAGTTAAGCGCGCCTTTTTTTATAAAAAAATTTTGAAAGTAGGTATACTTTTTTTTTACACAAATATGTTTTTGGACAGACAACAACTTTTTTTCTGACTGATTATTGCGAAGTCAACTTTTGTTACTCTTATGACGTTTATTATTGCTACCATGGTAACTCTCACCCTCAAAACACTTATTTATGATTCATAAAGTTTCCTTTGGTACAGAAGAAAAATATCGATAATATGTCTTAATAAAATATATTCAACAAAAAAAAAAAACAGTTTTACAACGGAATAGGAATTTAGAATTAATTAACAATCAAACAGAACAATACATGAGAAATATAAGTAACTTTAGGATATTTAAAATTATTAAAACGCAAAATAACTAACGAGAATATTTAAGGTTTTCTTTGCGGCGTCTCAAACTTCAGACAGTAGTTACCGGTCCACGCAAGGTCGGTGTAATTAGTATACCATTGTACCGCAATGTTAGTATTAGTTATCTATAGAATCATACTTTTTCACGACAATTTATTGAAAAAATGTATAATTTTCTTTATTTGCATACATATGTTTTTGGATTGAGAGGTATGAGTAATTTTAAAATATTTAAAGAACCTACATTTTCCCTCCGGCTTCTGTAACTTCAAACGATAAGCACCGGCCCAAGCTAAGTCGGCGTCTAAACTCAGAGTCATGATGCCGTACTGTTCTACAGTCTAACGCTGCAGGGACATGTACCTACAGTCTTTTTCAAGCCAATCAAACATAAATATTATATAAAAATTCAATAAAAAAACAACTACCTATATGGCTAAATATAATTTTAATATTTTAGATAAGTGGTAAAAGGACGTTGGATGAAAATATTGCAGATAATGGGGGGTTGAGAGAAGCATTGTGGGCTTATAGAAAATTTGTAAACGATAACGGCGAAGAACCAAAACTACCTGGACTTGAACAATACACTAATGAACAAATTTATTATTTAGCTTTTGCAAATGTAAGTAGTTAAATGTGCCAATTTATAAGACATAAACAAATTTAGTTTTAAATTATATTTTTATTGTGCTAGTTATTCATCGTGTAATATTGTTTACTAGAATTGGTGTGAAGCAACAACACCTGATTCGTTATCAAAGAGCATATTAGATGTTCACAGTCCAAATAGCATACGAGTGATTGCAGGACTAACCAATTCAGATGAATTTAGCGAAGTATGGAATTGTAAAAAAGGTTCCAAAATGAATCCAGAAAAGGAAAAATGTAAAATATGGTAAAAGTTACAGCCATCAATTTGTTTTTATTTATTAAATTACCATAAACATTATAAATGTCTTAATAAAAATTAACCATCTATATTTTATAATTACATATAACAAATACTTAAATACCGTAATATATTATTTAATGGATCATTATACAATGTAAATTTGTTTTTTCAAATTATTTTTATATGTTATAACATTTTTTTGTTTTTTGGTCAAAAAGCTTGAAAATAAAATACGAGATTACTCTTTCAATTTTGACACTTGTTTAAAAAAAAACCAAAATTATACCTGTACATTATAGACCCAATTTCCACTATCTACATAAATCAATTTTAGCAGCTTGTTGAGCGTTTATTAATAATAATATAATATTTTTTTACATTGAGAAAAAATAAATTAAATCATATTGGCTACAAAAAGTTTATTCGTTTATAATATATACACAGTAGTATTTAAAAAGAGTTTAAAAAGGCATTCTCGTTATTTTTTTGTAACTCCCATCTGTGAAGAATTCAAACTTTTAAAGTATATTATTATATTTTTACAAGCTATTATATTTTCAAAAACAATATTTGAAAAAATTAAACAAATTACTGCATTATTAATAATAAAATAAATTACTTTACAATAGGAAAAAATATCATAAAACATAATTATAGTCATATAGGTTGACTGACCGTACTTCCTAAGAATTGTGCGAATCTCATGATTGTAACTTTAAAAGACAGTACGTTGATTTAAATGTTTTATATATTTTTTTTACCTACCTCATACTTGATATATTATTTTATTATAAATTTATTAAAGTATATATTATTCATGGAAAAAATTTTATTAGCACACATTCTTTTTTTTTTTGTTTTTTAGCTTTTACTTAAAAATCTAGCTCAATAATTATAATACATTAAAATATTAACAAAGCAATAAATAAAATTAAGTAATATATAACTAAAAAAAAAAAAAAATTAGCACACTTTATCATCAAAAATGACTTAATGATTTATTATTTTATAATTTGAAATTACTTAAAATAATGTTATAAAATAGAGACTGTACGTCATAATAAATTAATTTTAACCTTTTCTCGAGCCCTTTTTCGTTACTCGGAACCACTTGGTTTTTTATTTTCACTCATATTAATAAATTGTATTAAAAAATATACCAATAAAATGTACGTACGCACACGTAACAATTTTTTTTTTTAAAGTATATATTATGCAAAAATTCTACATTCGTAAAAAAAATTTTTGTGGCACCCCCAATTTAACGTTGACCGATTGGCGCCCTAGGCTGTAGCCTACTTAGCCTATTGGTTAATCAGGCCCTGAATATGTCGATCATCAAATCCCACTGATATACCACTATGCATCAGGCACTTAGTATAACCAATATAATATGATATACATCTATTTTATTCACTAAATTATATAAAAAAAGTTTATTTATTTTTAAAAGTATTTTAGAAAAAATATGTTATATTATACTATATACTAGTAAAATAAATTACATTAATAAGAATAATATCAAAAAGATATCAATGACCGTAATAGTAAAATAAATTAGGTACTTTAATATCAATAATATCATAAAATATACATTGTAATATATTTTGATAGATCGTATTTGTTCAGAATCGTTTTTAGTGTACAATGATTTTATTTCATTGAATCCAAATAATATATCATATAAATTAAAGTAATTCTTTATCTACACACCGACTGTGCCACGGCACCCAATTTAAAAACCACTGAACTAGAGTTTACTAAATCTGTGCAGTAATACTGACTATCTGAATCCTGTTCATCATTACTTGAAAATGTAAACAGATTATACATAATACATTATAGGTATACAATTAAATTATTATTAGGGATGAGGACCATTATTTTTTTACATTTGTCTTGATAGGTTCTCAGAACAATGTCAATGATGTATAAATATGTTTCATATCACAAGAAAGCTATATTTTAAATTGTATTTTAAATATTTTTCTCGTCATTTCATATAAATTAATATTTGAGTATGTATATTAGATAAATCGAGAGCATATATAAACTATATATTGGTATGAATTTGGAAGATTATAGTGTTAAATATAATACGACACATAAAAATCTGTATAAAAATATTATTTTCCGAAAATCTAGGGCCAACCAATACAAAAAAATTATATCGGTTCACTAACTGACCGATAACATCGATCGTGGCGCGTGTAGGAAATTAACATCATTGTTGTCCTTCATAATTTCTCGCATTCTTTTGCTGTTGATTATCCTGCAATATTTTTTTTAAAATTGTATCCATTAACTAAAATTATGTTTTGAACTTTTTTCACATTTATATTATAATTTATTCTGCATATTTTATACAATATTACATATTTTTTTTTAGAGAATATTGGAGTGTATATATTTTTTTTAATTGCTTATAATATGCACTCATATTTTGAGGTTTTCGAGTACTAAAAGTTCTCAACCCTATATCAGGTGCCTACTAAGCTACTTAATCAAAATGTATTAAACATTGAAGTCACATTTACGACATATATGCAATACAGGTAAACAATATTACTTGTTGGAATTAATTATAACTGTCAACTTTATCGTATTTTAGCTAAATATAGTATTATCTATACGACTATATGAGAATTGGACAATAGAGTATTTAAGTATTAACCACTGTATTTTCACCGAATATTTCTAAAACTGTACAATCTCTTTGATTAAATAAGAATAAGTTTACACATCTTTCAACTAAACCTTAAAATCTCATTAATGCCCTAATTAATTTTACAGCATATAAGGTTAGACTTAAAATAGCATTCTTACTATTAAACCGAATTCTTCCTATCTATTATAATACAAGCAGTGGTGTACTGGGGTTACAGATATTAAAAATATTTTTAAAGCGAAAATCTATTATTTCAACTCGTAATAGAATGTACAATATTTAATAGGTAGGTATGTCTACAATCATAATAAGTACCCCATTTTAAGAGCAGAATATTGTGTTGTCTCCATCTTACAAATGGATAACATATAGCAAATACCGAATTTGCATATATCAATTCTAATTTTGTGGTGTCAGCTTTAATATAACAGCGAATTGACCTATCATTAAAACTAAAGGTATTAATAATACCTCGGTATACGATGTAGATAACCTAAGCGATAAGGTAAGACGTGATTGTTTTATTTTTGCATTACTCAACTAATTAGATCTTCTGTTTCCGTCGACCTCAACGCAGTAAGCCAAAAGTGCTAAAAGGTGACGCGTATTTTGTTGTTATAATATTTTGAAATATGATTTATAATTAATAAAGCACAATATTTTTTGTTACTTTTGAACAATTAGGTTAGGTACAATAATTAAACAGTCCACAAGAAAAAGAAACACAATGTAAAATAATGTAACAAATAAAAGGTAAGAAGTTAATAATATGTAAATGTTTAATACGATATTTTAATTTTTGAACAAGTTGTGAGCATTTTATAATTTTAAGATGTTTTTACATTCTCATTACTTTCCGAACAAAATAATAAATAAACTTCTTTCATAATGTTTAATGTATTTTGTTGGCGTTAATATTGTCACCTACATTTGGTGATACAAACTAAGGTTTTATTTGATATTGTATTGCTAAACTTAATATTTTAAAGTCATTAGGGATTTCTAAATGTAACTATGTATATAATTATTACTAATGTAGATCTAACTATATTTAATGTAGGTCATCATATTAAACAAATGTTCCAAGTATTAATCAACAAGTCTAAATGACAGGAATCTAATTATCCAAACCAAAATATGTACCATAATAAATCTGTAGTAATTATAATAATATAATATGTACATAAGCAATAATTGTTGAGCTATATTAACTTCTTGTTGATAAGCTAACAAAAAGAATAATAAAAAAAAAATGTACTGTTAGAGATTTCAAAAATGCATCAAGCTCACTGTCTTCCTGTGAACACTCACCAATACAAAATAGTAAATACCAATACAATTTACCGGTTAATTATCGACTTAGGTTAATCCCCAACAGTCAATAATTTGGACATTAATCACAAAATATGGCTGACGAAACAAAAACTGGGTAGCGTGAACTGAGTACCTAAAAATGGACTACCATCAATAAAGGAAAACGAAAATCAAAATATAATTTTAAAAAACATAATGATGGAAGAAGAATTATTCCAATTGCTATTTTTTTTTAGAAAATAACGTAATCAACGAGTAGGTGGATTAGGGGGGCTAGATACACGTTAGCTGGTTACAGTATGAAATATAATATAATTCGTAACGAAATTATTTCTTTTGTAGATTATCGAATAAATCAAAACTTTTTTACTGTCCCAAAAGGTGATGACAGACATAAAAAATATAAAAAACATCAATCATTGTAAGATCAATATATTACATATATACATTGCAAAGACTGCGACTTAATTCTTCATTGTATATTGTTCTAACTAAATCTGATTTCTTGTAAAGTTCATTAAACTGTATTAGGGTGCAAAGAATATTGTGTACAATAACTATATGTATACATTAAATATTAAAATATCCTGGAAAACAGTACTCCAATCTTACTTTACATATTTTACATAGAATTTGGTTTGCGGTTAATACGTCACGTTTCAGTTAGACGAAAATCAAACAAATAGTTAGCAAGTGATTACGACGACCAGTATACCTAGTTGTACCGCCTGCCGCAACAGTATATACCTCAACGATTTCTTTCAACAGTATACGACTGGTTCACGATCCAAGGGGTAGAGTCATACAAAAGGACATATATAATTTAATAACCAAAATGAGTAAGTGTATTGTGTTTAGTAAATTTATCAAATAAAATAAAAAAAAATTATACCCACCAATAAAAACAGAATACCTATACATATTATTAAATAATTCAACATGTGGTTGGGTTTTGAAACCAAATCATATCCAACGACATTGATATTTGTATTTTATCCTTCAGTATCTTCTCTGGACCAATTCGTATATTTTTGTGACTTGAATAGATCTAGAATATAATCCCAAAAAATACACGATACTACAAATAAATAATAAATAACTTGTATTTTATTAGTTTGCTAGAAAAAAAATAAAGAATAATAATTAATTTCATGTAATTTTTGTAGTATGTTTCAATAAAGATACTATCGTTAATATCCGTGCTAGGTTTTATTTGGAACAAAATAATTAAAAATGCTTTCATTGTTAAAATATCTATGTAAAAAAGGTGTTTCAATGCTTTTTAGATTATCACAGTATGATAGCGTGATCAGGCTATGTTCTGGGAAACCTTGATTTGAACTTAAATATACTAGAATATTTAATGTATGGTCAGGCAGAGGATCTTGGGCCAGCTGGTCGGTGTGGTTGAATGTTCTATGAATAAATACAACAGAACTTCGATAAACAAATCACTGTTGCAAACATTGAGTACGAAAATGTAAACAGACTATAAATAATACATTGTACTTAAATGATAATAAAATCCAACGGTAATGCTGGAATCGTGGGTTGGAAACCCGCTTAAAACGGCGTCTTTTCAGTATTGAAGAAATCTCCTAGAAGTGTGAATCGATAGGTGGCCGATTTCTTTGAGCTTCATCACTCATCAGTGGCTTCTAGACAGTGTCATTCTCCTTTCGCCGAGCTGTGACCTGTGATCTCGGTCTGGTACTCTATTCTAACCTTACACCAAAGTGTACCAGTATGAAATATACCTTTTTGATCATAATACCTCGTCGCTGATTGGTCGTTAGTTAGGTAGCTATTTTTCGTTAGCTATACGTCCCCTTCTTGGTCCGACTGTTTTCCTAAGTGAGATTTTACAATTTTACATTGTATTAAGGTTCCATATTCAACCGATATAGATTTGCGAAATATATACTTGTGACTTTCTGCAGTGGTACAGCTTTGTTCTCGCTTGTAATGCTCCTATTCGTCGATAGATTGTTTTTATAGGGGTTTTTGAAAAGAGTTTTTTTGTGTTGTAGGTTTTCTCTCCTTTACACATCGTCGTAAAATCAACATTAATTTTTAGTGACTGTAAGAAATACTTATGATAAACCGTATGTGCAGTAGAACGGTGCCTACTTACAAACATTTATTTTCTTTAGATAGATTGGGAGAAACACTATTTCGCCCGTTAAAATGAAATATAGTTAACAACTTTGTTACAAGTATACTAATATATATTTTCATTTTCAAAATTTAAATGATTTAAACTTTAAAAAAATAACCATGTTGTAATATTCTATATTGAAACGATATTAAAATTATTTTTAAAAAAAGTTTAAGTCTTGCTATAACTGAAATATGTTGTTTTTTATTTTTTTTTTAATACAACAGGTGATGACAAAGATTTGCCGATGAGTAAAATAAAAGGTGATGGACCTATCGATCCCGAATCGGGGTATTCAAAAATGTAAGTGGACCATGTTTAATTAATCTAGATTTCAAGTATTATATTCAGGTATTAGAAATTATTGTTTTAGAAAATGAAAAAGACTCAATTATCAAATATATGATTATCAAACTTTAAACTTAAATTATAATATTTAGATTTTGACAGATTTGTAGGTGACTTATAGTATTTTCGAAAGCACCACCCCAGCCTATTATACCATATGAGATAATCGATTCAACCAACGCTAAATAAACCTGACGTATGTTTGGCAATTTTAGAACTTAATTTAAATTTCTTAATATATACATCATTTTTCGAAGTTTTTTTCTTAATTGTTCAATTTGGTTTTTCCATTTCATATTGCTATTTATTTCGATACCTAAATAATTAACGTTATATTCAATATTTATTGATTCACAACAACAGTTATTGTCTAGTTTTGTGCAGGGGTAATTATGAATTTTTATTTTTGTTTTAGTAGGTAATACATTTTCTACTAAGGCATGAGGTACAACACACGTTTTTTCTAAATTTAGAAATATATTATTTTCAGTTAACCATTTTTTTTTATTAATTATAAGTCGGATTTTATTATATTAAATATCTCACCCCCCGAGTCACCTGCACATAGGATAACTGTATCACCTGTGTAACAAATTAGTTGACTTAGTGTGTGAATATCATTTAGCTGTATGTTGAAAAGTATGGGGAAGATGACTGTTCCTTGCGGAACACCACATTTTACAATATTTAGGGAACTGATAAAATCATTTATTTTGACACATTGCTTTCTATCACTTAAGTATGAACAAAGTAGCTGTAAAGCTTTATTTCGTAATCCTAATTATTCTATCTTGTGTAGTAGAATGCTCAAGAGTATCGAATGCCTTAGCAAGATCTAAATAAACCGTAGGTCCGTAGCACATTTTTTACTTTCATCTAAGGATTTATAAATAAATTCAGTCACTTTAGCGAAATCATATTGTGATTGATGTATAATGTTGTTTATATCTAGAAATATAACCAAGTCTATCTTTAGTAATTTTTTCAAATATTTTTGCAATATTTGAAATCATTGAGATTGGTCGATAGTTATTGATTGAATTTGTTTTGCCTTTTTTGAAAATTGGTGTAACTATGGACAATTCGAATAAATCTGGTACTATTGCCTGTGAAAGACTAGTATTGAAAATATGCTTTAGGGGGGAGGCTAATGCAAGTTTGTTCTCTTTTAAAATTTGACTGTAATACCATCTAAACCATTCTAGTCGAAGAACCATTTTTTAGTTTTGAGATTTGATTTATTATTTCACGTCCATTGGTAAGGATAAATTGATCAAGAATATGTTTATTAGGGGTGTTATTATCTATAACAGTGGTTACATTTTGAATTACATATTTTGTTGATTTTTTTAGTTTAGTGAGAAGATCTGATGCTACATTAATAAAGAAGTCATTAAATTTATTTGAGATAATTTTTCCATTTACCTTTACATTTAATTTAGTACCATTATGTAGTATATTATTGTTATATAATTTTGATTTTTACTTCTGCCGATAAAATTATTCATTAATTTCCAACACATTTTGGGGTTTCCGTTTGCTTTTTCTAATACCGATTTATAATATACGTTTTTGGCATTTCTTATCAATTGTGTGACTTTATTTCAGAAATTTGTATAATATTTTTTTAGATTGTCATTAGTATTATGTTTTTTTTTTTTACTTTGAGGTGAAGTTGATCTCTATCCCTTTTATTAATTCAGTAGTCGCTCGTGGTTTGATTTTCTTTAACGCCGAAGACATTTTAATGCTAACAGATGCTAATTTTACCAAGTCGCTTAATATATTAATGAAACGTTTAGAAGCGTTATTTACATCAGAGTGTTCGAAAATAGAACACCATTTTTGATTTGATATTAAGTTTGATAATATTGAATAATTTATTGAGTTAATTGTGAGAGGATCTGGTTTATTTTTTCTATTACTTATTAAATTTCCAATACTAAGAAGTGATCAGATGTTGTGATTGGACAGACTATTGGTTTCGAATATTTAATTGTTTTACTTTTCATAAAAATATGATCAAGGCAAGAGTTGGAAGCATGTCTAGTGATAGTATCAATTATTTTAAAATAACCAAATTCAGCTAAAAGATCGAGGTATTTATTTGTAATTAATTATGCACGTAGTATATCTAAGTTTATGTCTCCAATTAATATTTTAAAGTTAGTATTTATCTTTTTGGCTTTTTCTAACACGATGTTTTGTAATTCATCTAAGAACAATTCTACACCATTGTTAGGGGATCTGTAAATTGAATAGATTAAAAAGCTAGTGTTCCTTTTTTTAATTTGAATTTCCAGAACTGTATGTGATTGTGTTTGTAATTCTAAGATGGAGGTTAAAGTTAATGAGTTATTTATATGCACCATAACATCGTCGTTTTGTTTTTATTTAATTTAGTGTAGTATGTGAAGTAGTTTGGTAATTGATAGATGTCAGCATTAACACTATCTCTACCTATCTATGCTTCAACTAATATTATTATATCATGTTTTGTAGGTGAGCTATCTAATAATATACAAAATTCATAAAAATGCTCTTGAACACTACAATTGTTAATCGCTATTATGTTACATAAATTATCGCTATAGAATATAGATAATTGAATTTATATTGTCGATATCGAATTTGTATGTTTTTATTTCATTTACACTTAGCAATATTAAACTTTCACCGCACATTAAAGCAGTCATTTAGGTAAGGATATAATACGACGAAGTACTAAATTGAGAATATCTCCGATTGGCCATAGTGGTATTTTTAAGAACATAGTGCAACAGATAAGGATTCCTATTAAAGAATTTAACATATATTTACAAGATAAGGAATTAAAATTAATAGAAATATACTAAAAGTAATAAGTGTGATATACCAATGACCCAATTTGGTTTTAACAATGGAAAAATGAATGTGGCTTACGAAATAATAAGAATTAAAAAGCATATAGCACGTATAAATAATTGATAGCACCTTAACTAATAAACAATGATTATCAATGCTATATGGTATCGTTGGTAAGTTTGAAATAAAATTTAGGAAATTTTGTTCATATAAAGTATGGTCGTATCGGGGAAATTGTTGTGTGTACAACATAGTTGAATATATAATATATATCCGAGACTTACAGGGAGGCGATTTACATGCCTTCAATGTCATAGGTGGCTCTTATCCTAGTTATTTTAGAGTTTTCATTTTTTCTTATTAAGATATCCGCATTTGAGATCCATATGAATTTTTAGTTGTGTTCTTTTCCAGCAGCCCTTGTTTGGAGTAAAGTATTCGTTTCTCTTAAGTTTCTCGAACGTTCATTTATATAAATCTTATTTTCTATTTTCCATTTACTGGATAACATGTTAGCATTCAATTTCTGTGATTTAAAGGCACTTATTAAATTTGCTCTCATTTCAGTAATTTCGAGTTTGGAGATTATTAGTGGCGGTTTATTATCAGTTTGATTAATTCTTGAAGCTTCTGTGACATTTATAGAAATATTTAGTTTTTCAGCAATTTTTTTAACTGTAGTAATACAGTTTTCGTTGTCCATTATCGGTGTGCCAGTAATTTCAATACCAACACCCATATTTGTTTGTTCGATTTTTTCAAGTTTTTCATTTGCTAACCTTGTATTTTCATGTTTTATGTGGACGATTTCGGTCTTTAGGTGATTCATTTCCAGGAAGGTCGTGTCCAGTTTTTTATTGAATTCATCGAATTACAAACTCATAAAAGTAACTGACTTCATTAGCTCTTCCATTTTTTCTTCCAATTTATTTGAATTTGTTTTATCCGATTTTGGTAGAGAGGTAAGACAAGTCAGGCAAGTGAATCACGTTTTAGAGTTTCTAGACATTTTTGCATAATTACTCTCAGTGATACCAATACAGTTAAAGTGAACATTGTTTTTACAGTTACTACATTCTAGAGTATCTTCTTTGTGAGTTGAAGTTTAATTACACTTTGTACATTTCGTGGACATTTTATTGAGCTATTTCATAGACCACGTTTAATATTATATAGAGTTTAATAAGAGTCCGCTCTGAACGAAGTCTAACACGGCGGTTAGAGGTACTTGGGGTTAATGTCTTGGTATCGTGAACTGATTAGTGGTGGAGCGCGACCAAATTTACACGTGTGGCTGTACGGGGTCTAAACACGAACTGAATATAATTTAGAATATTTTATATCAAATTGATCTGATCTCAAAACAGGTTCAAAAACCAAATGGAAAGCCGGAGAACCTTCTACGTAGTCTTAACATTACTAATATTCATAATAGTAGTGCTCATAATAGCTGTTTTCGGATTATCGTTTGCCTGTAAGTATTGAATTATCTATAAATAATGTACTTAATAAATGTTATACATATTATAGTCTACAATTACTTATTTTTAAAATGGTTGATTGACATGCTTAGTGGGCCAAGCCAATAATATTAAACTGTGAAAAAAATTAAATATACTTTATATATTTTATACTTAATTTATTCGTTGAGCAGTAAACTAAGAAATTTGATCAAAAAAATACAATGTGTGTATAATTTTACACATTGACGATAAGCAACGTCGAATTTCGATATTAGAAAATTTTCAAATTGTACAATTAGTAATAATTATATTAGTAAATCTCGATTCAAAGTAACCTTTGCATCCACAATTTAGAAATTACATGATATGGTAATTCATGTATAAGAAAATACCTTTCAATATTTGTGTTCTTTTTAATAGACTTAAAGATGACGGAAGACCAAAGACAGATATGTACAACAGAAGACTGCTTAAGATCTGGTTCGTTAATATTACAAGCTTAATTAATTATAAGGGATGTGTTCATGAAATAGTATAAGCATCTGTAATATCAAACAATTAATGTTTTATATTTGGTTATGAAATAGCTACCATATTAGTTGAGTCAATGAATAAGTCTGTTGATCCATGTGAAGACTTTTATCAATTTGCTTGTGGAAATTTCGCAAAATTGCATAAAATACCAAAAACAGCTGTTTCAAATGATCGGTTTATCGAAGTGGATTCATCAATGTTAGTACTTGTTAGAGGTATAAAATTGCTTGATGCTTTACACTTTGCTTTTTGTTCTTTATTGTAATACCTAAACTCGTGTAAAATATGGATGGGATAGTTTCGTGGTATTGAATTGACGTAATATTAGTGTAGAATAACATATATGATACGACTTTAGTATATGTTTGACGAGTATAGTAAGACATTGCGGTATGATTGATTTATCAACCTTTTTTTAAGTACAAAAATCACAAACGTTATTTAGAACATTAGATTTACAGTTTACACACTGCTATAACACAATTCCGGTCTAGCACGTAACGTTTCAATATTTAAATAACATCACATAGTCATCATATCTATGGTTTTAACAGACTATTAAACAGTTGGAATGAATAACAGTAAAATATGGTAGATTTACACATTAGATTTCATTTCACTACCTACTTTTAATGTTATATGAACGTTGTTTTTAGATTTTTTGGAAAGAGACGATGTAGAAGATGAACCTTCCTCCATATCGAAGTCCAGACGTTTGTATCGTTCATGCATGGCAACTGCAATAGGTGTGTTCTTATTATATGGTTATAACCAACATTATTTTATCAAATTGTCTTATCAAAAATTATTTTTGTATATTTAGATAGAACGAAAACGGAATATGTTATCAAACAATTAATTCAGATTTTAGAGACAAGTGGTTTGCCGTTCAATGTGATTATCAATAGGAAAAAAGCATCAAATATCTCGTCAATTTTAGCTAGATTAAAAAAACGAATGAACTTGGACTATTTGTTTATGGTAAATGTTCAATCAGATACAAAAAATCGAACACTTAATCGAATTACTCTAAGTAAACCAAGTGCTACAGATGTATTTCCAGTGTAAGAATATACATTTTTTATATTTTATCTACTACAGTTTTACCAACTCAATGTTTCAATCAATAGTTACAAATTAACAGACACAATTAAGAAAATGGGTTCAAAAAAATTGATTGAAACTGTAGAAAAAGAAAAAAAAACAGCAAACCCAAATGAAGATGAAACACATACAAATTATAAATATTTTATAAATAAATATAATAAATATTTATGTGGCGTTCTTGTTGAAATGTATGAATTAAAATATGTTGATTGTATAATATATCTACGGATTCTTAAAATTGATGAAATATTAAGCTTCAATGATGAACATTCAAAAGTAATTAATCAATTAATCGTTATTTTATTACTTTTGCATTTTAACATTATGAGTGTATGATTAATTTTAGATAATATATGAAATATATGATACTGATAATCCAGACCTTCCAGTAGTTACGACTGTTGATGAATTACAAGAGTATACAAATTACGTTACACAGATTTTCACTGATACAAACGAAACAATTGTGAGTACTTTCTCATTATATTACCTCACAAAACTCCATAATATATTCCCGAAATAGTACAATAATAAATATTATAATACATTCCATAGAAAAAAAACTATTATTACAATTAAAGTACAATTTACATAACCTCATAGGTAGAGAACAAATACTTGCATGTCTACTTACCAATCAAACAAACTCAACTTATAACATTATAATTTTTTTTTTTTACCTATATGTAGAGAATATAATGATTATTTAAAATTAATAATAATAAAATACATTTTAAATACAAACGGTATAGATTGATTGGAAAGAATACCTTACAATTATATTTATGGACGTGAAAAATGTAACATTGGATTTTGAAACTGATTTAATTCAAATATATAATTTTGAATATTTTGAAGCACTATTCAAATTAATAAGTAAACATAAAGATCAATTAAGTGAGTATGAACATACCTAGGAATAATAATTGTTTTTTTTTCATGTAACTTATGTAATGTGTAATACAGTGTCCAAACTTGTCATGGTAAAGTATTGAAAGCTTTGATGTATCTACAAATTAATTACTAGTAGTACATAAATATATACATATTGTTAATTTTATATTTTTACATATAATTTCAGTCATCAATATATGGTGGGAAGCTGTTCGCACTCTTTTGCCATACACTACGAATGAAATGCGATTCTTGAAAGACAGATTTTTATACGAAACAAGTGGATTTGAAAATAATCCTTCAAGATCACTATATTGTGCAAATGCTGTAAACACAATGATGGGAATGGCCGTTTCCCGTTTATTATTAGACATAGAACAAATATATCGTAATATGAAAATGGTATTAAACTTTAAATTATTAATTTCTTGCATACACTTATAGTCGTATATATAATAATATACTTAAAAAGTTTCAAGAAACCGTGAATAATATTTTTATATCACAACAAAATAATTTATATCATTATTTTTGTTATTTTATGTGTAATTTCGTCAACATTTGAACATAAAATAATTATAATAAACTGTGTTTATACATAAAATTTAAGTTATTTAGATACAGAATAAACTACTTACTTGGAAACTTATTTTAATTTTCTATCCTTAGCCATAAAAGTTGAGCATTTCATAAATTTTTAATTAAAAAATAATTCTTTAATTTTAAATTCAATACATTTTGCTAACATTCGAATATTAAATGCTCATATAACAAAATCGAACCTGCCTTTAAGTATATTTTTAATATTTATCAACTGATATTGTAATAATACATCAAGAGCCTTGTATTAAATTTTCCAGCACTCTCACCGTGCATAGAAAATGCTGATAAATACTTGCAGTGAAAGTTTTGTGTATTGATGGTCATTTGTTTGAGAATTACACAAAAATCAAAATCGATTTCGTCGAAAACGAATTTTACGTACAAATTCCCATTTTTCTTATTTTTTTGTTTGTTTTTCTTGACGCTTTTGAAAACTACTGGGAATTTTAAATTTCGACCTCTCAAAGCACCAAAAGATTCACGTTCCTACCGGAAGAGATACTGAAGTTTAAATTCGAAGCAATATTTCAACTACTTATCATGTGCACAAATACAAATGATAAAACCACACACATCTTTTTATAGTCAATACATTTATGTTTTTTTTAGGCTGCTGAGATGAACGAAAATATTCATTGGGCGTTTGAAAAAATAGTTAAAGAGTTAAATTGGATGGATGATACGACTAAACAGAGGACACTATACAAAGCACAGCAAATGAGAACGCTAATTGGCTTTCCTGAATTCATAAATGACTCAAAAAAACTCGATGATTACTATTCTGAAGTAATTATGTCATTGATTTATAATTATTTTTTAAATTACTAGAATATTTATTTTAAATATTTATTTAGTTTGAAGTAATAGAAAATGATTATTTTGGAAACGTTATTCGTTATGTTCAACAAATATTAAACAACTCGTTGAAATTACTTAGGGAGTCCAATAATTTTAACACTTCCAATTCGTGAGTAAAAAGTAATATGTTTAATAAAATATTTGATAATATCATTTATATTTTTGTAGTTGGGCATTAGATCCTTTAGAAGTTAATGCGTTTCACTGGTACCAAGCAAATACAATAAGTAATTAATACAAAATTAAAAATGTCGCTATATTATATACAGTCGACATAACATAATTCAAACGTCTAAAATTCAGATTTTTTCAAAAGACTCACCAACTTTGAATTGCCGAGAGTCAATTGTATTAAAATTTCACTATCACTAAAACCAAAATATTATGTATTAATTTTTAGATGTTCCAGCTGGTGTATTACAATTTCCTTTCTTTGGACATGATTTACAGTATGTTGGAGTTTAGTTATTAAAGATAAATATGTACTAACTGGTGATTATATTAATTTAAGGATACTCAACTATGGTTTTTTTGGTTCGATGCTGGGCCATGAACTGACACATGGTTTTGACAATACTGGCCGAAGGTTCGATCAAGATGGAAATGAAAATATGTGGTGGACTAATCAAAGTACAGCAGAGTATGAAAAACGCACCAAATGTTTCATCCATCACTATGATTCTTATTTAATACCCGAATTAAAAAAAAAGGTATTATTTAAATTAGTTTACGATTGTAGCACAATGCTAAAATTAGTTATCTATAGATACATACTTTTTCACAATAATTTATTGAAAAAAAGGTTTAATTATCTTTATTTACATAAGTATATTTTGGATTGAGAGGTATGAGTAATTTTAAAATATTTAAACTTTAAAGTACTTATGTTTTCCTGCGGTCTCTATAACTTCAAACGATAGTCACCGGCCCAAGCTAAGTCGGCTTCTAAACGCAGAGCGATGATGCCGTATTGTTCTACAGTCTAACGCTGCAAGGACATGTACCTTCAGTCTTTTTCAAGCCAATCAAACATAAATATTATTTTATATAAAAATTCAATAAAAAAACAACTACCAATATGGCTAAATACAATTTTAATATTTTAGATAAGTGGTAAAAGGACGTTGGATGAAAATATTGCTGATAATGGGGGGTTGAGAGAAGCATTGTGGGCTTATAGAAAATTTGTAAACGATAACGGCGAAGAACCAAAACTACCTGGACTTGAACAATACACTAATGAACAAATTTATTTTTTAGCTTTTGCAAATGTAAGTAATTAAATATGCCAATTTATAAATCATAAAAAAATATAGTTTTAAATTATATATTTATCGTGTTAGTTATTCATCAAGTAATATTGCTTAATGATGTTTACTAGAATTGGTGTGAAGTAACAACAACTGATTCGTTATCAAGCAGTATATTAGATGTCCACAGTCCAAACAGCATACGAGTGATGGCAGGACTAATCAATTCCGATGAATTTAGCGATGTATGGAATTGTAAAAAAGGTTCCAAAATGAATCCAGAAAATGAAAAATGTAAAATATGGTAATAGGTGCAGACATAAAATTGTTATGATTTATTAAATAACCATTAAAATTATAAATGTCTTAGTAGAAATGAATTATCTATATATTATAATTACTTTTCTAACCGAGTTCACAAATTGACAAAATAATGTTAACCTATTAGAAGCGGTTGTATACTCTTATTATTATATTATAAACATTCAATATTGGTATAGATAATTACATTGAATATGTAATTTCATTTTAAATATTTATTTATTAATTAGAAATCCATAGAAGAAGAAGAATCAGTAATTTTTTATAAACGATTCTTTACAAGCCTAAACAACCACTAAAATCCACTGATACAAAGCCTATATTCCTTAACGCTCCCTGAAAACCTTCGCAGGAGGCTAAAAAGAAGATGGTGGAGAGACCTTTGACAATAAAATAAAAAAAAAACATTAAAAATAAAATAGAAATTGCACCTTACATACTCCTATTAATAAATGTCCTTCCTTTCTTACTCACACCTTCCAAACTATTCAATTTAAAGGGTTACAATAGGGTGACTTCTTAAACAAGCTTATTCATGTATAACTACTCTTTTCATATATACTTATTGTGCTATACTGTATAGATGGTATATTATCTCATTCAAATAAAAAAAAAAAATTATAAATTAACAATTTTTTTTATAACAAATACGTCTTATAAATCATTATAATTATCATATTATTTAATGGATCATTTTACGATGTTGCTTTGTTTGTTTCGAAATACCTTAATATGTTAATAATATTTTTTGTTTTTTGGTCAAAAAGCTTGAAAATTCAATATGAGATTCCTCGGTCGATTTTGCCACTGGTTTCAAAAATAACCAAAATTATACATGTACAATATATAAACAATTTTCATAATCTACATAAACAAATTTCCCACCATTTTTTGTACACGTTTATTAATAATAATGCAACAGGCCTACCTCGTTTATTTAAACCAAGTGACAATCAATATGTAAACCTAATTGTATCTAGTTAAGGAGTGTGTGGTTAGGTGCCCAATATACAAACTATTCTGGAGAACCGGGTGTTGAATGGGTACAAATAAAGTTTTCTAAGTTATATTTTACAGCTATTAGAAACTTATAACCTGAAGCGTTCATAGACAAACACAATTAAACAAGATTTAACAATAAGTACACAAGGTTTATTAAATCGTTGATAGTAATAATATTATACAGTACCCTATCACCCGAATAACTCCTTTCTTAAGGGAAGTTAATAAGATGACAGGAGTAGTGGAGTACGAATTGAAACAAATTCAATTATTATGATTTATCTATAAAGTAGGTTATTATACCTAGTACCTACATATGTTATACTATAGATTTTTGTTGTCCCTACTTCACTATTCGAACTCCACTGGTTGGCTATACCAATGATTTATATTATCATACTCTGCTGAGTTCCTGTGTTCTGTTTAAATAAGCAATTTTGTCGCCATCTCATTAGCTAATCTGTACATCGTTACAATAATATTTTATCATAATATCAAATAAAAATTAATTAATTCAAATATTTAACAAAAACGTTTATTTGTGTATAATATATACATAGAATTACGGCAGTATAGCCATCTTTTTATGGGTGGTCTTCGTTTCCGCCAACTCTAATTTCTGCCAAACGAAAAAGGTTCGATTTTCATTTCCGCCAAATCTATTTCCACCTATATTATTGAGTAGGAGTTTGAGAACCTTTTAAAAATTATAATTTCAAATGTTCAAAACAGTGTGTATACATTCAAATTAACAGTTGCAACTTATGTAGGCAAAAACCTATAAGATGTAATATAAAAAAATGACTAATCCATACAAATAACGCAATAAACGACTATAAAAACAAAAATATTTCAAGAATGATCTTTGGGTATGTAATAGTTATTCAAAATAATAAATACTAAATAATTATTCAAAAATACTCGACTTTAATCTAAAAATTAAGTCAAATAATTTTTGGGGGTCAATGAGAACCGTGTCCTTTTGGTGGCTCCTGGGTAACTCTAAACGGTTCTCAAACTAAATATTTAGACAGTTAGGTAGAAATAGATCAAAGTGAAAGTCGAGCGGTTCACCGCAACATTTTTACCTATATACTAATACAATTGAATATTCATTCCCTAGGAAATAGGTTAACAAATTTGCCTTGATTCTTCAAATATGTAAAATAAAATGTAATCAATGAAATTAGTATGATTTAAAAGTTGTGCATATATTCATATGAATATGAAAATGTATATTATAATTCTGGCTCTAGTCATAATAAACGCGATTTTTACACCTACAACTCTAAAGGAATATGAAAATCTAATCGAATGTTACTCGTCTCCGTATTACAAGTGTGTATCAATTTCAGCAGGTCTTAATTAGCAATTTAGCATTCTTACCTAATTTTAATATCAAAGCGATTATTTAAAACTATTGCTATTGTGGTCGTTTTTATTTTTTCAAAAACACAAAGCCATATGTAATGACTAATGATTATGCAGATGGTACTGAGTTGAAACCTTAAAATATGTAAATAAATAAGTTAAGCTAATGAAAACGAAATTCAAGGAGAATATGGGCACCCGCTTTTCCTTTTACACATTTTTCTTAGTTAACATTTGGTAACTAAAATTACATTTTGCTTCGATGTAACATTTCGTTTTTCTTACTTAAAAATAAACACATTGTCAATCATCGTTGAAATTTAAAAATTATAAATGATAAGAAAAAATTTTAAAATAAGGTACATATGAGATGGATTATCCAAAATACCGGTCAAACCCTGGACACCAGGACACTTCATTCAAATACTTAAGACTGCTTAAGAGACCATTGCCTCACCATTGATTCAATAAATCTTCAGTAATTGGCGATTATTCATGCAACCCAGCACTAGTGTATATTATTATTATTATATTATCGCTTTACTACTTTTTTTTTTTTTTAAGCTTCGGCGACTGAGGCCATTAGCTGTAGGTTGTGTGGTACTGTAGGATTTGGAACTGTAGGGGGGGGGGGAACACGTGTGTTTTTACTACTTTTAAACATCAAATATCAGAATTAAGATCAATAAATTATATTTTTAACAGCGGTTCTAAAAAAAAAGTTGACCGAATTAATATTATTTTAATTAGTATTAATATTTTGTTTATAATTTGTAATAGTTGGATGATATAATAAATTATGATAATGTCAATAATGTTTTATCTTTGTGTATTTTCATTCAAAATATGTAAATATAAAATAATATAATTAATAAATAAACGAAAAGGTTCCTTTGATAATCCAATTGATGTACAATTATTCTGTACTTTGTACAGCGTTCTTAAATTAAAACTTAATGAAACAGGACGTTTAGATCAGAGATTCTCAAACTTTTTTTTTCACTTACCACTCATGTGTATTATTGACCATGTATACCATGTACCATTAATTACTATAAATAGAACTTTTCGAAATTGCAAACCAATTTTAACAATAATATTATTGAAAAATAATAATTTAGGTGCATTTAACAGTATAGTAGTATATTACTATTTAGTGCCTATTTCCACAAAATATAAAATAACATTAAATCCTTTACAAGCATTAGTAAAAATATTAATTTATTAATTTTCCATGCCACCCCAAGAAAGGGCCACCCACTTATCAATATGTATTCTTCTGTGTACCATCAGAAACCGTTAGTATGAGTACCACAGTTTGAGAACCGCTGGTTTAGATCATACCCATCACTTATCATATATTTTCACTTATCAGCTCTTTTAACGTGGGTATACAATATATGTATATTTTATAATATTTTTATCAAAAACAAGTTTGCAGTACGACAGTGTAAAACTACAAACAACGTTCTCTCGGCTATTTTTTTCATCATTATTAAATTAGTTGTTTCCAAATCGTGTTGGTGCGTGTACCTACCTGCAAATAATTACATTACTTACGTCTTTAACTTTTAAGCTTTATAGCAATAATCTATAATTTTATAACATAATACAAATCTTAATGATTTGCTAATTTTTTAAGTTCTTTTCCATTAATCATTTTAAGTTGTGGTATTTTGTTAAAACTATGTTAAAGACTTGCTTCGGATGTTGTCCATTACACCATGGCGTCAGTGCGATTGCAATTATAAACATAGTAAGAACTATAAACTGTGTTGAACATATAATTAATTTATTGTGCACCCGTAGAAAGTAAATTCATATTTTTTTAATACATGCGTGTTAATGTTATAAATTATGGTATTAGTATTTTTGTTCACTGTCACTCATTAGTTAAAATTCTTATTTTGATAATGATTCTAATCTTATTTTATACTAGGTATGTGGGTATCATAATATAATACAACTGTAAAATATCATATTTTTACTTTTTATTTATTATGTTATTGTGGGGTACCTACCAATATTATTTTTAATTATTTGACGTTATTTAATCTACGATTAATGTTCATCAGAAAATTATTATTTGCCCAAGATAAATTATTCGTATGTCCTTTTCTCGCATAACATATACCTAATAAGTAATAATACTAATTTTATTGATTTAACTGCTCATAAAAATACTTGTTTGATTACAGTATTTACAAGCTTATGACATAATAAAACAAAATTGGAACTTTGCACCTACATCTTGCGTGCCCATATGGCTGTATCTAATATCAATAATATTAAAAATCAACCACGTTTTATTAAATATGCAAATATTGCACATCACAATATTATTCATATTATTTTTGTTTAGTGATAAAAATTAATTTTTAAATAAATTTAAAAAAAAATCTTTATTTGTTGATAGCAAAATCTATCTAAAATAAAATATTATTGCCATTCATTTGCCATCATAGCCATTTCAGAGGGGACACAAACATGTTATCATTGACTGTTGGTGCTTGTTTAATATCCATATTTATATCAATGTGACATATGCCATATGTGTTGTACAGAGGATCATTTAACTTACCCATACTAAAATATAAATGTTCCCATTATAAAATATATTATTGCAAATGGCCTTCTCGAAAGAACTGTTCTATATACAAACACAAAGTTTAAGTGTCATACAAGTTATTTTATAATAATGTATATAACAGTCAAATGGCAATGGGTGCAAAGGTTTATTCAATAAAAAAACCTAAATTCGCATTTTTGTAAAAGAAAATTAATGATCTCTAAAAAATAGTAATGACTTAAAAGTTATTATGAAAATGTTTTTTGAAAATTTCAAATTCCTATGGTTAATCTATTTTGAGTTATAACTTATAACTAAAAAAAACTAATACGATTTTGTACAAAATTGATGTCGCATTAATATTTCCGTTTTTTGGTTTTCCCCAATTAATTTAAAAAAAATAAGTAACCAGAATTTACATTTTTAACCACTTGAAATATACCTATTAACCAAATCAAATCTTCTATTTGAATCCTTACTCAACTTTAAGGTTCGAATTTTTAATGCTCTAAAACGTGATGACATCAGACACGAACCTCAGTGAGTATCAATTGCTATGGACTGGCGTTCTGCTTAAGGCTAATTATAGTATATTCTACCGTACATTAATGTGCAATCGCGTAACCGAGATGGTAGGCTAGGTATAAATAATACGCATACAGGAAGAGTAGGTGTCAATAGTAAAGTAGGGTGACAGTTGTGGTACATAACTACCGGGAAAAGGATTTTCAATCCTATTATTTTCTGAACATTTAGAATAATTCTCTGAATCAAATATTTGAACACAATGTACTAGTTTACCAGTTAATTTTAAAGTGTCTAAATTGAAAATAATACAATAAATTATGAATCATTCAACGGTATTCAAGCTCATTTCAGAAAGTACAACTCATCTTTTTAGAAACACCTGTAGTCGTCAGACAACTAAACACAAAACGACGAAACTACTATATTATTTATATTATAGTAACAGAATTCATCATTACTATTACAGGTTTGGAATATTACGGAAGCGTTAAAACACATTTATCACCGTAATGAACAGTATGAACGATTCAAGTGGGTTATCAATTCAAATGGCAATAATGCTTCTGCTAATACCCTCAATACCTTTGACAATAGCACTGCAGACGATGAGTCTGCTGATTACTGGTCGGATATTGAAAGAATTCCTGTGATGAGTGGTAAGTGTTTAATACCTATCCAAAAACATATTTCCAATTTTGATTAATTTTTATATATCATATTATAATTATTTAATAAAATACTGTCATCTCGGCTAACTATATGTGTAAACTTGATTCAGGAATATACATGGATTACGTATTCATAATAACAATCAGTTGGGTCGTTTTGGAATTCATCTCGAATTGCTGTCTCAAGCAATCCACCTTCAAAGTAATATATATATATATATTAATATTATTATAGAACCTTTGACAAATATTACAATGTAAAATATCATAATTATTTCGTGTGAACTTATCATTGTAGCGTGCTCCTCAAAAAATCTACCTGTGGCTAGTAATTTATTACGGGAATTTAATGTTTATGGTATTGCACTTGCTCCATTACTTAATATTGATGATGAGACATTCAATTCTGATACATACACTATTCACAATGATGCAACAACATTTTGGACATTTTTTTGTGGTATGTATATCATCAGAAAAAAAAATTGGTCATAAACTCATAATAATTCAGGGACTTTAATATTATGTAACAAACTAATAACAATAAAATCAATATCATAATTCATAAGTGTAAATACAAGTTAGTCTAAAATTGAATATAATTTTTATTTCTAATTATACTTAAGAAATTATTCATTTTTTATATTGAAATATCTATAAAAAAATTTAAATTTTCAAACTTTTAAACTAAGTACTTGCACAGTAATTATTTCTGAATTATTTAAAGCAACAACTGCAAATCAAGTGGGAAAACCACTAAATCTTAAAATTTGGTAACATAATATATCGGTCACTATTAATAAACTCTGATTTAAAAAACTGCCGATGTATTAAAAATAATATGGCTTAATGAAAAAAGCGAGTAAATAATTATCGTATTATGTGATTATGAGAACATTAAATAACTACTATAAATCATCATTGTGTTATATAAAACCTTCTATTGTGTGTTATAATAACTATAATATTGTAGGTACACTATACCTATAAAGTATAAATGTCTTTAAAAACAGACAAGTTCATTTTGAATGGTTCTATAGTTCTATACCTACATGTTTTGAAATGATTTAAAAGTTTGGAAATTTATTTTCGCGTTTAAATATAATGTTACGAAATGTATGTATGTATGATTTGTTATGCATTATTATAAAAATAATATTTGTGTATTGGTACCATAATAACATTATAACAATACTACCATAACACAATTTCTGTACCATATAGTACCGGTACTATCTTCTAAATGTATATTATTAACATTATTGCATAGAATATAATACTCAATTAACTTAATTATTTTTAATCAACCGTTATACAAATTACTAACAAAATATGCCCTCAAAAAATTTGTAAATTCTATTATTTTTTATTTTTATCTGATTATAAATGTTCACACATATTTTTTGTGAAATTATAAAAATTAATTTTAAATCATATTTTACACAATTTTAAATTAATTGATTGCTTTTTAGTTTGATTTAGTATTTTGTGAAAACAATTTTCCAGCACAGAAATAGTTAATTATTATATTATATTTAATTCCATTGAAACCTCACTGGAATGCAATATTGATTTATTACAATTTAAAATTACCAATTATGTTTAACTTACGTATACTAAATATTAATTGATTTTATGTTATGATTACTGTTTTAGAAATTGATATACATTGCTATTATAAGTCTTGAAATCGTAATAATTCACTCGTACTATATTGCTGAAGAAAAAAATATGCTGAATGACATAGTACAACTCAAATGGAAATATGTATCACGAGGAGAAGTGGTGTCTAAAGGCGTCGATTATTCTTCGTCGTCAGCTTTCAATGAAAGAACTTCGGGCCAAACCCAAGAAGGATCTAGAGTGCCACCGTACATAACCAATATTATACAGAACTAATTATGCTACCACATTTTAAACATAACTTCATGCGCAACAAATAGAATTGACAAAAATGCATATTATCATGTTGCATTTTAAAAAGTATTTATTTTTTATAGGTTTTAAAAAATTTTCAATTTCATTTTTGTAGATGTAAATTTATAATTGATATTATTCCATATTATATAATATCCTCAATTAAATACAACGATGGTGTATAATAACTATTTCATTTAATTATATTAAGTTCTCAATTATTGAGTCCATCCAACAAACCAAATATATTTTTTATTCATATAATATTAAACCTAACCTAAAATCCTTATTCTTCATAGTATTTTAAGTATATCAAAAAGTGCACAAATTATGAATAAAAAATTTTTATAGGTAACTATAGTTAAAATATTTTTGAAAAATAATTTAAAACCATAATACTTATTGAGAAATACCTTAACCAGGTACCTAGTTGATTTCACAGTTCAATTTATTGTAACAATCACATATTGTTTGTACTTGCATGCATTAAGAATTACGATTAACTATTACGCGTACTGTCAAAATTGTGTATTATTAACTTGAATAATTGTATTATTTTAAAGTGTTTTTGTCGTACTTTATTCAAAAATGAATAACTGAAAACACTTTAAATGCTTATAAATAATGTTTATAATAAATATTTATAGGTATTATCATTTTTTAGACATAATATAATTTTTTTAATATTTTGACTCTGTTGATCATACATTTCAAATTGTTGACTTTTTGAATTTTGTTTTTATGTATGTACGATAAAAATTGTTGTTAGTAAGTAAAAATCATGATGCCTTAATAAAAGAGTCTTCGTAATTATTTATAACAGCAGTTAAAAAATAAGAAAAATATGTGTTCACCATTTATTTTACAAGCATTCAAATTTTACAATATTCGTCACTCCGCGAAAATGTATAAATTATTTTTAGTTAATAATGAATATCATTTTTAACTTTAGCACCTTTATCTTTAAAAATTAATACTAGTTTCTTTGCAGGTTTTTCTTTATTGGAATAAAAAAAAAAAAGTTTAGTGTAATAATTGTTTGTGGCGTAATTTTTACCACAATTAGATATACCTTCTAAAACAGACGAGTTACCAGTTATCATTTTATCGATGATAAATAATTAATTGAAGTTATACAATACAATATAATATTGGTACTAATATTATACCTACTACAATCACTATTTTTTATCTACATAATTCACACCAAGACTAAGGTACAAAATTCATGTTAGCATAGTACTAACTCAACAAATGAAGATCTTATTTATTTTGGAAACATTGAAATCGTATAATCATAAATTAAACTAGTGTCTAGTGGCCAGTTGGTAGGTGTAGGTCGTTGGATTATCATTATATAGACAGAAAATAAAAATAAAATTAAAGAACAATATTTTTTCTTTCATTTTTATAACGATTGTTAATTTATAGTGAACAATTACATTCAAAAAATAATCAATTCACAGCATATTATGGTTCTATAAACTATGTATTAATACTTCATTTCTCAATATTTTAATAACACATTAATTACAAGGTGATTATCATGACAAACTCGTGTTTCGGATGTTGTTCTATTCGTCATGGCGTTAGTTGTATTTACATTTTTAATATAGTAAGTTGTAATATAATATTTTAATATACAATTATACGCTAATATTAAAAACACTCGTATCTATAATAGGTAGGTATCTACAGTCCTACACACTACATGATCATTTTTAATGTATTTTCTTTACTTGATTAAATCTCATTTAGTATATTTGTGATGTAAAATAATAATTACTACTACATTATGACGTACATGAAGTAAGTTGAATTAGAATACATTAGCCATCAGGTGTAAGTGTAATATTATAGTATAGGAACACATCTACACCTGAATATACACTACACATCAATTTCAATAATTACTTTAAGATTTTAAGGGTACCTACTGAATTCTATTAAAAAATCATGCAGTATTTGAATACAATACGTACTTGTGTATATTTTAGAACCATGATTATTTTATTAAAATTAAAAATGAATTCAGAATTTATATACGTAGAAAGTTATTTTACTATTTTATTTGATAAGCATAGAAAACAATATAATGGCAATTTTTCGGAATAATAAACAAATTATTAATGTTAAGTGTATATTATAATGTATATTAGTGCAATAGTAGAATAGAATAAAATAGTTGTACCTTTTTAGTTAATATTCTTAGAGACTGATATAAAACCATTTTGCATTTTTATTTGAAAACAGTATTTATAATAATAACGTTTGAGTTTAATGGTTTTATGTAGGTTCTCGTAATTAAGGATATGATGATTTTACATAAGTATGATGTATAAAATATTATTAATATTATATTGTTTTATTTTTATTTAGTTTTTGACCACTTTAATTATAATGAACGATTTCTTACAACGCTTGTCAAACTACTATCAATATTATCAGCATACCGGCTCTGAAAATTCTACAGAACAAACATTTAGTCTTGATGCCATTCCTGATTATTATTTAGATGAAAAAATTAATGTGACAATACATTTCAATTCTACGGGCAGAAACGTTTATACGAATACCAGAATTTTACCTCTCCTGAGTGTTAAGTATTTATTAATTTTATAAGTAATCGAGTAATCGTTGGCATTCAAATATTATAACTATTATAAATGCACGGAAAATGGAATTTTATTACTTGTAATTTTGGCCACCAATAGGTAAATTTAGGTGCGTTTGTAATTGGCGCCAAAGTAGAAAAATATGACATGTATTTTGAGCATTTTAAGTCACATCTAAAAATGAATTATGGAATTTAATAAAATCAACCGATTACACTAAATGTTGAAGTATCAGAATCAAAATTAGTATGATTACGGTTTTTAAGTTATTTAACTTCGTATATAAGTACTAAGGATATAGGTCCATGATAATGGATTTGTAATAAATGGGGACTGGTGATTGCTATTATTAAATTTAGCGATTATTGATTAATATTAATTCATGAACATAAATAGTTTGTAAAAATGGCCCAAGTATAATACATACTAAAGCCAATATCAAATATATTTATATTTTTGTAAAAGAAATATCTATAATTGCAAAAAATTATAATAATTTATAATAAAAATAATTTAGAGTAAAAAAGGAAGGTTCTTATTTAAAAAACAGAAGTTTGTATCGAAATATAATACTCCTCGCGCAATACAAAATGACTTAAGAATTTTAAAAATAGTCCAAGTAAAATTAAAAATTCCAAAAAACGAAATTTTGATAAATTAATTATTAAAAAAAAAATGTGAGTTTGCGTGCTTGATGAATCACTCTGTATATACAATTGTAAATAACTTTTTAATATTTTTTTTTTTGCATACATTCACATGTTTTTTAATTTTTGCTGTATGTTTTTAATGGATAATTCATCAATATTTTATATGACATTCAATTCATTGCCCTAATTATAAGCATTACTATAACTTTATTTTCTAATTAGGGTACAACGTTAAACAAATCAATCAATCGATTGATCAGTTATAACCAAGAGCTGTACCGGTCAACTTAAAATTTACAGTTTACAGTTAAAAACCGTGCCACGAGTGCAAACTGATATTACCTAATCTCAATTGCATTAAATGTATAAATATTAAAAAAATGTATTGTATTTTATGGTGTTTTGAATGATTATAGAAATTTTTATGGACTACATATTCATCGTAAAATTGGCATGGGGTGTGATGGAATTCTACTTAAACATTAGCCTGAAACAATCAACGTACACTGTAAGTATCTATTAATATTTCTATATATTAGCAATAATAATTCAATAATTGTTTACATTGTAATTATAATAATAGTTGAGGTCGATGCCACGTCCTAAAGCCCCAGAAATCGTTATTTATTTCATAATATATAATAAATAATAATGCATTAATTTTTTTTTTTGCCATTTTTTAAAAAATATGTCCAAAAAAATAGATCTTAAATATATACAGAAGATGCAATAGGTATATAATATTTATAATAGAAATCCATAAAAACTCAAATTAACATTTCATTCGTAAATTAAGTATGATAATATTATACATTTTATATTATTTTCTGAATAGAAAATTAGAAAACTTTCAAAATATAATCCATCATCAGGTTTTTTTTTATAAACGCTGAGAGACAGGATAGACAACAATTTTTGAAAATTGCATATAGGTCAGTTGCTAACAAAATAATAATGGAACCCGATATAAAAATTTGAAAAATAAGAAATACTTATATTATGATATTTGCGACATACTCATTTTCAGTAAAATATATATAAAAAAGAATATTCAGTTGCAACTCAGATAATAACGTCCCTAAAGATCTCTAAAATTATAGTCCTTATTGATAATTAAAAATTGCAAAGTTTAATTTCTAGTTAAACATAATACTTATCTTTTTTTTTCTCAGGTTTCTCCAGAAAAGATTTATGCTTGGTTAGTGATTTATTATTTTAACTTATGCTCAGCCATAATTTTTCTAATCATCGTCACCATCAATCTGGAGATTTTTAGAGATGTAGAATATTTTGTGGTTTGTACAATTTTTAAATAAATATTTTATCAGTAAAGGTCGGCCCACACGTCACACTGCTGCGGTGGACGTGCAATTCTTTTGTCTTGGCGGTGAATTGTGTACAGACTCATTTTAACTCCACCGTCACCGCCACCGCTGCAGTGTGAGGAGACCTTAAAAAAATTGTTACCTAGATGTGTGAATATTACATTTAGAAGTATTTTTTTAATTCACAAAATATCATTATAGGTATGATTAACTTAATTCAAGAACTCCTCATTCCCAATAAATGTTAATTTATCATCTAATTTTATATTCCATATGAGTGTGCACAACGTGCATCTACAAATTATTTTATAGTAAATACATCTATACGTCTCCTTTTTTATTCCAGTGTTTCATCGAAATAACAATTATTGCGGTCGAAATCTACATCGTGCAATCGTATTACAAACAGCAGAAGTTGGCAGCCGTCAGTGATTTCGTTCACTTAAAATGGAAATATATACCAAAGCCCAAAACTCAATCAGACGAAAATAGATCCACGGTAGGCATAACACCAGAGAATCCGCTTAATCAAACTGAAGACCAATCCGGTTACATCCCGATATTTGTGAGAGATTTGCGCCGCGCAAATTCTTAAAATTGTATAATCCAATTTGTCGATTTGCGATGTAGAGCATACTAGATATAGAGTGTTTTGTGCGCATGCTCTACACGTCGTACAGAGGTAGTATTTATTATAATTAATTAAGCCCATCCATTGGGTTCGTTTAAAAAAAATTGTATGTGCCTATACAATGATATTATTATTTATAACTATATTATATACTTTCACTATTAAATACAATATGCTTTTAAATTATATAATAAAATCGATATTTTTTAAATTTTTTAATTCGGAAATAATTGTTAGTTGTACTATAAAATAAACTACCTATATACATGTGAAAAGTGGTAATGAGTTCTAATTTCACAACGAATACATATTGTATAGATATAATGTTAAACGTCAAAAACTCTGCAGTCATCTTACAATCTTGCAATTATTCATGTTCGTGTATGTGCAATTGTCAACAAAATGTCAAAACCAATCGTAATTTCAGGTATATGTAGTTCCATTTAAATCGGTCCAGAATTGAATTACGATCTGTATGGACAACTACAAATGAGTTATTAATTTTTTTGATTCATGAAACATTCTAAAAATATTTAAAAATATTAATTTAATTTAACTGAATTTAATTTAATAACACAATACGGAATAGGTACAGAAAACTAGTACAATAACACCTTTACAAAAAATTAAATCATATTTCATAAATAGATGGTGTGAACATAATATTATGCCAATTACACTTCAAGTAAAACCTAATTGAATTTGAATGATACTTAGGTGATAGTAATTACAAATAAAAGAAAACAAATGATCAGAATTGACTTCAGTTAATACACATTACACGCATTCGACGGTTTAGTGGTGCCTACATTTAAGTCATAAGTTTTTAAGAAGGTAGAAAGCTAAAAAGGGACCATAGTATGTGTACAAGTATTGGAAAATCTGGTAGAATGATTTCCGTGAATGAAAGTGACTTTGTAAAGAAGACAATAGGTGGATAAAGTCGTGTATAATAGTTTAATCAAAAATCAAGTCAATGTTGCTGCTTGTTTATCAGGTAGCCATTGCAGGTTATGTAAAATAAAAGAGTTATTATTTTACTCTTCAACACATAAATTCTGAATTTTTTAGTAATTAACTGACGAAAAACTATACTTGTTGTCTTTATATACTGCAGTGGCCATTGGTTACAGAAAATAAAATAGTTATTATGATTGCATATGATTGTTAACTGTAAAATATTAATTGGTAAAAACCACCCAAATAACTGCAGTGTTAAAAATCAATGCAATTTATAACGGAGTTTAAGAAGTGGTAAATTCACGGTCATTTAATTTGTCACGCACAACGCCCTGCTGCAGTATCATGCAGCTATAGTATATTATAATATAATATATTGAGAGTAAAAATAATCTAATCAACTTTTACTTAAAACGATGCGTTTTTAATATTATGACGCGTGTTCGTGTATGAAGATATAAAAACCAATTGATATTGTATAACTGACAATTTATTACACACATTTTTCACTCTAAATATCATAATATGAATAATTTAAAATGTTGACTTATGTAAAGATGTGTACTTATATTGTTATGTCATACCTACATAATTACATATTACAATTAATTTTAGCAGTATTTATATAGGTACCTAAGTACCTGGTACCTGGTTTACAGAAAGTGTAAAATTACTGTTAATTATTAATTTTTAAAAATACATACCTGGTGATTTTTAAGTATTCACACACCCATATTTCTCTTTGATATTACATCTATTCAAATTCTAGAATTTTTAATTATACCTTAAAACATATTTTCAAATTTCTAATATTTTTTTAACTATATAAGGAGTGTCCTGTGGCGATACAAACTTCTATTTTTAAAATAAGAACCCCCTTTTTTACACCAAATTATTTAGCGGATGTTTTTCTTGACAACGTTGATATATTAAAATCAAAATTCGAATGTGTAGTTTTTCCAGAGTTATTAAAGTGTTTATACTGGGGATAGTAATTCTTAAAAATGGTTTTATAACTATAAAACTATGTTATATAATATTTATTATACTTGGATCATTTTTACAAAATATTTATATTGATAAATCAATATAGTAGTTAATGTCTCGAGTAAATCGTTTAAGCCTCTTATCTACTTATACCCATTATACAATAAGTTATATAACTAAAAAGTAAAAAACTATTCATTTGAATAATTTTGATTTAGATTCATTAAAGTTCTCGAAAAAAAAAATACCTGCTTAATAATAAAAAATGAAAAACGAGGTTCCTATTAAATTTAAGTTTGTGTTGTCATTGAAACATTCATAAGTGGCACAAGAAATCTTAAGGATTAAAAAATATGTACTTGTAGTGTATTTAAAATTTTAAGCATCAGAATTTGAATGTATGCTTAATTTAAGCATAAAAATAGGGTGAGTGGATAAAAAAAATCACTCTGTACATATACTACATTTCTAGGTAGAAACTAAACCAAACAATTTATATTTTTATATCTATTTATAACTTTTTGTTAACTGTATTATTATTATATCACTAAAAACATCTACAACAGATGCTAAATGAAAATGCATAAATAAAATTATGAAATGTAATTGTTTAAATTAGAATATATATTTTAATAAATAATGAAGGTGAAAGATCTATGTATAAGGATTAACAGAATAAAATAACAAACGTATTAACTGTTACTCTAATCAATATATATTATCAAAGTATTTTTTTTTAAATATAATTTATAAACGATTGCACTCGCACAAGCCCAGCATAATTTGTTTATTTTATTTGTATTGAATTTAAAATTAAAAATTAAAAATTGTACTAATTTTTTTATTTTTAAATTCAAAATAGCTATTTGGCAATCTAATTTTTAGAAAAAATGTTGTAGTACAAACGTTTATTTGAGTCATGTAGTTTATTTTTTACATATTTTTCTATAACATCAATATTTTTTTGAACTAGGCGATAAGCACATAAATAAATTTCATACGTAATAACTTTTTCCAAAATATTATTTTTGGGATTTTTCAAATATAAGTAAATCATAAATTATTTATCATCCATATAATTTTCATATTTTTTTCTTACTTTTGACTTTCATCAATTTTTCATTTTAATTTCATTATTTGTCAGGTCTTTTTATTACATCCTGTAGTATTACATTAATATTGAAATTTGTTGGTAAGTTAAAATTGATAACATAACATAGAACATTATATATTTACCTAATTATTTAATGTCTATCAGTTATGAATATTTACACACGTTTAAATTTAGGTGTAAATACTTTATTAGTATATAGTTATATTTTATGTTATATGTAGTTTATGTTTGTTGCATATTCGATATAAGTAAAATGCGTTATTGTTTTGAGTCTCGTCGTTATCTTATATCAACATGAAACATTTATTTATATAAAACAACATAATGGATATTTATGTTTTATATACACGTATCGAGTTTTTATTTTCCATTCGATCCGATAAAACAGCAAAGGTCAACTTTATCAATCGTTTCCTTCCTGATTATTTCAGACTATTACACTTGTTAGTAGTTGTGTTTCAATATTCATCCAGTTCGAACGAATATTTCATATTATACTTTATGGAAAATAATTATTCTTTTGAACTTACTTTTGTGAATTATTTATAGTAAAATATGCTTTCGTCGTGCTTTGGATTGCCGCTGAGGACAGGAACAAGTATTATAGCAATTATAAATTCGGTAAGTTAAAGGTAAAATTAATAAAATTAATATTACTTTTTTACTTCTCATTCTTAAATTTGTCTCAATTATACATACTTTATTACATCCATGAGGACACATTTTACAGGGTGACGTAATGTCTTATCGTGTTTGTACCCGTTAAATAACTTATTTTTTAATATTAAACTGTGGTTTTGGCATTAAGTTGCCAAAGGGATTTTTAAAACCGATTTTTAAAAATATTTTACTTACCGCACCTAACCAACTAAATAGCCCCCTTACAAGGGTCTCTTACAGTTATGCAGATACCTACAACTAAATAACAAATTTTGAAACCTTTAACCGGTGTAAAATATAAATTAAAGCACATCAAATGTAAGTACTTAAGTTAATATTTACTAATAAAGTAATAAATAATAAAAAGTGTGCTTATCCGATTAGCGAAAACTAGGGAATATTGTGTTAAAACATTGTTTTCGAAAAAAAATTTTCAATAGACTTTAAATCTCAATATTTTAGTAAGTTGTGAGCGTACGATTTAAAACTGAAGAATTATGACTTGTAATTTTTACTCAACATATCTAATTACCAATAAGTTTTTTTTTAGATTGCATCGATTTGTTATATTTGTTATTACGTTTGGGAATACAACGTAAGTTATGAAGTCACAAAGGAAAATAAAATGATAGACGCCAGTCCACTTGATCAGATAGTACAAGCTACAGACGGTAAATAAATAATGTATTACCTAGAAGTACCTAATTCTTATTTACATTTAACACGGTTGTTCGTAAGTGTCATAAATCATTACAATAGGAAAATATTCCTTTTTTACGGCATGAGTAGTTTTCCAAATATAAATTGATGAATATTTTATATGACGAGCCAAATGAATATTCGAAAATTATTTAAATTTATTTTTATTTGCTGATTAAATATATAACTATGCCACGAATCAGGTTACTTTTTTCACAAAAAAAGGGAGGAAAGTATGAAACCACTTTGCTTTAGAGTAGGTGTATCACTATACACTTACCCTGTCATTGAATAAGTCTTTTTAACATATGTGTTAAATTTGAATTCAAAGATGAATCTTTGCACACGAAAAATTATTTTGAGCATAAACGGACCAAGCCTCAATAGTTTCACCAAGTATAATTTATTTATTATTATATATTATATGTATATATATATATTTATATTGTTATCATAGTCATTTATTTCAATATTATTTTTCGTGTACATGATTAGCCTTATATGTATACTTACAAAATAAAATATATGTTTAAAACTTTAAATGTTTGTCTTCTAGATTTATACTTAAAATAATACATTTTAATGATTTCGATATGTATACACGTTCAATTACTAAAATTAATTGTTTTTCAATGTTAAAATAAAGATTATAATTTACATTATCAAATAGGTATCAACCCTTATGAGTTATGACCAAACTGAAAATGAAATGTAATTTTTTAATTTAACTACTGCAGTGTACTTCTATCTAATGTTAGAAAAAAAATATGTAAAATGATAAGAAAAAATATATGAATATAGGTACATTAATGTACATAATATTTCATATTAATTGGCATGTACATTAACCTGGTAATTCCTATAACAGTCATAATTTGTCATGTCTTAATCATATATTTATAACTGAAGCTTATACCTAATATAACATTTTAACATAAATATGAATTTATCTGTTTTTAGAAGTTTTTTTGAATTACATCACATTAGTTTTTATGCTCGTCGGATTTACTTCACTGTTCGCGAGTTTTGGCTTGAAACAATCAACATCGTATGTACGTTAAAAGTTCCAACATATTATTATATTAAAATTTACCTATCTGTATAATAAATATATGCATGCGTGTTCACTGTTCATTGACCATCATTGGTGTCAGCCGAAGAAACTTTTTCGAACCCCGTCGATCGTCACTCCTTGCTAGAGTTATTCATAATATTATGATTTATGATGAATATTAAATATAGATATTTTATTTAATTAAAGTTAAACAATGTGCCTAGGTATAGGTATCTAATTATAAATATTATAATTTATCATACGATTATAAACTCAAAAATTATGATTTTTTCGCTTATACATTTTTTCATTTATTGATACAAATTACATAGGTAATAACTAATAATATGTATTACACGTTGTAGATATATTTTATATTGATTATAGGAAAAAAAATAGTTTATTTTTTCAGATTAAAAACGTTATAAAATTTGAAACCCTCATTCTTATATAGTTATATTCTTAATTTTTATTGAAGTGTATTTCGTCGTCCATCGTTATACTCGTGGATTTTCCCGTAACATTTTAGACGCATAGGTATGCATAGGTACATCATTGATATGAGGTATAAGTATATTAATAACTAATACCCATATAATACCGATTATACCTATGTTTATTAGGTACCTACATAATTTATTTGAATGCATAAGCTCGATGATTAGAATATTGATTTATTATACACCCAATTACTTCTGTATAATAATTATACTATATTCTCATATTGCTACTGAATCGCAAATTGTATGTCTGTTATCTGTAGAACATAATAATTATATTATATTATATTATATTATAAGTATAACTTATCATAATGAATATTAATTACCCATCTATATTTATTATTGATATTTCGATAGTTCAAAAAAGGTATACACATCATTAATCATTATATAGTTCGGTACAAATTACAATATTTAAGAGATTAAATTAGTTAGTTAGCTTGTTTGTTTTTTTTTAGAATGCTGCTCACAAGATTTATCTGTGGCTTTTGATTGGCTGTGTTCAATTTGGTACGGTTGTCACCATTGAAATTGTAGTGCTATTTAAACACACAACTTTCGTCCAACATAATATACCCGGATTCTTCTTATGTTTTGTGCTCATTGACGGTAAAATTAATATACCTATTTATTTGTATAATTAATACATTTGATATAAACGAAAACAGCACTAACGGTTATACTTTATGCCAGCCATCTCAAACTCGAATCATTACTAGAGGGTCAAATATATGTCATTTATACCCCAAAAGCTCATTGAAAAAAAGGCCTTTTTTACTCTTTTTATTACTCAAGTCAAAATAAATTAAGACGAAATGTATTTCTTCTCTTGATTATAATAATTATAATACAACAGTATTTAATATTATGTATTACAAAGATGTAGTTACCTACATATATAGACTTTTTGTTTGACAATTATTTATTTTTATTTAAAAAAATTATAAAAGTTTTGTAGAAATAAATTTTTATTAAGAACACATATTTCAGATCACAGCAGCATTATATTATACTTATCAGTGGCGTCTTTAGTGGTTGGGTTGTGTAGAGCCATAGAGCCCCTCTCATCACAAGATAATTTATTATACTCCTATAGGAGTACAGGAGTACTATATTACTACTAAATAAACTATAATATAGCTGCTATATATTTTTTTAAGCATTTGGTGGAAAAGAAAAAAATACTGAAATATTGACACCAATTTTTTTTTTTAAGTAGAATACTTGGAATCATGGTTATTGATCATAGGCAGACACTTGCTTGAATTTTTGGTTGGGGGAGGGGTGCTAGAATTATAAAAAGTAAAATGATCTACCAATGTTCATTGTACATGCAATTCCATTGACGGGGTTTTTGGCTATTGGCATTTTTAGCTGGTAGGAAGGCCCTTCTCCTGATGTCCACGGTCTACCTATGTTGTGGCTATATATTCAGAAATATCCTAAATTCAACCTGTTGAAGATGGACAAGTTAGTCAAAAAAAAAAGAAACTTAAGTTTATATATTTTACATTTATCTATTTCTGATAACATATATATAGGTAGGTACTTACGTTTGGCAAACAAGAATCTGATCATTATTTATTTTTTACCAATTCATAGGGGCTTATAAAACTATTCCTTATAATTATACTATTATATCCCCTCGCTCAAAATACATAATTTGCCAACAGCAGATATGTAAAACGATTGTGCAATTCCCACCTTAATATAATTAATAATAAGATAATAAGATATTTTAAAATAATATACCCACCGATTTCATTATGTAACGATAAATAATATAATTTATTTTATTTTTAGCTGCTTTAGTATACCAGCTTTTAGTAGTACAGTCGTTCTATAAAGAAGAGAAATTAATCGAAGAGACCAATTACAGTAGACTGCGTTCAGATTTGACATCACAGATTGAACAACACGACGAAGAAGAATTTCAAAATATAGATCTTTAATATATCTTTAATCCTTGTATTATTTTTGTTTCTGACAAAAATGCCTAAGCACTACCTTTGTAATAAAGGCACATATTATTATTTTAAATTTATGATTTTGCAAAATTGTTGCAAACTGACTAATGAACTATAGTCAACATTACACTGAGCTTTTAAATGTTATTTTACTTAGTTATTTTCTTTTTTATACATACCTAAAAGCTAAAATATATATACATATGAAAATATGAGTAACAGTTTATGTACGTATAGAATATAAATACATTTTACAAAAATACAATTACCTAGTGCCTATCAGATTAAAAAAAATAATTTTTAACTTCACCCCAAATAAATATGTAAGTTATACATATTGAATATTTTACCAAACAATGTACATGATTATCAAACCCAATTTGATTAATTACATTTAAGCTTCAGAAGGGAATGTTCACACATCACAATATCGCATGTTTGTATCGGTCTAGCTAATACAGTTACCCTAAAGTTAATGTTAGGTTTGTAACATACCTTAATTGTTGACCATATTATATTATTTTTTTACTAATTATTTTAATATAAATTCTAATTCAAGTCTCAAGATCAATAAATCAACAGTGTACGAAACTATTAAAATATTGTCCGTGATATATCGTCAGGAATAACACTGATAATAATGATATTTAATGTGGTACCAATTTACCGAAAAGGCATTAACACGTACAATATTAAAATGTGATTAGGTCAAAATAATATTTACAGTCCATTGCTGCCACGAACTTAGATACTAGTATCTTAGTTCAAGATTGCTGCCTATCTCGAAAAACCCAAAAATCGTTTTATAATATAAAAATATACAACTAGCCAAAACAAAAACCTGTTTCGGTCGTAAAACGCGTATTATCTACATCCGACGACTGTTACTTTAATCGTCGAACAAATAATTGTTGGGCAGGCAGTCGTAGGTATTGTATTTAACAGTCGAACAATGCTCAAAAGAAGTACAAGCGGGTAATACGTCCGACGCCTGTTAGAAATTTATGTTTATAAATGTTAATAAATTATATGACTATACGAGTACAGTAGGCATTATAGTTTTCTTTTATATATTTTTTTATAATAATTGTTTTAATAAAATATTTTTGTTAACATGCTCAAGACGTGTTACGGTTTGTGTTCACTGCGCACGGGAGTAAGATTTGTAGCGTTTTACGAACTGGTAGGTGTATTTTATAACAACATTTTACAACATTACATTTTTATATAAACACATATAGGTAGGAAACCATGTTTCAAGTGGTTTTAATTCTTATTAAAGCGAAAGATTTTAAACACACCACACATTTTCGATAATGTTTTAGAATATGAATTACAATGTATTTAGTTTAGTTGTTGTGTGCATAGATTAAATATAAAAGTTATAATAAGATTTAATATATAAATATATAGATTACCAAATACCAGTCTAGAAGCTGAATAAAAAATTAATGAACATTTAATTAATCAATTATTATAAGCTCAATGGTCTCTGAAACATGATTTAGTGGCCCTTGATTGGTCCACTAAGTATTGCAGATGAACCATTTCATAATTTAAGTTTTTTATCCGACTCTGCATTATTTAATCACTGGTATATAGGTATCTGCGTGACTATATATTTAACACTATTAATTATTATAATCATGAACTGGGAGTGAAATAAATAATAATAATATAATGCATGATAAAATTAAGCAATATTATCATTATTTATTTATGTAAACAAACTTATAAGGAGGGAAAACTCGCATTAACAGGCGCATATTGGTCATTACTCATTATAAACCTATTCAGTACCTAGTACAAAAAATAATATAAAATCGGATCAATTATTTATTTATTTACTTATTTATTGAAAACAAAACATACCATACAGTTAAAAAGGATTAAGGAATTCATGTATGTGTTTCCTCGTCTATTTTAAGTAACATTTATGTTAGAGATGAAAAGTGCCTAAGATTAATAACTTACGAGAGGCTACATAAATCGCTGAACTGAAAAGTGTAACTAACCAACTAACGTTATAGTCTTATAGAATATAGTTCAGTGACATGAATACATAGGTAATATGCATTAATATTATAACACGAAGCTATTATTTTTTTGTTTCAGATTTGTACAATCCTGTTCTTTTTAAGTGTTCTCGTGTACGAAACATTTAGTAAAATTCATCAACTTCAAGGTACGTTGGATATACCTTGCCTTTTTTATTTAAAAATTTTAATTTATATAATATTATCTCGATAAATACATTAATTATTAAACAATAATTACATTAATACTGTACTGAAGTTTATAAAAATATTATTTACGACGGAACAAAAATAATAATTATTGAATTTAATTTTTTGCAAATTATACCTAATATGCAAAAAGCTCCAAAATATGCAATATGTACCTATTGTAGTACCTACCCAACCTCATAGTGTGTAGGTACACTATTATCCATTGAACGCCTAGGGCCCAATATTTATGCATATATATTATATATATACTAAAACTAATGGCTATATATTAGTGTTTTTATCATCATTGCACACGATCACATAATGTGAGAAACTTAAAATATACATTTTATTTCTTTTAGGTGATGTTGACATTTATTATTTTCTACAGTCGTGCATAATAATAATTACTCTGTTAAAACTGTTTGCCAGCGTGTCTTTGATGCAATCCACGTATCAGGTTCGTAGTATACAATATAATATCTAATACCATAATATTAAAGTTTAAATCTACATACATTATATAAAATAAAAATGGTGTATTAAATGCAGTACCAATCTTTTAAAATGACAAGTAATAGAGTAAACTAAAAAGTAACTAAAATATCTCGAATTCCATGGGTTAGGTACTGCACTATTGTCTTGTAATAGAATTGCTCCATTAATTATATTAATAAATATAGGGGTTGTTAAAATTATGCGGTGCAACACGATTGCGCAATTTCTTCTTTTTTGACCCAACTAATTATACAACGAATGCTCAAAAAATTTGCTATACGATTTCGCCCGATCACTTTTTTCCTGTTAAAATCACAACACCAAATGTTATATGTGTGTATACAAAGTGATCCAACAAGTATGCTCACCCCCCCCCCTTTTTTTCTTTAACAATTAAATTTTTCAAAATCTGATTTTTGGAATCTTAAAATATACTCAAAGACCATATTTTCATAATTTTGAGATTTTTTGTGCCACTTAAGGAGTGTCCTGTGGCGATGCGAACCTTTGTTTTTCAAATGAGAACCCCACTGTTTTTCTTTAAATTATTTAGCGGATATTTTTTTTTGAGAACTTTGATGAATCAAAATCAAAATTCGAACGAGTGGTTTCCTAGTTATTGAACAATTTGTACTAAGGATAATAGTCCATAATATGGATATGCTTATACAGTTCTACACATGGAATAAGAAAAATCACTAAATAAATCAAGAAGGATTTTACTTGCTATTTTCCTAAGTGTTTGACTAAATAAATATAAAATGACGTATTATTTTATATTATGTGTTTAAACTATAGATAACAACGTATACTCTGTAAGCATATCTTTTTTCCCGATTTTAAACTATATTATCCTTATTCCTTAGCACAAAATGTGTAATAACCAAAAAACTACTCGTTCGAATTTTGATTTAAATACATCAAAATTCTCAAATAAATTATCCGCTAAATAATTTTCAGTAAACAAATGGGAAACCATTTGAAAAACAAAAGTTTGTATCACAGCAGAACATTCCTTAAGTGGTACAATAAATCTCAAGAATTTGAAAATATTGTCTTTGAGTATAATTAAAGATTCCAAAAATCAGATTTTGAAAAACTTCATTATTAAATTTAAAAAAGGGGGGTGAGCATACTTGTTGGATCACCCTGTATACTATGTATAATAATGTATGTACAACATAAAAGAATATATACAATACAAATTGTTTTTTCTCTAAATTACATGTGTGCTATATGTATAAGTTATTACGTATACCTACTAGCCTGACATAGTCAAGAGGATATTTTTTTTGTTCATATAAAAATAATCATACATATACCAAATTCAAGGAGTTAGCATGGGCATTTATTTTTATTTTTATAATTTTATCTGATCGTCGACTTGGTTGAACTCAGTACCTAATAAAGATAATATTTTCTTATTAAGCGATATCACCATATCGGCGTTTAATGTTGGTATTTATGTTTCATTCGCTATTTGTATCGCGTATAGATTGAACATAGTTGTGTGTAATAGTGTATAAAGGTATGAAGTATAAAGTGTCAACGTGTGCCATTAAAATGGATCTGAAAATTAAAAAAAAATTCTCATCGGAAAAAGGTAGGCCCTATATTTTAGTCGACGGACATAAATACAGGGAATTCAATGTGTTGAAAAAATGTGGTAGTGTCCGGTACTAAATAATAAATAATAATTAATAAGTATATACGTATGTATATATTATTTTATGTTGTACATAAATTATTGTACACAGTATATTATATACACATAACATTTGGTACGAAATCGTGTTGTGATTTTAACAGGTAAAAAAGGATCGGGGCGCAATCGTGTTGTACATTTTTGTGCAATCGCGGTATAACTAGTCGGGTCAAAAAAGGAAAAATTGTGCAATCGTGTTGTAGCCAAAATTATGTACCCAAGTTTTTCATGTGATAAATAAGCGGGTAAGTGGATGTCGCTATGCTGTACATTAGGCGCTTAGGAGGTTGAGGTAAAGGGTGGTACTAAATTTGAATTCAATGATATAATAATAAATCATTGTATACGAAAAACGATTCTGAGCGAAGACGGTATGTCAGTCTATGATATTTTTTATTTTATTGTTATTAGTTTTCATTAATAAGGTGCTTGGTAAGTTGAATTAGTATTATTCTTAAATCATCAGTAAATATTACATATACTTATGTAAAATTAGGCTGTTTTGGAACCAAATTACAACAACATGACTAATATCGTTATTATTTGTGTTAATATGTAATTTCATCTAAATTTGAACTTAAAATAAGAATAAAAAAACCTTTGTTTATGTTTATTTTTAGATTTTTTGGTTACAGAATTAACTACTTAAACTGAACCTTGTTTTAAATTTTCAATTCTTAGTTAGAAAAGTTGAACATTTAATCAATTTTTAACGACAAAATCATTTTTCAATTTTCAATTTGACATGTGTTGCCAAAATTTAAATTTTAAATTCTCATATAACAAAAACGTACCTATGTATTTTAAATATTTTTCAACTGCTATTGTATCAATATATCGAGAGTCTTGTATTAAATTTACATGCTTTTTGACCAAACTCATAAAATGTTTTTGACATTTAAAGAAAACAAATTTAAAAAAAATAAAATTGAAAATGTCCGTCGAAAGCTTACAACAAGCCAAATTTTTGAAAAATGTACAAAGTACAAGTGTATCAAGTATATGCATTGATAAAATAAACATATGGTGTAAATTTCAAGTGTCTACAGTTATTCGTTTTTAAATTATAATCGTCAAAAAATTGAAATAAAAATAAGTGCTATTTTTTTGTAGCTTCATAGTTTAAAGTACAAATTAATTTTAAAACGAGTTATGAGTATGTGAAATATAACATAAAAATAAAATATCTAGTTTACTCTAACCTATCTGTTAATATTTATCTTTATTATACAAGAAAGTTATGAAAAATGGTTTCGTCGCTATAGCTGCTATAGATATTAGAATGCCTGCAGTAAACATTTTAAGATGAATAGGAAGAGGCTTCCGGCCCTTCAGGGGGTTGGCGAGTGATGCGATCAGAGGGTAGAGCCCAGCCCCCTAGTCTATGTATATTATTTTTATTATTTTTATTTTTATGCTTTGATAAAATACTTATACTCATACATTTTTAAAAATAAAAATTATCGTATGAAACTGACGTACAAACACAGACAATGTACTTACTTTAGGTTTAATAATAAATAAATTCACTCTAATATTAAAGCTAAAAATACAAAATTGGCTCTGTTGAACCCAAATTTACTATTTTGATATGTTGTACGTTTGTAACACAACAACAACGCGAGCGAATTGCACAGCCTTTTCATTAGTATTTTGTATCCACCTACTTTACCTTGATCCTATTCATATTAACTACCTAATACAGTATGTATAATGTATATAGGTTTTCATAGTACTTAAATATAGATGCCATTTTATTAATAAAAACCAATAAATAAAATAATAATAAATTATAATAGATATGAATAAGTAAAAACTAATTTTTATTTGTTGCCATTTTTGATGACTAACCACCTGAGCTAGCTAAAATTAAACTAGGCGATCCATCCTATAAGCTATAATATGTTAAAGCTACTGCCACCTACTAAGGCCTATCCAAGGTATTAGATGCTATAGGTATAGGTAAGTACTCAATAAGACATAGGTCGTACTGGTATTGGTATACTAAACTAACCGATTGAACTGAGGTATAGTCAACTTTCTCTGTAGCCCACAAGTCTTCGATAGTTAGGTACCTACATAATTATAGTAACTACGTATTATATAAAGCAAATGTAATAAGTATTTTTATATTTTTATTGCAGAACGCCCCGTCAAAGATATTTTTTTGGATAGTGATCGCATGCATCGTTTATCTCACTGCTTTTATAGTTTCGATTAAGATGTACATCCACAAAATGCACCGCAATAGACTCATCGCCAAATCCACTAACTCCGGAAACCAGCTGGAATGCCATCTTCTCCTGGTTTTTATTATAATCAACTGTACGTATGGATTTCCTGTACATGTAGGCATAACATATAGTCTATATGGTCTGTTCTTTAATCTGAATGACAAATGACAATAGTAATGAAATTTGGTTTTGTTTGATTTATCGTACCTGTAACCAAGCAGTTCTCTCTATTGTTGAAATTCACGTGGTCGCGTCGTATTACCGACAAGAGAAACATTTGGAGGAAGTTGAACAATGTACGAGAACACATGCCGCAGTAATATCGTCACTGAAAACTCGTGGAGACTTGGCAAATATGTTCATCCACGACGTCTCACGGACTCTTCCGATCAACAGGTATGCCGCCGAGGTGCAGACATCGATTTTCACTTCTTTTAAAGGGTTGCCAGTTTAATGTGCCTAAATGAATCGCTTGTGAGAGAGCGCACTGCATTTTATCATTTACAAGCAATGATTTATCACATTTTTTATTTAAGTATACATTTTGATTTTGTTACCATTATAGCTAAGTTATTAATTATTATTATATAGATAATTTTAAATGTACCACGTATGATTGTAAAAGTACCATATTGGACGATTAAATATAGGTATAAAATAGAAAATGAAAAAAAATTATGTCACGTGTGGTGGATAAAAATTACTATCAACCTTGGTAACTATACGTGTCCGTGAACTGAAAAATAAATATAATTTAAATTATGATACACAATGTAACATTATATCTATAAAGTATGCACAATGCTGCATTTAAGTGTTTTATTTATAATATATTAATATTACAACTTATGAGGTCCCATGGGAATGTATGGTTTAACAGCACATTATTATTATTATTTTTATATATTCAATAAAATATAATATAATTATTGTAGGTAGGTACCAAATAATGTTTAGAGGCTCAAATCACAAACAGTTCGGTAATCAATGATCAGTCAATCAGTGGTATTACAAAAGATAGATCTATCTTGTAAGTCCGTTATCATGACTAAACAACGGTTTTGTAACAATACAATTGTGTATACAATAATATAACAATAATTATATACTATGATTTTTATTAAGATGATGTCAGCGCAATATTTGTTTCTCTCTCACACGCACACGCATCATAGATAAAATGCTTTCACCTAAAATTGTTTTTTATGATTTTTGAGTAACCTTGGAGTAAAATCAATAATTACAAAAATTGTAGATGATAATATTTTTTTTGGGGTATAACATATCGGTTTTATATTTTATTATTATCTGACTTAGTATTCGACTAACAAAATAAAAAAAAAATAAAAATTGAAAGTAGAAATGTTGTTAGATGTGAGATAATATTTAGATAAATCGATATGTCATTCCTTTAAAAATATTATAGTCTTTATCGATTTTGAAATGAGTGATTTTACTCCACGATTATTCTCAACCATAAAAAAATGATTCTACGTAAATGTGTTTTGTCTATGTTGCTTGTAGACCAGAAAGAGAAAACCAACAGTCCACTGACATCTGAACTTAATATGCCAACATCAAATTACCCACGTAGGTACGTATGGAATGTTGTGAAGGTTCGTCAAATCTATAAATATTTTAAGTATACGTAGGTAGTAAAGGTGTATAGGTATGCATTTGTATAATAATTAATTTCTATTTTTCCATTGTCATTATGAGAATATAGCTTACAAGCCGAATAATCATAATAATATTCTACTGTATTTACTATTTTCTATTTTTCTCATAAATGTGAACAACGCACACATAATATAGAAGTACCTATGGTGAAGCGTCCTATAAAACTACGGGCGTTTCCATAGATAATAAAAGAATTAATATAATGAATTATTTTGCTATCGAGGGGCGTTTCGTGCCGATATGGTAAAGAACATTGCGCGATTGCTCTACCCGCGATTGAGGTCGAAAACGAGGAAGGAGAGTGGCGCTCAAACATCGACGCTAGCGTATTTTTAACGTTGAGCGCTCGGAATTAAAAAAATATGTGCCTACGTCACATGGGTAGCAAATTATCTATGGCGATAAATTTTATTTTTAAGACTAGTAACTAAAATATAAAATAATCGAATGAGTAGGTAGGTTATAAAACTTACGTAGGTAATACGTCGACTCTTCGGGTTAATAAAGCAGGGCCATATCTATAGTGCAGATGTACCATATCGATGAACTGCTTACTTCATCTAACTCCAAACTTATTCAGCAAGATACATTAACTGACGTAACCAAGTGTATCCAGGCAAATTAAGAGATTATTCTGTTTGGGGAACACCTTCTGAAAAAACATTTCCTACTAACATATATTATGTTTATCCGAGGTAATGTAGAAGAATTCTTATTGTACTGAATCAATAGTTTATTTTCTTCTATACAGATTGTGCCACTGTTGTATTTTTGACATCCATATTTCCTACTTTCTGGTGGATTTTTCTAAACAAAAGTGGTCCTATGACCTCCAGCAGACTGTCAAGTATAACAGTAAAAAATTTCAGCCAAATCGGTTCGGTAGTTTTCTCGGTGAGCGCGGTATAAGAAAACCCTTACCATTTTATATAATAGTATAGATATATCAATTAATTAATAATAATAATATAATACAATAATTAACTTCATAATATACAAATCACTTCATATCATACTCAATTAATTTCAAAGCATAATGATTATTCAAATTTATAATTCAGGTATAGGGAGATATATATTTTAAATTTACTATATTATAATATTATTATGGAATACAAATATGAAATGGATGGAGTGAGATAGGGAGGAGGGATAATAGGAAGTGTGGAGGTAGAATAGTTAGGTTAACAGTGTCGAATACGTAGGAAAGGTTCTTGAATTGCAAAGACCACTCGACCAATTAGCTGAAACTACCTAGTGATAGGTTGAAAACCTTGACTTATGGGATAGAATAAAAAGATCGGTAAGGGATGTCAGAGCATTGTTTGCTCTCTTTGTCCCACACACAACAAAACAATTAACGTATGTTTGACAGAACCAACCGTATATTGTTACTTTAATAATGGTTGGTTCTGTTAAACATACATTTGCTTTGTTGTGCGTGGGACACAGAGAGAAATAAATGGTGCGCTAAAAATCTGACTTCCTCTCAATAGTGTCATCAATTTGAAAAAGTTGTATATTGTAGTCAGTTAAAATTTTTTATGCTTAAAATAATAATGACGTATTACTATGTCAGACCACTGTTTGTTTATCTCTTTGACCCATGCGTTAGAACCAACTCTATATAATATGTTGTTACGTTTAATATTTAAAATATATATATATAAATAATAATATATTATTATAATTACATAATTTAAAATTAAAAATAATAATTAAAAATGCTAGTAAAATGAATGCAAATTAAAAATACCTATCGTACCTCAAGTGTGACAATGTTCACGCTTTAATTGGTGACTCGTGGAGGCATATATATAATTTTGAAGGTCACAAATATTAATGTTTTAATATTAATGTGATAATATGAAAATATGGCTTAAACTTTTAATTTGCCTTAATTATGATCACATTATTATCACATCAATTATTCATGGGTCCGAGAGATAGAAAAAGAAACAAACAGTGAAAAAAGTCTGATATCCTCTTTAGTGTTATCAAGTCTAAAAATCTATAGATTTTTGGCAGTTGACATGGACTGTGTTTAATATATTAAAAACGAAAGTATGATAGAAAGTAAAAAAAATAACTAATAAGTGTTAACTGTAAAGATAGGCATAGGACGTTAATGATAAAATAACACACAAAAATGTCCTAAAAACAATTAAAAATTGCCCTTAAATCGCCTAAATATATTGATATAACAAAAACCCACAAATATTAAATTTGAAAAAAATACACCACATTGACGTAAAATTGACATACTTCTGCCAAATTCGGGCTGTAACTTATTGAGAAATATGCATTTCTAGTTTTTATGAGGGGGTGTGGTGCCAACGCCAAAAATGTCGTTAAACTATTCTGCTCATATAAACTTTAAACAGTTAATTGCCACGTTCTTAATTTCTTATATTAAAAAAAAAAGTTTGTCAATGATAGAAAAAATCATAAATACTACTTTGCTGACAGTTGACACTAATATTTAATTATTTATTTAATTTTGGTCCAATAGTAGGTATAGACGTATAGTACTTTTACGGTATTCGGTAGGTAGTGTTTAATAATTTGTCGATGAAGTTTATTAATCTAGTATGTACTTAGAAATCATATTACCCTATTAATAAAACAAAAATTGCCTCTAATGTGTAAATAATCACAAAACATGTTAGATAAACTAGTAATATGTTTAATAAACATTGAAAGATTTTAGATACCTAATAATGAATTAATCACAGCATAATGTTTAACTTGGATGAATGATAACATTATATTGGGCCATTATTCTATGCAATTAACACAAATAACTAGTCTTGTAGTAATTTGTTGAAATCGGAGAAAAACTGTGGTTAGGAACTATAGAAATGGTGTTACAAGATTAGAAGCAACTCATTTACGTATTTAACTAATCCAAATCTTTAATATTCGAGTGAAGTACTATGAGGGGAGGTGAAATTGGTGTATAATATATGTAGGTACGGATACCCTTTTACCTGTGTAATAATTTATGTTAAAGTATCTGTACGTCATTTATCTGTGGCATGGGTAAAACACTATTCGTAAGCCAATTCCTCACGTAGCAATAGGAAATATAATAATATGTAATATACAATTAATACAAAATAAAAATAATGCTGTTGGGGCTTGGTGTGGCGCGGTGATTGGCTGAAGTCCCTAATGGGTGTCAATCATCGGCTGGCGTAGCTAGCATCCGGATGGGTGACCACCTGGGCACTTAGTGACGAATCCTAGCTCCACATATACAGGTGTTACTCAAACACAACCTTGACCCTAACAAAAAATGCTAATTGTCATAGATTAAGATGATTTAGAAAAAAAAAATCCAAATTGTTTATATTAATAAAACAAATAGATTTAATAAAATCGCTGAACATTACGATTATTTTAGTCGGTTATTGCAGTTGACAAGGAGAAAGTTTATCATCCAGATAACGCTCAAAGAATTTCAAAATAAAATCATTTCAATACGTTATTCAGTTGCTTCAAAAATAGACATCTTCCTAGAATATTACAAAACATATGAAACTTAAATAATTAATAAAAAGATGTTGCTTTGAGAAAGACGTTTCATCTGAATACGTGGTCTCCAATTGTTCAAATGCGTCTTACAAGTATGAAACATATCAAATTTGAGTTAAGCAATTATCATTCTTCTTCGTTGATTCCAAATAATAATAATCACTCTAATATTAAAACTTTCATTGCTAAATGAGATCTGCTGACATCGATGAGCACTAGTAACATGGGGCCAACACATGCTTAGGTATAAGATATTTATACTTCTAGTTGTTTGAAGTTGAAATAATTGAATGAAAAAAGTTCAACTTCATAGGTATTCATATTCATTGACCGAAAATCATACTCAAAACAATTAGTTCAATAAACAATGATGTTTTTGAAACCACTTACTATATTCCAAAGTTTATAAAATGTAAATAACAAAAAATTGAATTAAATATGATATAAATTTAAAAAATGTTAAAGGGAAGCATGGGCGTTCGCTGGCAAATGCATTTTAAGAATCATAAAATAAAATAAAAAGTTCAACTTGATAAGCGGACACAAAAATTGAAAACCAAATAAGAATCTTTTTATTCTAAGAGTCCCACTTAACCCTCTGCTAGTCGCGCGCCAAACGGTTGTGATTAAAATAGCACCCCCCACACTGCCCTCGCAAGACTATGCCATTAAGACAGAGGGTTAAATAAGTCATAAAAAGGTTAGTACGCCTGAGGGCTATGATTAGTTGAAGCTGTGGTGATGATAGTAGGCTAGTGGTAGTATAATATCATCCCTGGTCGAGTGCATCGCAATGATCTTTTCCTACTAACTACCAAGGTATTCGATATTGTATAAACATAACGATAAAAGAAAATATTTAAATATTACCAAGATAAATTAGAACCTAATTAAGTATCATAATTTGAATATACAATTTTAAAGCCAGTCGACTAGCGTTGTACACATTACTTAAAATTATTAATAACTTAAATACAGTCAACACTAATCTAATCTAACCTAACCTAGTGCCTTATAAATATTCATTATTTCATGATCTAATTTTTGTAAATAAAGCAATGATTTTAAGAATAATGATGTTGTGGACTGCAGTATTTAATATTTGTTTTAAATATACATTTTTTCATACATATTTTTTTTTTTTATTATTATTATTAATTTAAGCCGCAACAACTAAGGTTATTGGCATGTTGTACAATGTAAAGATTAACTTATGCGCTAGAGGGAATTATACATATTAAATACAATGATAGTTGTTTACATAGGTTAAACGTTAAAGTATGTGAATATAACATATAAAAGTAAATAAATAAATATCAAATGAGGTTATACAGTTTAGTAATTTTAAGAAACTTTATGATTTTGATATTACTTTCGTGATCGGGTCCAAGTGCTTCATAATATGAAGTTCATATAGATGCTCATGAATACTTAAGGCTGTTCTTGTGTCTGCGTAGTTTCGACAGTATAGGATACATATTTTTATTTGATTCTTAAAATTCATTTTATTGCTTTATTTACAATAGTTAAATCATGAAATAATGAATTATTATAATACAGTATACGGTTATCAAAAATTAAAAAATGTTTTTGAAAAATAGTACTAGGGTTAAATTATAGAAAAAAAATTTGAAGGGGGCATGGGCGCCCGTAGGCAAATGAATTTTAAGAATCAAAATAAAAATTTTCTTAAAAAAACTTGTTAGCATTCAATTTTAAAACTAAAAATGGGAAGGGGGCATGGGCGCCCGCAGACTCGAAATGAAAACTAGGAAAGTGAGTCTAATGGGTACTCTGGAGCGTCAAAAGTAAAATGTTCCTAATAGTTTTTAAGGCGTCAGGAAAAACCAAGAACCTATATGAGTATAAGTTTCATAGTTCGAAATAATTGAAATAAATTTTATTTCTAGTGGAACTAAAGAAAAACCGTAAAAAGTAGTTACATACAATTTTCACTAAATTATATTAGTAATATCTATGTATCACGCAATTTTTAAATGATGCGCTATTTATAGGCATAATAGTTAAAATCAAAAAACTTTCATAATATTTTGACTCATTATGTTCAATGATTATGTTGAACAAGTTATAGGTAGGTATATACAATTTTAAATTTTAAATATTTTTTTTAAAATTAATGTCGATTAAAAAATTCGTTGGATCAAAAGTCTTGAAAATGTTATACCACGTTCCTCATACGGCATAGGAGATTAAAAATATTTATACTATTTGTCTCCTGGCTGGAATAAGAAAACCTAACAACGTATACTATACCTGTACACAATGTGTAAATTGCAATTTAGTTTACTCGAGTGTTATTATATTCAGTTCTGACTTTATAAGCATTTGCATTGCGAATATTATGACTTATGAGTTTAATTTTTCTATCATAGGAGTCGTACGTGTTAGTGTTGTCGGGATGTTTGCATTTTTACACACGAGACATCTGATTGAATTGTTTTATGACGCGCGAAAGAACATGCCAAAGAAATTGGTAAAATGTTTTAATAATAATAATATAGGGTCGAACGATGCATCTATTCGATGTAGGTCGTTGGTACCATAAAATATAATGTGATTATTATTTATTATTATGCTTTAGGTAAGCGTGAGTGATAAATCTATCAACGCATGTGTTCAAGTCAATTTAGACCCGGCAGCTGTATCTGGTAGTATTGACATTGAACAGTTTCAAAAAATGATAGAAATAAATCTGCAATTGGAAAATAGATTGACCGAGTTGGAAGGTAGTTGTTTCATAATAATATGACGAATACCTATCTAATATTAATATTTTAGAATATTAAACAAATATGTATCTAAAATAATCATTATTATGTAGAAATGATTCGACGCGGTGATGAAAACCAAAAGATTCAAGATCTACAAGTAACTTACTTATTATCTATCTATAATATTAATCAATATATATTTTAGTATTTATTACTTCGGAATGGATGGAAATAACCACATTATAATTATTATTATCTCCTATTTGATATTTCGGGTAATTTAATAAGCTTAAGAAATCTCATATTATGAGTATGCCCTTTATGGCTTCACAAGTGTACCAATACTTAATATTAGAACGATAAATTTATAACGATTTGAAGTATATTTCACGAAGTATCCATAGTATCTCAATAAATACAAATCATAAATTAACGAGAGGATATTAGGGAAATCTAAGTGCCAAGGATTGTGTGTAAGAATTTTATATTGACACGATATGTCATACACGAAGGTTCAGAAAATAATAAGCATCCCTCACAAATTAACAATCAGTAATGCAGTTCCTAAGAATTTAAAAATTGAAAGTACAAAGCAGTGGTCGGTAAAATTACTAGGACAAATATGTAACGAAAATTGTTTTGAGACCAGTTACATAATATGACACCAAGTCCCAAGTTATAATCGCGATTGGTTGTTTTAAAGATTTATGATTGAAAATAACTGAAACAATAATGATGAGTCATTAAACGCAATAAACATTAACACAGATGAGCATTCAAATAATAAATTCTAATAGATTTGTTTGTTACTCCACGTCGTCGACGCCACCGAGTAATCGGACCCAGGTTCGGGCTGTAGGCATTGACGGGCTTTAATAGCAGCACGCCAGGCGAGTAGCCATTAGGTGCTCGCCTTGCGGAACACAGAAGTCACTGGAACTCTGCCATGTGCGAGCTAAGTCCGTCGTACCGGTAACAGCCGTCCACTTCGTACGAACGTAATTCCAAAGAATTTTTACGAATATACAATATATTGAGAATTTAAAAATTGAATGTACAAAGTGGAAATCAGAAAAAAACCTATACAAATTCTAACTGCACATTTTTTAGTACTAATATAGTATAATGCCTATTATTATTCAGTAAAATTACTTCAATCACAATTTTACAAAATATACCTACTTAGTGTTATTATAATAGGCTGTCAGAGAACGTGTTATTTCAGAATCGTATTTCGTATACATGCATTTATGTCATTGAATTCAAATTTAACACCCATTACAGCGACTCCCTGGACACCTATAGCCCATAATGTACCTATAGCAGAGCGTAGTAAAACATTTTTAAAAAAACCCTGACCTCTATTTCAAATAAAATTTTCATTTACTTATTTTTTTACTTACCAGGGCTAAATTAATTTATAGCCTAAGTAAAGAATTATTTTATTTCGCATTCTGCAGTTGCGTCAACTTGAAGATCTTATGTTATCGAAGTTGACACAATCTGCACACACTCAGACCGACACTGAATTGTCCCTATCCTCAGTTCAAGATTTCAACAACAAGGTAGACACCAAATTGTCAAATTACCAACAATCGTTGAAGGAAAAAATTGACGATGAATTAATGACCATCGATCATGACGTTGAAAGTATCAAATGCTATTATGGAATGTTGAATACTAGTTTCCACGAGATGGAAAATAAATTGATTTCATTAGAAAGTAATTAGTAATTTTTATCTAAAACACGTATGTCATTATCATATATTATATATTATGATTTATGATGTTTGTTTGTATAAAGGTAACTCGGAGAAGCCGATGCACAAATATAATGATATTAAGACTAGGATTGCAACCCTAGAAAGTATGATATACATTGTCTATATCATTTTGATGTATACTGCATGAATCGATATTATAGTTTTTACTTTTACATATTTTTTTATATGTGTTCGATATGAATGTATGCAGGAGAAGTAATGAAAAACACATCACACATCATCGGTATGAACTATTCACATCGTTCGTTGGAGTGGACTAGACCACAATCCTTCGGGTCCGCTGGAATGCTTCCTCCCGATAACCGCTGTTACGGCGAACCAGCTGCATTCGCTGCAGCTCCATCTTATTATGATATGCCACCAATGGCAAAACCCGGGCAGAGTGGAGCAGTTTTGCCTCCATCGCCAACTGCACCCCCGACGGCAAGTGCATTTGTGCCTCCACCACCACCTGCACTCCCGTCGACTAGTGTATTTTGTCAACCACTGCCACCCGCAACACCGGCGCTGTTGTCTCAGAATACTCCGAAAAAATCGGATTCAGACAAATCAAGCTCTTCCTCGACAGCGAAAGTCGAGAAAGTGTATGGGAGGATCCCAATAACCACTGAGATCCTACAGTCTGTTCTTCTCAAGCCACCTGGCGAGAGGAAGAGAGTAAGCAAACCCTCGACAGCGAAAGTTGAGAAAGTGTCTGGAAGGATCCCAATAACCGCTGAGATCCTAAAGTCTGTTGTTCTCAAGCCACCTGGCGAGAGGATGAGAGTAAGCAAATCCGTGAAGATAATATAATCGCTGCGGTATTGTTGAAAATTATGTGCCTAACGCATACGAAAAATATGTATATAATTGTTGTTAAAAAAAGTATATAATTCATAGTAGTTGTCAATCATGGTATCATTGTTAGCAAAATAACAATAAGTAATAAGTAATAAGGTAAATAATAAGTATAATAAGTATAACGAATGAATGTTGTAATTCGAAAAAATGCTGTTCACCTTACAAACACTAACAGATGTTTGAATAGGTTCTGTCAAATTTGTAAAATTTGTCATTAGTCGTTATTTTACATTTTACACGTTGTATTGGATACACATTTTACCATACACAGTGTATGCTGCAATCGATATACTGTATCCAAGTGTATTTTTTTTCAATATTATTTGTTAAATATAGTTCTATTTTAATATATTATTTCATAAAATAAACTAATTTTTTTTTTCATAGTATAAGTTGTTTCATAATTTGGATTTTCTTTTGTTTCCGTAGTTTACGTTAGTAAAATATAAAATATGTATTTGTGTTCTTTCACTGCTACAACTGTTTGTATGTATAAGTTATTATTTGTTTTGTTTTCAAAGAAAAGTTAATGGATTTCCCATAATATTCTCACTATACCATGTTTAAATGTATAAACATTTTTTTTATATTTTTTTTTTATACATTTAAGTTATATTAACCCAGTACTAAACCCGTTGAGACTATTCACTAATTATTTAAAATTTTTAATTGAAGTAACTGGGTTAAGCAGCTTAAGCTTTTATTATAGATATTATTGACACCTACATATTCATCTGGTGGTTAATTGTAAGTTTCAAGCATGGTTTCAACTCAAGATATTATAATTTATAACAATATGATAATTTTGTTATATCTACCAACTATTAAAATTAAATGTTTGATCATTTATCATATAATTAATTTTATTATACTATACGATTGCAGATTTCACAAAACTACCGACCTATCATCACACTACTAAACGTTAGCTATACAAGTTCCTTGAAAGATTTATTTAATATCGCATTAGTCCAATTATTAATCGAGTGGCCCCCAAAGAACAATGATCAAGTAGCAACCATAACTTCATTTATAGAAAACAGTTTTCAAAATAATCTAAAACTACTAAAACTAATTTCAGGTAAAACATTTTTAATGTGCTCAAATGAATTGCACTGATTGTAAATCGTACAGTAAATCAGAAGCAATATCAGCACTACAAGCCTCGACTCTTGCTTCGGGTTTCTCTTTTTTAGTAGAAAAATCCCAATGCATCATTTTCACCATATCAATGAACAATCTCCCAATTTTAATGAAAAACTCCTTTAAAATATGTTCGTACTGTTCAATTCAAAAAACACGTGGTTATTTCATCTCACGTCTATCCGGAAGGACTCACTTATAAGAATGAATATATCCTAAAACGTCTGGCACACAAGCTGAGCATGCTACTAGTTTGTATTGTCGTGTACTAAATTTGTATGTAGCATGTAGGTAGGTACATTATCAAAGTAGGACAGATGATAATATATAATACATATTATTATTATATACATACTGTTTGTATTCGTTTTGAGGTGCTACATAAGACATAGTATGGAAACAAACAAATATACTTTACTGCCCCACCTATTATTTTAATTTTTTTTTAAACACTTGTTTTTTATGGTTAAAATTATGATACAAAAATTGCTTTTTCGAAACTATTATTTTTAGAAGTTGTAGCTATTTCGAATTTACTTTTGTAATTAGATTATACTGAAGACTAAAGAGCTATTAAAGAGCTACTAAAGAGTTACCAAAAAAAGTATAAACACAGTTTTTTTGTATAGTTCAAATTTCGATGAAATTACATATAACCAAGAATAACGATTTTAGTTATTTTGTTGTGATTGAAAAATATTAATCGTGGGTAGGTACTTGACACTACTAAAATATATTCTTATATTCAAATATGATGATTTAAATTTAATAATAATTCAACTTATCGACTATCATATTAATAATAAAAATATAAAAATAATATAAAATATCCTATTCGGACAAGCTGTTTCCGCTCAGAATTATTTTTTCGTATATTATAATATTATATCATCGGATTCAAATTAACAAAATCCATTACAGTGACCCATGGGTGTACTTGTAAATTGTAACCGTCTGTGCAGTAGAGTGACACACGATTAGCCGTTTTTTATTTTGTTAACAATGATACCATGATTGACAACTACTATGAATTATATACTTTTTTTAACAACAATTATATACATATTTTTCGTATGCGTTAGGCACATAATTTTCAACAATACCGCAGCGATTATATTATCTTCACGGATTTGCTTACTCTCATCCTCTCGCCAGGTGGCTTGAGAACAACAGACTTTAGGATCTCAGCGGTTATTGGGATCCTTCCAGACACTTTCTCAACTTTCGCTGTCGAGGGTTTGCTTACTCTCTTCCTCTCGCCAGGTGGCTTGAGAACAACAGACTGTAGGATCTCAGTGGTTATTGGGATCCTCCCATACACTTTCTCAACTTTCGCTGTCGAGGAAGAGCTTGATTTGTCTGAATCCGATTTTTTCGGAGTATTCTGAGACAACAGCGCCGGTGTTGCGGGTGGCAGTGGTTGACAAAATACACTAGTCGACGGGAGTGCAGGTGGTGGTGGAGGCACAAATGCACTTGCCGTCGGGGGTGCAGGTGGCGATGGAGGCAAAACTGCTCCACTCTGCCCGGGTTTTGCCATTGGTGGCATATCATAATAAGATGGAGCTGCAGCGAATGCAGCTGGTTCGCCGTAACAGCGGTTATCGGGAGGAAGCATTCCAGCGGACCCGAAGGATTGTGGTCTAGTCCACTCCAACGAACGATGTGAATAGTTCATACCGATGATGTGTGATGTGTTTTTCATTACTTCTCCTGCATACATTCATATCGAACACATATAAAAAAATATGTAAAAGTAAAAACTATAATATCGATTCATGCAGTATACATCAAAATGATATAGACAATGTATATCATACTTTCTAGGGTTGCAATCCTAGTCTTAATATCATTATATTTGAGCATCGGCTTCTCCGAGTTACCTTTATACAAACAAACATCATAAATCATAATATATAATATATGATAATGACATACGTGTTTTAGATAAAAATTACTAATTACTTTCTAATGAAATCAATTTATTTTCCATCTCGTGGAAACTAGTATTCAACATTCCATAATAGCATTTGATACTTTCAACGTCATGATCGATGGTCATTAATTCATCGTCAATTTTTTCCTTCAACGATTGTTGGTAATTTGACAATTTGGTGTCTACCTTGTTGTTGAAATCTTGAACTGAGGATAGGGACAATTCAGTGTCGGTCTGAGTGTGTGCAGATTGTGTCAACTTCGATAACATAAGATCTTCAAGTTGACGCAACTGCAGAATGCGAAATAAAATAATTCTTTACTTAGGCTATAAATTAATTTAGCCCTGGTAAGTAAAAAAATAAGTAAATGAAAATTTTATTTGAAATAGAGGTCAGGGTTTTTTTAAAAATGTTTTACTACGCTCTGCTATAGGTACATTATGGGCTATAGGTGTCCAGGGAGTCGCTGTAATGGGTGTTAAATTTGAATTCAATGACATAAATGCATGTATACGAAATACGATTCTGAAATAACACGTTCTCTGACAGCCTATTATAATAACACTAAGTAGGTATATTTTGTAAAATTGTGATTGAAGTAATTTTACTGAATAATAATAGGCATTATACTATATTAGTACTAAAAAATGTGCAGTTAGAATTTGTATAGGTTTTTTTCTGATTTCCACTTTGTACATTCAATTTTTAAATTCTCAATATATTGTATATTCGTAAAAATTCTTTGGAATTACGTTCGTACGAAGTGGACGGCTGTTACCGGTACGACGGACTTAGCTCGCACATGGCAGAGTTCCAGTGACTTCTGTGCTCCGCAAGGCGAGCACCTAATGGCTACTCGCCTGGCGTGCTGCTATTAAAGCCCGTCAATGCCTACAGCCCGAACCTGGGTCCGATTACTCGGTGGCGTCGACGACGTGGAGTAACAAACAAATCTATTAGAATTTATTATTTGAATGCTCATCTGTGTTAATGTTTATTGCGTTTAATGACTCATCATTATTGTTTCAGTTATTTTCAATCATAAATCTTTAAAACAACCAATCGCGATTATAACTTGGGACTTGGTGTCATATTATGTAACTGGTCTCAAAACAATTTTCGTTACATATTTGTCCTAGTAATTTTACCGACCACTGCTTTGTACTTTCAATTTTTAAATTCTTAGGAACTGCATTACTGATTGTTAATTTGTGAGGGATGCTTATTATTTTCTGAACCTTCGTGTATGACATATCGTGTCAATATAAAATTCTTACACACACTCCTTGGCACTTATATGTCCCTAATATCCTCTCGTAAATCGATGATTTGTGTTTATTGAGATACTATGGATACTTCGTGAAATATACTTTAATTCTTTAATACTTTATATTCGAAAATATTAATATTAGATAGGTATCCGTCATATTATTATGAAACAACTACCTTCCAACTCGGTCAATCTATTTTCCAATTGCAGATTTATTTCTATCACTTTTTAAAACTGTTCAATGTCAATACTACCGGATACAGCTGCCGGGTCTAAATTGACTCGAACACTTGGGTTGATGAATTTCTCACTCATGCTTACCTAAAGCATAAGAATAAATAATAATCACATTATATTTTATGGTACCAACGACCTACATCGAATAGATGCATCGTTCGACCCTATATTATTATTATTAAAACATTTTACCAATTTCTTTGGCATGTTCTTCCGTGCGTCATAAAACGATTCAATCAGATGTCTCATGTGTAAAAATGCAAACATCCCGACAACACTAACACGTACGACTCCTATGATAGAACAATTAAACTCATAAATCATAATATTCGAAATGCAAATGCTTATAAAGTCAAAACTGAATATAATAACACACTAGTAAACTAAATTGCAATTTACACATTGTGTATAGGTATAATATACGTTGTTAGGTTTTCTTATTCAAGCCAGGAGACAAATAGTATTAATCTCCTAAGTGGTATGAGGAACGTGGTATAAAATTGTCAAGACTTTTGATCCTACGAATTTTTTAATCGACATTAATTTTAAAAATAATAATAAAAATCCAAAATTGTATATACCTATCTATAACTTGTTCAACGTAATCATTGCACATAATGAGTCAAAATATTTTGTAAATATGTTTATGTTTGGTTCTGTTAAAGTTAAACATACATTAATTGTTTTGTTGTGTGTGGGACAAAGAGAGCAAACAGTGCTCTGACATCCCTTACCGATCTTTTTATTCTATCCCATAAGTCAAGGTTTTCAACCTATCACTAGGTAGTTTCAGCTAATTGATCGAGTGGTCTTTGCAATTCAAGAACCTTTCCTACGTATTCGGCACTGTTAACCTAACTATTCTACCTCCACACTTCCTGTTATCCCTCCTCCCTCCTCTAATCCCCCCTTCTCCTCCATCTACCACCCTAAGTAACTTCTCTCACTACCTCTTATCCCCGTCTCATACACTTTTTATTCTCACATTATCTATAGTACCTACAGGTCATTGTACCTGTTAATCGGTGAAAATATTTAAATATTACCAAAAAAAAATTGTAAAAAAAATTTCATACCTGACCAATTTTCTTATTTTTATCATGGTTTTATTGATAGTCGGAATAGCGTTATACCAGTAATTACAATACAATTAAATTGAAAATTTGCGGGCAATACAAACTCTGATCATTTAACAATATTAAATAAATCTATTGAAAAATAAAAAGTACATACCACATGTTTTCTGCTATACAACCAAGTCTTTGAAACACTCACGTCAACACATTTCACACTGCATAATATAACATTGTATTCAAAATTTCCAAATTTTCACTGACGAATACCATTTCTGAAAAAAACGCAGCCTATGTAGTAAAATGTTTATCAATATACGTATGAGCTATTTGTTATTAGAAATTACAGTAAAATTGTATTAAGTATATGAATTGAAAATATAAACAAATGGTGTGACTTTCAAATACCTGCAATTATTGGTTTTTTCCATTATAAAAATATAAGTAAAAATCACTATATGAAAAATGTTGTGAACATACAATGTTGTCAAAATTTCAACTCCAAATGCTTACAAAAATTTAATTCGAATTTCCGGTAGAATTTTTTGGTTAAGGCAGACAAACTTATAAGGAATCTTGTATTAAGTTTTAAAAACTTAGAAATGAAACGAAACATTTTTATGAATTTCTAACTCAAAATATTTTGCACATTTTCGTGACTTTTACTTGTTTTGTCAAAATTTAAAATTCAAACGCTTATAAAAATTTGTTGTCAAAATTGTATGGTTTATAGAAAACGCTGTTATAAATATTCAGTAAAAATTTCATGTAGGTATATCTACTTTATTTTTTTTTTTTGTTTTTGAAAGTTACATCAAAAACCAAAATCGATTTTGTCGAAAACCGGGTTTCCGTAAGAATTCGCTTTTTTTCCTTAATTTTTTCGTTTATTTTTCCTGACGATTTTAAAAACTATTGAGAATTTTTTACTTTTGAACCCTCAAAGTACCGATGCTTTTCACATTTCTACCAGAAAAGATGCTTGTTGAAGAAAATCTAAGCACTTTTACTCTCCCAAATTAACGTGATGACAGAAACAAAAAAAATAAAAAAATAAATTAAATCAATACATTCATCGCTCCGCTCGGAATCTAAAAGAAGTTGAAATTGACATAACTTAAATTTTTTAACTCGTATACACCCAGGTTTGAATAACTACAACATTTTAGAATATTTGGACTTACTATTTATTATATTATATAAAGATACCTATATACGAGACTAGTATAAAAGTATATTTTTCCTATAATCACTCGTACGGGGTGATTACTGGACACTGGTTAAGATAGTGAGTTTACCACTCTGTGAACATTTTTGTTTTTTAGATAAAACTATAATATAATGTTACATGAATATATTATAATAGAACAATGAAATATATATAACACTAAATTAATAATGTCCTGTAACTGTTAACTTTGGATTTAAAAAAATTATAAGTTATAAATTAAAATTGTGTCTTATGAGTAATCACTTATAACGGGTATTTCTAAATTAAACAGTATAATGAATGTCTATTTCAAGTACTTAAAAACTGGTTGTAATTATAAAATTACCCTACGATCAGGGAGCAGAAAAACGACGACGACGAGCGGCGTTTATATATTATTAGATCTCTCGTATTTTATGCATTTGCTCTCAGAAATAAAATATGTGTGTACATAGGGGTAGCATATTTTTCATGAAATTAAATTTTTATTTAAAAAATAAATTTAAGCACCAAAAAAGTATGAAACCAAAATTAATTACTTTAAACATCGACGCTTTCGGGCTTCAGCGGAATTCCTGATATTGTGTGTGCACTTCGGAATACATCAGATATACGACTGAACTTAAGTCTGAAAATATTGAGATTTATTATGAAAAAAAAACTGTATACGGATCGCTGTATGTTTCTTATTCGTGTCTGCAGCTTTGCTAACTGAAATTTTAGATCGATTGCGTCTTTGCAACTACTTCGACAATCGCCACGGATTGCATTATAATTTATACTACGTAAATATGATAAAACCATAGATATATAGTATATTACAAAATTGTATATCAAGGAGGTCCGTGTTTGAGATTTGATCATTAAGATAATGAATTGAGGTATAACAATAACCAAAGGAGTTTATAATTTTAAAATTTTAAATACAACAATATATAAAGTACCTATTATTTTAATTTTTAATTTAATAATTAATTAAGGTTTAAATATTTGAAGCGCAAGCATATTTTTTTATGAGTTATTAAATAAAAATCTTATTGTAACTAAATGTGATTACTACTTTTTAGATTTAACATACAGCAGGTAATCAGTGCCTAATGCATCACATTTACCGTATACCGACTATACCAACTAGGTATAGTTTGTAAAATTCCAAGTTAAATCTTTTCTCTGAATACTGCCGAGCACGAAAATAATAATTAATTTTTTGTGTATTCATTTTGATTGCATTGGATAGGTATATTTTAAACTATTCAAGAATATTATATTATATATTATATATTATATTATATTATATTAATGTTATATTCATATTTCTTCATAGTATATTTTTGTACTGTTAGTTTCAATACACAATGCAAATTTTAAAATATTTCAATTATTTTTAAGATTTTATTGAATAGGTAGTGAATTCACTGAACCTTAATTTTGGATACATTTCCAATAAACTTATATTACAGAATAAAGTATTCATATTACTCATCAAAAAATGAGAAAAATTTAACTTATGAGCAAAAATTCATAAAATGTTTCCGCCCGGGATCGAACCGGGGACCTTGTGCGTGTGAAGCACACGTGATAACCACTACACTACGGAAACCGATGCATGAATAAGGTTTTATAATTTTATTTAAGTAAAAAGAATACTTTATACAGAACAATAATATATTAATTTGATAACACATTTCATGTTATCAAATTATTATTTAAAAACCAATACCTACTATAATACTTATTTGTATTTTGCTTATATTTAAGTATTTTATTCATTTGTTTAACTACATTTTTATTGAGTATAATTAATAATTTTAAGTCACTACCTCCCTATATTTTTTACTTATATAAGTATAAACACTAATACACTATGGTTTTAACTCAATGCATAATACATTTATATTTTTCTAATTATATGCGTAAGACCTACCTCAAGACTCACAGTCTATAACATAATTAATATTGTGTAATAATTGTTCGAAATATAAAAGAAAAATATTTAAAAATGGCTCCACTAACAATTGATTTTGAAAAAGTCTGTCGATTATGTCTTCGCGACGATGATGGACTTAGTAAAATGATATCAATATTTGAAAAACCAATTCTTGAGGAGACTATAAAAAATTGTGTGCAAATTGAGGTAAATATCAGTTAATTACGAATTTGGTAGGTATTGAACTTACTAGTATATACCTTTTTTTAAGGTATATACTAGAGTAGGTTAGTCTAGGTCTCTATAATATAAGGGGGCAGGTCCAGCAGTTTTTTAATCCTAATATTTTATGGGTATTGATATTAGAAAATAGTTTTTTATTGATTTTCATCTACATTGTATTATAATATAATATCAAATAAAAATAAAAATATTTTTATTCTTTTTTTTTAGTTCTGGGAGGACCCAAGCCCACCCCCCCCCCTTGTAAATACTTCACTGGGTATTACAACTAGGTATAATTTTTAATTTTTTTTTCAGGTGTTATTAAATACTGATGAACCAACTAATATATGTACTAGTTGCATATTAAGTTTGGATTCTTGGGTCAAATTCAAATCACTGTGTGATAATACCAATGCATTCTTACAGCAATACAGACAGGATAAGAACGAGTCTGACTTAGTGGTAATATTATATTTAAATTAATCTTAAATATAATTTTAGCAGCTTGCTTATTCATTTAAAGGCTTAAGTTAAGTGATAACTAGAATCTTAAATATACCTACTTAATGACAAACTGCATAGGATTATTGTCTAGGAACATTACTTGAATGTCTAATTGGTATCATTTATTTAAAAATATTAATATTCAATGTTCCCTCTAGCAGGTGGGACTAGTTTTTACTAAGTACAAAATACTATCTATTAATAATTTTTAACAACATTTATAGATTATTGTAATTAATGACATGAAATTATTTTAAACTTCCAGCCAATTCTGTTTATGCTCTCCAGAAATAGTACCAACAGTTGTGTAATCTAAATAACTTTAGCCACCCTTAAAAAAACTCTATGCATTTATGTACACCATTGTTAATACATTTCTTTGGGTTTCAGTTCAATTATGACATAACAAACTTAGGACCAATGGGATTCACACCATCTCAAATGTCAGACTTGAGCATCAGTTTTTTTGAAAGTGATTCGTTATGGAATGGTTTATCACAACCATGGAATGAAAGTGATCCTATATGTACGGATTCACCTATTCCAAAATATATGAAAAAAGTACAACCACCTGAAGATTTAACTAATGAGAGCATATCTGGTAAGGAATGTTTGGATATAGCCTTAAGTGTATTAAGCAAAAAAGACACTAATTTTACATACACCAAAGCCAATTGGTGGAATCCCAAAGCTATTTCTATGAAAAAAATACAAAAAGAAAATGAAAAACCGATTTTAAAGAAAGGAATTTCAAAATCAATGACTAAATATAATCGATATCAGCGTAAAACATATTCCTGTAATGTATGTTCGGAAACATTTTCAAAATTCAATGATCTCATTGTACATGATTCAAGTGTGCACTCTGAAATGACTAAGAACTATAATTGCAAAAAGTGTGGAAAGCTGTTTTTGTCTGAAGAACGTCTAGAGATACATGAGAAGGTTCATAGAGAAAAATCCTTTGTGTGTCAAATATGCCAAAAGAAGTTTACTCAACAAAAGACTCTTGATATACATTTGAATGTTCATATTGGTTTATACCCTTGTCAGAAATGTGATTTTAAAGCTCAGACAATGTACAATTTGAAAATTCACGAAAGTACTCATTCAAACGTCAAAGATCATTGTTGTCAGGAGTGTAAAAAGAAGTTTTCAACTGTATCATCATTGCGTAGACACAATCGCCTTGTTCATCAAAAGTTAGTTTGGTTCCGTTGTGATAAATGTGATTATTCTACAAGCCAGCCATCAAATATAAAGTATGATTAATGCTCATAATAACTTATTTTTATTTATTAATTTTATTTTGTCCATATTTAATATTTTTAGGTATCACAAATCTATTCACGAACCACAAAATTGTATTTGTGATCATTGTGGTGCAAGTTTCAAAAACCAAGATTTGTTCATGGTACATATAAAAACACACGAAGAAGCAAAGTTAAGCTGTGCTCACTGCACGAAACTATTTAAAAAAAAATCACACCTCAAAGAACATTTAAGTAGTTGTTATGTACTAGAGCCTAGCATAACGAAATTTAAATGTGATGTTTGTGAAAAATACTTCAAGAGAATCAAGAAGTTGCATATTCATAAAAATAAATATCATCCAATTATTAATGAAATGATGACACTTAACTAAAAGAAAAAAATGTTTCTTCTTTAAATTTTCTACTAGAATTTCAAGCGCTATAAGTTATTGTTTTAAATACCTACATATTCATTTACTTAAATAAAAATTAATTTATAATCATTCCACTCAAACTACTCAATGTCAAATAATTTTTAATTGTTTTACAATAACATTTAATACTATATCGTAAAGTAGTAAAAGCAATTTTAATCATTTTATTATGTATCCTGTAATGAAGTTTATACATTTTAAGAGTTTGAAATTGTGTATGTATACAGTTAGTGACAAAAAATGGTTAATACTTAATTAAAAATATGATCATTATTTTATAATATATACAATTATATTATATTTCTGTGTACTGTAGGTATTTTATAAATTATATTTTTTCTTTTAAACAATAAATAAGCAACAGTGATAATAATATTAAGCAATATGCATTATTGTTTTAGATTTTAGTTTTATGGACCAAACTTCTAATTATAACATTTTTGCATATGAAAAATTATAACATTATTTATTTATGAAATGTTAACCATAAGAAATATTCAAATACACACAATAATGTATTAAATATTTTAATCTATTACACAAGTAAATTAAAGTTTAAACCAATGTCACTGGCATTCAATATGTATACCATAATATATATGTATATTATAATTTATAATATACTTAATGTATGATAATTGTCTACATATAAAGATAATAGCATTGATTTTATAATATAATTTTTTTAATACAAAGATGTTTTTGGGCTGCATACAAGATTTTGAGCGAGGTTTTCAATTATCATGGTTACTTATTAACAAAAATATATAAATAAAAATAATATGTATAACTGTGTGAATTGGTTATTCAGTCACTAAATTGTGCCCTCTATCACTGACTGTGAAGCATGATGTTTGTTTTCAGACAGGGCCGATCTATGGTAATAAATTTACAATATAGTACTAATAATGATTAAGATGCTAAAAGTGATTTTTTTTTTTTTATTTTTTTTAGATAATATAGAATTTATACATAAAAGCATATTAACAATATGTGCTACAATAAATTTAGAAACATGAATAGGGTGGGGAAGAAAACATTCAGTGATCACACTTCCTTTTGCTTAATATATTTACATATTTTTTTATTTAGTTGTTATTAATTGTATACATCTATACATACTTTTTTTTTGTTAATCATTAAGATCTCTGCGCCAATTTCTTTTTAGTCGCCGTGGTGGATTTCTTGGAATCATGTGAGTGGCTAGACCGGATATTAAAGGGTTAGTATGAGAAGGCAACTTGTTGAAGAAACGTTTAAAGTACGTTTTAGTTTATTCATGGATGATTTTGATTTTTAAATTAGAATGGAGAGTAAAATTAGAAATGTAAAATGGGGCATTGGTGATGGAGCGCAATATTTTGTTTTGAACGGTTTGTATTTTGTTAAGGTTTTTTTTGGCATTGCCCAAGAGTTGTAGTCCATAATATGTCCACATAGGCTTAATTAAGGATTTGTAAATGAAGTTTTATACTTAATTTAGTATGTTTTTTTTGATAATAATGTTTTCATCAACCGGATACGCGCATTTAAAGCGAGTTTTTTTCCCTTACATGTTGCGCCCAGGTTAGGCCTAGATACTAATCTAATAGTGGTTTACATTTTTTTTTATAAGTAGGTCACAACATAACTGTCTTTTAAGTCTTCTTTTGGGATTTCCAGGAATAGTTGCTGATGACAGTTGGGACGGTAAGTCTAGGCACCTCACATTAAATATTATATCCTGTAAAAAAAAATGATTTTGAGGGCCCTATACAAAACTTCCAATAAATTACAACCCATTACAAGTGATACAGGTGGCTCATAGGTACACTATTTTTAGGTACCTAATCAATGCTTAACCCAAAACTTAAAATAATAAAATTACTATATTATAATATACATATACATTTACATCATAAAATAAGTATTCCTATCAAAATTTCAAAAAATGCATATTCATTCCAACGGGCCTTGTGGGGGCACTGAGTAAGTCTGTTAATGAAGTGGTTATAATGGAGCTTTGCTATTCGGTGACAGTGGGTGTTTTAAAGTCTTAGTGAAGTGTATAATTGGAAACGTAGTACATAGCTTTTTAGATAATTCAGAGGAATAATATAATATAATATATTCTAAAATCAGAAGGAAAAAAACAGTATAACTGAATAGCTTTAAGTATTTAAATTTATTTATATACCTTATGAAATAGGCATTAACCTACTATCAATACAATTAAAATTAAAAATAATTCCTTAGCTGTTAGTTAAAAAAAATAAAATAAAATTCAAAAAATTGGTACTTATAAGTTAAAATAATATCTATAGATAAAAAAAACAATTTTGCTTGTGCACATCTGTTAATTTTCATGTAATTTAAAATAATTAAATGGTCATTATTTTCTATGTGCATTATAATTTATAGAAAAGAATATATTGTGCTATAGGCTTTTTTGCACTGCGATTTCAACTGCTTCTTTGATTGATTCAAACACAGGCACTCGTTCTCGTGCTGCCAAATCCGCTAAATAAATCCGTCCGCGGTTATAGTCGTTGATTGCTGTTTGTGTCAACTAAAAAATAAACCATTAATATCAACATATTTTCTATGTTTTTATTATTACTATTATTATTAATACAAGTATACCTTTTCACCGCGAACTATGCAGTTATCTTTACTGAGATTCTGTATACATAACACCATTCTGCAGCCTTTAGCTATACTATATGCTGCCTGCAAATATAATTACAAAATATTAATATTTATTTATGGTTGAATGAAATAAAAAATAATGGAATTTACTAATGTCATGGTTGCCAAAGATCTTGAATTGTTTGGAATTACAAATAACAAAGTACGTGCATCTAATAATACTGATAGATCTGTTTTGGATGATGCATGATAAGTTAAATTAGATTTTCTACAACAAATAAAAAAAAGGTTCACTAGTTATGAAACAAACAACAAAATGTTTAAAAGTGTACTTGATTATGGGAATAGCAATGTCTTCTCTCCACCGAATGTCATCACCACTTTCTCCAGCAAGATAAATATCTGTCGTCTTTGGAGACCTTGTTGTTTCAACACTCTCTTGTGATAAGTATAATGGTCTACCTACATTCGAGCGGTAAGAGTGCCCTAAACGTTTTTAAAAAATGATTATTACACATTTATGTTTATTCTTTAACATTTAAATATGTTAATCAAACATATTTGATGTTATAACTTATAACTCACCGATGTCAAATCCATTCCTGCGATTGTTTTTGTCTGATAACTGTAGAAATTTAGAAGCAATAGCGTAAAATTGATTGAACGTAAAATAAACTTGGTGGTTACCTCCGACATCTGTAAGAATATGCATGTACATTAAAAGTATCCAACAAAAACGGTAACATTTTTTTTTATAATAGAATAAAATAAAATGTTTATCTTATCGAGTCAAAATAATTATGTTAGGTACCATGACATCCAAAAACTGGAATTTCAGTATAAACACACAAATAGGTAATTTTTTTATCTCTAACTATTATAACTTTATAAAGTTAAAAGTTATTTAATAAAGGTATGACACAAATGTATGCTAGTAAATTTGATCGTTAAAAACTCTGTTAACCCTAATTTTGTTATTATTTCATATTTTTTATTAGTCGACAATGTAAAACGATGTGTTAATTAATCGTGTATTATCAATGACAACAAATAATTATCACCACTGATTAGTGATTCACTTGCAGTATTCTCATACAAATCGATGTGTCGCACAACTTTTTTTTTAGTTGGCGATTCGAGCGCGAAAAACGCGCGACAAGCGCAAAAATGATGCGATATCTCGATTCGTATGAGAATTTTGCAAAAAATACGACTGGAGTGTTTATTTTTACATTCAAGATAATATTCTAAAAATAAATTTTAAAAACCCAAATTTTGAAGTTAGAAAAAAAATTCCAAAAACATCTTCATTGTGGCATCACAGTGAGTATGCGTACACTAATTATCTCACACACTTCAGAAACACCCTGAATATATTTTTTTTTTTGGAAATAAGTGAAATTTATTGACTTTATATCAAGAATTATCAATTCAACAATCATTGTTTGTTGAAATGAAAATTACCACATTTTCAAATGCAAATACAACAAAATTCAAAAATGAACTTGTATAGGATATAAAATTCCTAACATAAAAAAAATTATAATACTTATTATTTACACACATTGATTTCAAATATTTTTTTCAAGACATTCGAGAAAGAACTACCTATACTGTTTGATTGTATCTAATTGTAGTATAAAAATATGTCAATAAACTTAGTTATGTATACCTTTAGTATCGCGGTGTTCAGATGTCAGGTTTAGCACATCATTTTCGGATAAATTCTGATTGGCCAACAGTTGGATAGCCCTTGTCACCTGAATAATAATAATAATAAAAAACACACACTCATGCCGTCAGTCGATAACTATAAGTGTGTCGACGTCAATCGTAAATCATTATTCGAGTCCTACCCACAACATACATGGGAAATGTTAATCTCCCCCGGCGCTTCGACGTTGAATTTGTTAAATGCATCGCGTATCTTGCTGAAACGAAACAAGACATACTATATTATTATAAATATTGCATCTTTGAAATAGATTTAATAGTTTCCTAAAAAAATTAACTAAGCTACACTAAAGATACCTATTACCTTAAGTAAATTACATCAAGTTTGGATTTGTAAAGAAAACATGAAAATTAAGTGTTCAAAGTTATACTTGTTCGTATTTCATATTTAACTTTAACCCGCAAACTAATGTCAGTTAGCACAAACTAAAATCCCTGAGGTCAACAATTGATATCAATTGACTGGTTATCATTTCAAAAAATATAAACGAGCGCAAATAACATATACATAGTAAACAAAATTATGATAAATTATCACCATTTTTAAAATTAGCTTGAAAATTTCTTTAAAAATTAGTTAAAAATAAGTTTAGCCAATAAAGATATTATAAACGGTCATGTTTAATTAAAATGATTCATTAATAATTCATTTATAATATTAGTTAACAAAAGATATTATAGAACTATAATAAGTTTATAACAGACATGTAAAGGTAAGCTAAAAGTTACCAAAAATAAAAAAAAAATACTTTCGACATTATTTTAAACTATAGATTTAGTAAGTAATTTAATGCAGTAGATACTGTATAGACTATAGATCATAATATATTGGTATTTTATTCTCACCGGTACGTAGAAATGTCTTCGCCGGTATCGTTGCTCTGGCGGTTTTTGTCTTTCAGAATCTTGAACATAAATAAATGCAACGTCGAAATATTAAATAGGTATAAAAAAAATTTGACAGTTGAGGCGGTAGATGGTAGTTGTATTTGTTAATGTTTTACATTGTTATTGAACGTTTAACTAAGGTTTTAAATGTTGGAAGATGTCAAACTACTCAAACTTACTATTAAGAGGACGTCGTGCACACATATTGTATTGTCTTTTGTTGGTTTCTTACGATATTTTAATTTTTAAGTGAGTATTTGATTTCATAGTTGACATATCACTAGAGTACTAAAGTATATTTACTTTATGAGTATGTAAAATTAAAATATTTGAAAATTCTCATAATTCACTTAAAAATTAAAATATCGTAAAAAACCAACGAGAGAGCACAGATAATGTTCTTACCTAAAAGTTTGATCATTGGTCAATTCACTCTAAAATCAAAACTAACAGCACGGCACTGAAACTAGTGAACGAAAATTTGGTATGTCGAATATGTGTGTCAGACGGAGACACATAGCGGATACGACGTCCTCTTAATATAATATACTAATATAGGTACTATTCTATAGAATTTGAACTTATGAATTAGATTATTTTATATTCATTGAGGGGGTAGAATGTTTGGATCAGGTTGTCTATTTTACAGATTTAGGTACTGAAAATTCTCATCAACTGAGTAGATACAAATTGATACAAGCTAAACGCTGATTCACATAGGCCTTAAGAAGATAATTTTACATTAACATGTGTATCCACCATTAAGTCCTCTTGTATTAATATATCAAATACCTGAATGACATTGTTCAACGCTTCAGGGATGTTATCAAACACAAGTGTCCCCTGGTTGGCAGCGATCTTTTGGAGCGCCGTCAGGGCTTCGCGAATGTCCTCCGCTTCACTACAAGAGATGGGCTCGCCGGCGACCACCGAACCGGCAATCGCGTCTTGCGGATGGATGACCAGCACCAGGTTGTTGTGGTTACCGGCAAAATTGGCCGTCTCTATGTCGCTGACCACGTTCCTGGTCTGGCTGTCGATCACGTAGAACAGTATCGTTGCGCTCTCTTTGGCAGCGTGTTCGATTTCGATTAGATCCTGGCTCCAATGGTCCACTTGCTGTAAAACACACGAAACCCAATAAATATGATATACAACTATGTTTAATTTTAATTTCGATAAGGCAGTTGTCTGTAAAAACATATAATATACAAACGCGCACTTCATTTATACTTAAGTAATTAATTTCATTCATCAGTATTATTTTTACCTCATTGAAAAACGCCAGAAAAAATATAATAATGATAATAGTTAGTCAACCGCGTATGCTATATTTATATTTTAAATATTTATAATACAATCTGTAAATATGTTATTTTTACAATAAGAATAAATGATGTTAATGGTTATAAATTCTAATGGATTGCAGTCTTGGCTCTTGAGAAAATAATCCATTAATTGAAGTAACTTCAAAACTATATATACCAGAAATATTATTTGAATTATAGATATAGTAGGTTCATAATAACTCTTACATTTACGCGTTTACCTATTTTCATAAATTGTGTGTTATTCGTTAATATGATAAATGCTTGATATCAAATTGCTGCATGATACCTACTTTATAAAGTTATAAATATTACATAAAATATGAATATTAAGCCCTATATAGACAAATTCCACGACAAACAGATACCTGCACCTACACGTTATATTGTTATACTAACTACTTTATTATACTATAACTAACCTACTTAGGTAATATTACATCAATTTAAATATATTTCACAAAACACCATCATGCACCTATGACTTAATCGTTTATTTTACATATAGTAAATACCTATATAGCTATACATACATGCATTTTTAATGACTAAGCCAACCTAACAGTTAAACATGTAACACATAACAGAATGCCACAAATATATAAGTGACCTCAGAAAATACAACATCCCGTCCAATTTAGACACAGCTTTAGGCCCGAACACAGAAAACATCTAAAGTGTGATCAACTTCTTGAGAAAAACGGATCAGTATAATGAAATTTGACTTTAAAAAAAAATTGTATTTGTTACTACGTAATCACATAATAATAATTGTAAAAATGTACAACAATTATCAACACTATATTTACAACAATTAAGGTTATTAGTTGTATTACCTTTGTTGTCGATGTTTCAAATGTATTACACCTACGTTAAAATAATTCAAATCAATTATTAAACCTTATCTGCTTGTTTAAGTACAATAAATTTAAATATAAAACATACATTTTCCTCAAAAAAAATGTCTAAAAACTAATCGTATCCATTTAGATATTGACGTCGGAACATCGCAGTTTAATAGACCACAAGCAAGTAACAGTGTAACAATAATTATTATGTTTTTGTGATGTTGTGATGTTTAAGTTTATGTGTTGCTGCGTGAAAATTATCATGATGTTTATCGTTTGAAACAAGAGCTTTTTATAAATGAATCTTTGGTCGACGATTTTATATTGTGTGGGACATCCAACAAGGACAGACCTTGATAAAACATTGTCTTAAAAACTTTCAAATACAACAGCTACTGGTACGTTTAAATCATACACGTCACATGACGCCATATTTAGAAAGGAACAAGTCGTGTGAGTTAGTTTGTATAAAGCTAACCTTAAACGCAATAGATAAAACATTAACATACCACAATACACGTGGATAAATGAAAACCTAAGTTCTACCAAAACGTTTTAATACCGTCATACCGAGTGTAATCCTATTAATTTCTGCAAAAACGTTTAATATTTCATATATAATTGAAAATGTCGAAAAGAATTTGCAACGTGAATACCAAAATAATACGTGCAAAATGACTTCCTTCCATATTACGCACAGTAGTTCGCACATGATCATAATTACAGAACCTATAATATAATATTTTATGGATACCAACCGGATTGTAAAATGACACACCAGCATCTTGAAGGTACGGGATGGCCAAGTCTTTGCGCCACGTAGTCGGATTGCAGGAGCCGCCCAGGAAAACGTCGTAGCTGTGGGCACTTCCTATATTAAAGGTGGATTCGGCGATTAATGGTAACAGCGTCGAGAATAGAAGTATGCAGAGGGCTACCATCATATTATTATAATAGGACATAATATATTTTTTATTTGGCTTACTCGAGTTTTTTTTTATTCCCCTGATGTGTTTCTCTTGATCTTTTTCCAACAGCCGTGAAAACTGCACAGATCTCGGTATCCTGCAGAAGAAAGGTTTATACACTGTTAAAAACGGGTAGTATATCATTATTTTAGCGACGATCGCCAATATGGCATGCGGCACACTGCATTGGGTACCTATATGGCTATATAATCATTGAACTATAAATATAGGTCCCTCCTATTTTTATTAAACATACTATTTTTGACCAATATATAACGGAAAGAGAAACGATGGTTCGGAACAATGGTATAGACTAAAGAGTGAATTTTTGTACAATGCCACATCTTTAAGTTAATATGAATGTATAATAACAAAGACGACTATAAACAGACTTATTTTTTCATAATAAATATAAATAGACTTTGCAAGTCTAAATACATCAACATTTTATATTTGTAGCCAGTGCATTTATTATTAAAAAAGTAATTACTGTACTTAGTGCGTTATTTAATAGTGGACAATAATTGTTGTATGCCTAAGGAATTTCGGTGGTGGGGACAATAGTACAAATAGTAATTTACATATACTTTATAACATTATATTCAGTGCTAGTCTGTTGATAACATGGACGGGAGTTATCGCTGGGACTAAAATTGATTCAGTTCTATATTAACACTACAATTTACAGTTAATAGTTATGGATAATCAGAATTTAGGAAGTAAACCTTCATTAAATGTCGGCCACTTTTCATTAACAAATAGGTAAGTGAGTATTATTTTGATGCAAGTCGACAGTCGATGGTGTGTTCTCCATCCAAAACCAAAATATTTTCTAATCACATCACTTTATTGGCGGGTGTGTGGATATTAATATATTTCAATACTCATTGCCTTGGGGTTCAAATTGTTTTACCACGCCGCTGTATATATTATTAATAATAGTATGTATACATCGCGTGTTTATTATAAGAACTATCTATTATTAAGGATAAACATATTGCCGAGAATAGAAAATGATGTAACCTTTTTAAGTACACGTGACGTGTCGTAAATTAAAATACATAATTACAATGATTTACATGATTTTTTCGCTCGTTGCGTAGTTTAACGTACACACATAATAATTTATAATATAATTTATTATATATTTTAGTCGTTGTGGAGTAAAACATATAGCGATGAAAAATAACTGCATCACTGTAGTTTCTTTGGAGAATATATTTTAATAGATGACCAAATACAGTAAATTTGCTCCAGAGTATAAAAATTATATGGTATAATAATAGTATATAGGTTCAGTATCAAATGGGAATATTAAAAACGATTTCAGTGTTGTATATCAATATATCATCATGTAGGTATGGTACCACTTTTCAAAAGAACACACCGACACATTAATTTATGGGAATTTGTCCAACTTTACAAGGGAATTATTTTGTGAGTATATCACCATTATAAATAAACGCGAGTTAATCGAATTATTAGAACGTACGACAAATGGTAGTAAGAACAATTATTATTATTACTTAGTAAAATGTATTATTTTAGTTACTATTTTCAATTTCTTATTATAACATCATCACTTGGAGTTGTCGTTTATTTTACCCATCAAATAAAACAATGTTATAAAAACAAAGCAAAAGGAACAATCAAAAAACGAAATACAATACAGGAATTTTTTTCTTCATAGATTTTGCGTTACCTATTCAATTATTCAAAATAACTTTATTTATATGATGTATAACATTTAAGATCATGCAGAAATATGAGGTTTTTTTTATTAAGTTAATACTTCAACAACATTAGCATGGGTTATTTAGGGTTATTTAATAGGTTTATTACTGTGGGTAAGTTACTGCTAGATAAATATAAAATACATGAGTATATGTGGTGAGGATTTGTCACAAAAAACCCGGGTGGTCACCCACCCGGGAACAAGTGATGCTTACCAGCTGTTGCTTAAACTCAGAACACGTTAGTGACTGAGGCCAAACACCGCGCCACATCAGGCAACGGCATAGTTTTTATTCAATGTTTTTATGGCATTATTAACATTCAATACTATATAATTATAAAAATTAGTTTTTTTTAAAGTTAATTATATGTACTACAAGTAGGCATAACTGTAGAAAACGCGCCATTGTCACACATTTTTAATATTAGTATATTCATTTATAAATACAAATTTAAACCAAGAATGAAAACTCTTTAAAATAATCTCATCTACAGCTAGTGATCTTTGGCAGTTGTATAATTTTTTTAAATTTAAATTAATATTAGAAAGATTACTGGGCCTCAATAAGAGAAACTAGATTATAGTATAACAATTCGTGAGGATTTGTATTATTTGATACGCATATATATATATGTATTATGTATATATTCTTTTAATTTTGGCTTATTTATTAATAGTTATCATCCAATCGTACATCTTTAATAATTCGCAAAGATATAATATTTATCTTCATTACACAAAATTCTGACATAGCAAATCGTTTTTTTAATATATATTGTATGTATCCAACAATAACTTTTAACATTTTATAACATTTTTATTTTTTGAATGATAACATGCATATTTAATCTCATATTCCAAAGCAAAATACTTTTCTAAGAATATTGAGGTATAAAAATCGAAATTTCAGTTAATTAGTTATAAGCGAATATCGGGGAGAATATGAAAAATATTCAATTTTGGAATATGAAATAAAAATGTATGTTGTTTGGAAAAAATTAAAAATAGTATAACAAGTTATTCTGTTTTGAGTAACGACTTAAAAGTTAAAATTATTAAAAAATTATATACATACACTGGCTACATTACAATAACGTTAATACTTATCGAGATGATGAGTGTTTATTGTTAAACTAATCACTAAGTAATCCGTATAGGTGTTCAAGACTACTTCCTAGTTCTTAACCAGGTATAGGTTCCTAAGTATTAACTATTAATTGACACTATTAAGAGTACGTTAAATCGGCATATTGTGTTTTTCCGTCTTACATACATAAAGCATTTTACGTTAAGATTAATTGATTTAACTCAGTTATTTTTTATATCAGAGTAAATCTACGTGTCAACAAATTAAACTGTAAACCTATAATCTAGAGCCCCTCGTTTTTTAAATATTTTAAATTAATAGAATGTTATGACTTTGTAAGCATTTGAAATTGTAACTGTTTTTGTCAAGTGTATTAAATTTAGTACAATAAAAATCTGATAGGCTATCATAATTACGTGAGATGATTTTCTAGTAAAATAGAAAATGTTATAAGTATTATATTGTTTTTTATGATTGATATTATAATTCAAAGCACTTACTTATTAAGTGTATAATTGTTTTTAAATGTCAACAATAGGTTTATGCAATACACTAAACACGCAGCAGTTATATAGATAATAATTAATAAACATTGGTGTGATATAAAGTTAATCACAGTGCGTTCTACAAAGATAAAAACTAAACACTTTGAACTGTGATAATTTTGGTTAAATCTTGAAAAATAACTACATTTTTCTTTTGTTCTATTTTTCTGCAAGCAAATCTAAGATAGAAACATTATACCAACTACCTGTTAGTAGGTACCCATGCGATATCATATGACATATAGCATAGAATCACAAAATAGCTACATATAGACCATATTATATCACTGTAATAAACTGAACTAAAATCGTTGCTTATTATTTACCCTCTATCCAAGCCGTTTTTGAGTTTTCTAGCCAACAAACAAAATTCGCCAAATGTCATGTATACCGGCGAACTTCTATTGGCACATTTCATTACGCACTGCATCATTTCAGCGACTGTAAGAAAATGGAAAAAATGACAAAATGTACCAAAGCTGTGCGCAAATAAGACAAATATTGTCGCAAAAGAATTACCTTGGGCCGAGGTCAGGTACAATCCCAAGTCGTTGAATAGCGCCTGAACTCTGTGGGCTGGAGCATTCGTGTTTTGGGAGCCCACACGCGAATTCCATGCCGAACACAATTCTCTACAAGACAGAAAAAAAAACACAAATGTTTGTATAAATATCATACTGTATAATTATATAAAAACAAGAAAAATCCGGAATTGCCGTCAAGATAACATTCAATTATTATTTTATTTATGAATTTTTAATTACATTTGAGTGCAAACAGGAAGAAACCATGTTGACGCTACTAAATCGAGCGACACACAGAGGCAACGGAAATATTTCATTGACTGTGGAATAATAAACGCATAGTAGTATTAGTAGGATAGGAATATAAAATCGTCACATTATAACAAAGTGCAGATTAGATACGGCGTGTGTGAGGAATTTTTTATACAATCGAATTAACAATATCAGTCTGTCAAATTATAGTGTGTGTACAGAATATAATCCCATTCTAAATACATATCAGTATACGCTTAGCGTTGGACAAAAAAATTCTATAACAAGAGACAAGATAATAAAGACAACATTCAACTACATCATACTTGAAAATTTAAAAATGTTAATGAAAAAACACTCATTGAATATTCCAATACTATATGGGATTAATATATGATACATAATAATATATTGAAGATAAAAAAAAATTTTAGTATGAAAAAAATATAGACCTGTCACCGAGAAGATGTAGTTACATTGCGCCTACGACTAGAGCCGAAAAGTGGGAATTTAGGTGGTTGTGGCGGGGAACGACGATTTTGCTTTATGCGCGACCACATTCTAACCACGAACGGCGTTAAGTTAGGCCGGATTCACAACTACATCGTGGGCAAGGGCACCTGCAGTGGGGGGGGGGGGCAAAGGGGCCATTGCTCCTACTGGGAATTTTTTTAAACTATTGTTTATTTAATGCCACGGCGCCACGCATATTAATTATAACATAATTTTATTGACTCAATTGAGATTCATTTATGAAGTTATGTAAAAATTATTGTATTTTTAGATAATCTAAAAAAATAATCTTTAATGTATACATTAGTTTACAATGTTTATAATAATCACTAATCAGACCTACGAAACTCAATGTATGAAGACAGATTAAATGACTTAGCTATATTGTATATACATAAAGACATTGTTAAAAAGCAAAAACAAAAAATTATTGAAGATGTTATACAATCATTTTGTATGCAACCAAGACGCATACAATTTTTATTTGATGATTAATATAAATATAATTAATTTGTGACACCTACATTAACGTATATTCAAATAATATTAATATTGTATTATAAACCTACAAAATAAAAGGCCTTATGTGATGACATAATGTTGTTTTTTTCTGTTTAATGTAGGTTATGCTATTTTAGAATAAAAACCACTAGAAATATATTAAGATTTAAAATAATAATTTTGATCTTGCCCCGGGTGGGATTTTATCCTGCGGGCGCCCTTGATCGTGGGTCATGCCATGTCAATCAAATAGCATTGTAATTGGACATTACTTTTTAGGTATCATGGAATAACCAAGTTGCAACCGAGTATAACAAGAATTGATTACAGCTCAACTTTTAAACCAATATGATTACCATACCCTCGCACGACACGACATACGACGTAGCAACTAGTTACGAATGCGCATTTAATGAAATTAATTATTATTAAAAATTCTATCATTAGGAATCTGTTGCCATGTATATAATACTCAAATATTTCAAAAATCAAAATTGAAATAGATGTATTGTATTAAAGGAAAAGTGGGGATGATCACGCTTGATCATTTCCCCTGTGTTATACAACCATATAAATTTGAATGTATAATCAGTTATAATGTATATAGGTACCAGGTATCTGATAACTTATTGTAACAATTGTACAAAGTAGCGAGTACAAAGCGAATTTCGATTTCCGGCTATTGTTGTTTGTTTGAAACCTGTGCATAATATTATCTAGTGCCTATTTCATCAAATCAATCTACTACATATAATTATAATACAAAAATAATATGTGCTTACCTAACTAATTTATTTAAAATCAATTTTATGGTCGAAGTTGGAATATAAAATTATCATTATAGTCATTTTTTGTTTTATTTTCCCCCCAAAAAAAAAAAAAAAATACCAAATAAATCAAAATATTTGTGTATAACACCAAGAGAGCAATGATTCGTTTTAAATATTAAAAAAATATCAAATATATATAAAAATATAAAGCGTTATGAATACTTTGAATCATAAAAATAAGATCACATCGTATATCGTATATGTGGTAAAAGAATAACTTTTCTTCACTCACGTCGTTTGTCTTATTTCAATAGGTAAATTGATTAAAATTAAACCTTCCGTTTTCATATTTTCGAATGCGTATCATTGGTTTTTTTTATTTATTTGTATAGTTACATACGTATACGTTTAACTTAAACAAGGCACGGATGACGCATCTAAGTATAGCTTTGAAAACCGGATATTTTTTTAACCAAGATTTTTGTGCCAAAGTGGTTCCTCTTTTGTAATGATTAGCATTTTAACTAAAGCGAATGACAATTTTATATACAACATATAATATAAGTAGGTAGATGAAAACTTTTGGAATTTATTAGTTTAACTGGTTTAAATAGTTTATCAATTTTAGGTACTCGTTAGTCGTCTTACAAGGAGTGTTATGAAAATAGGTACTCATTTCAACATATCCCGTGTGACTACACAGAGTGGGCGCTAGGGAAAATAAATGTATGATATAGATTATACAGGTATAAAACACTAAAAAAATAATAAATCAAATCAAATTAATGTAATATAAAAATAAAATATGATTCGTAACATTGTAGTATACATCATATAATCAATGGTAAATAACGTAGGTAGTACCTATATGTATTAATCAACGGTCTTATATATTATATTATACTATATTATTTTACTCGTACCCACTTATTATACACTGCGAGCGTTATAAACTTATACAATATTTTAAAAAGAACTAACCAAAAATAAAATTATTATTATAATTACTTTTGTAACATGTATAAATAAGTTAATAAGTAAGAGTTACCATTAGTAAAACTTGACTTATTAACTAACTTATTAACTTTTTAGTAAAAACCTCAATAGTTCGTATTAATTAAATTTATACTATTTCTTCATTTACGTTATGTACCAGAAACTTTTCTGTATGCTTATTAGTCTACAATATTAAAATATCTTTAATTCATAAATACCAATATTTGAACGATTCATTTTCGGTTAGGTAAAAGTAGGCAAAATAAATGTTAAAATGTCTAGTCCAAAATTTAAGTAGATATTAATAAAGTTATTCTATACCAATTATTTGCTCTTCATATTTTACTTTTCTAAGACGATTTCAGTCGATATAATACAATTAAATTGTAGCTCGTAGTCATAACATTCAAAAGTAATATAGTCAAATATGAAATAATAGTATAAAACTTTAAATTGAACCATATTATATTTCTACAATGTATTTTATTATTTTAGCTTTAAATTTGAATTCTTGACTTGAAAACAATAAATGTAAAGTTAGCATGAAAAATACGGAAATGCAGAAATATAATGATATTATTGGTTTATTAAAAAATTACAAACAATTTTACACCCGCCGAGATACAAAAAATCATCACCATGACACAATTTCAAAAGGTCAACTACCGAAGTATGGCAACATACCAAAATTAAGTTATAACAATAAGCTTCATAAGATAGTATCGTCCTAATTATGCAACTAACAATAAATTATACTATAGGTATATTAATAATAACTACATTAGACAAGAATTAAATAATAAAAAATAACGATTTATTTCAAATAAACATAACAATATTAATGCTTGTGAATTACAAACTTGGTACCAAATAATAACCACCATAATTATTGTTATAATAGACGTGGACTATGCTATTCTACACTAATAAGACTATTATTACCTATACTATACTTACAAGAGTAAACGATTTATTAAGAAAATCAGAAAATGTCAGCGCATTATTTGTTTTCTCACTCTGACCCACGTGGAACATAACAATTTGAGATCAGCACACCTAATTTTATGTCGTTAGCATTAATAGAGTGAATTGACCTATTATAAATCATAAAGGTAAGAATAATATTCAGAACACACCATTGGCTTCTAATGATATTTTAATTTAAATGTGAGTAATAACTATGTCAAATATTACAAATTAAAAATTCCCATAATGTATTGTATTATTCTTATATTAGGACTACGGATAACGTGTTAACAACTTATAATTCACATATGCTATAGCAAATGCCTTATAGAATTTGGTGTAGCCACCCAAAATTTTATTTTTCTAGTTCTACCCTCGTGGTGTTGCATAAAGAAGGAAGAGGAATAACGACATCGAGCTGAACAAAAAAGTTGCTGAAGAGTGCCAAACACTTAAAATCACTAATTTATTATATTTATAGGAAAGTTTAGAGGAGCGAATTCATATTTTTTTTATCGTGCACTACGGTAAGGAGCAAATTTGACTAAATTTGATTACATTTGATGACGACGAGAGCTAACTCTGAACTCAGCATATACTTTTTACAAAAACTCTCAAGACAGTTTTTTTATGTACATATAATTTCATTGCTCTTTGAGGGTACTGTAAATTACTATTTTCATATTTATATGAAACTATATCTACCTATACCTACAGGGTGTCCCATGGTTATTTACCTACGTCCTACATCTTCTGAAATAATGGAGATTTCATAATTTTTTTTATAAGGCTCACATGAACAAGGATTACAAAAAGCTTTAGTTTTATGGATTAGCTATTTTGTAGTTTATTTTCCTAAAAATGTTGACGTTTCAACATTTTATTTTTATTAACCTAGATTAATACATATTTTTTTTGTTTGAGAACATTTTTGTACTACAATGATGTAGAACAACAAATGATTTTATTTAATCAAGATGTATTTATCTTATTGGAAAACTAGACAAGATAATATCGGAACATTAAAATAGATGACTATGTAAACTACTATATTAATTAATAATTTGCAATTTTAATAAAAAATAAATAAAAATATTAAAAATTGTGAAA